CCCCGCGCCCTCCGCCCGGCCGGGCCCTGCGCTCCGCCGCCGCCGGGCCATGCCACGCCGCGGACACGGGCGGCCGCCGCGGGTAGCTATGCGCGGGGGTAGGTAGGACTGACTGACGGACGGACGGACGGAGCCGGCGCGACGGTACCGCTGAGACGTCGAGGGAGAGAGAACGAGGAGAGAGAGAGGAGAGCGAGCGGCGGAGCGAGGAGCGGCGGAGCGTGTCCCCGTCCCCGCGTCAGGACGCGCAGGGCGATGTCGCCGCGGCAGCAGCCACAGCCCGTCTGACCGCCACCGCCTCTCCATGTCCCAGCTCGTTATTTATTATTATTATTATTATTGTTGTTGTCGTTATTATATTTTTTTCTTCCTTTGATTTCTCATTGGGAAAAGCACTTTGACTCCTGACTGCTCTACCTCAGACCTTAGAGAAACTCATCACGCTCGCTTTTTTGGCGGTTTTATTTTTAATTTTTTTAATTTTTATTTTTCTGAGCGCCGACCTTTATAGCCGTTATTGTTTCATTGTCACTATTATTATTACTATTATTATTATTATCCGTGTGGTTGGTGGCGGCCGGGATCCTGCGGCTGTGTCGAAGCGCTGGGCAGTGGGGGGTTCTCCTGTGTACCCCTTCTAGGACACTCGAACGAAGATTTTTCTTCTGCCTCCCTTTCTTTTTATCCTTCTTCACTTCTCCAAGGCTTTTAAAAGATACATACACAAAATCAAGAAAAAAAAAAAAAAAAAAGAAAAAAAAAAAAAAAAAAAACAAAAACAAAAAAAAAAAAAAAAAAAAAAACAAAAACAAAAAAAAAAAAAAAAAAAAAAACAAAAACAAAAAAAAAAAAAAAAAGAAAGAAAAACAAACAAAACAAAAACCAAACCTTCGCCGGTGTTGTCGTCTTTCTAAAAAAAAAAAAAAAAAAATTGTTGTTTTTATTTATTTTTTTTCCTTGATACCTGGGAAACCGCTGCCCCCCTCAGAACTAACCAAAGACAATGGTTCACTGTGCAGGCTGCAAAAGGCCGATCTTGGACCGGTTTTTGTTGAATGTACTGGACAGGGCTTGGCATGTGAAGTGTGTTCAGTGCTGTGAATGTAAATGCAATTTGACAGAGAAATGCTTTTCGCGAGAAGGCAAGCTTTACTGCAAAAACGACTTCTTTCGGTGAGTACCGGCCTGCGCCTGCCCCCGCCGCTCCTCTCCGTTCTTTTTTCACCTCCATTTTTTCCCTTTATTTTTGTTGTTTCCCCCGTTGTCAGCGGGACCCACAATTGCCTCTCCCCTCCCCGCGACACGCGAACATCTCAAACCGCGGCTGCTTCTCCCGGTGGGCTCGGGGCGGGGGTCGGGCCCGGGGCCGGGCCCGTTGATGTCGCCGCTCTCCGCGTCCCCGGCCGAGCTCGAGCTGCCCAGAGTTCCCTCCAAACTATCGACCGCCGGGCCGGGCCGGGGGAGCGCGGGCACCGTCCCGGGCCCGGGGCAGCGGAGCGGGGCTGACCCCGCCGGGGCTCCGCGGCCGTGAGCCCGGCGATGTTCCCGGTGCCGCCGGCGGGGAAGGCGCGGTGCGGGCGCTCCGCGGGCCCAGCGCATCCCCGTGCACCGGAGCGAGGCCGGCCCGAGGGCAGCGACCCTTCGCGGAGGGATGGATGGATGGATGGATGGATGGATGGATGGATGGATGGATGGAGAGGGAAGCGGTGACCGACGCTCGCTCGCCGCCGCTCTCCCCGCGCGTCCCGGTGGCATCAATCCCGGGCTCGGAGCGGCCGCCGGTGCCGCTGCCCCGCCGGGCCCCGCGGCCGCGCACCGGCGATAAGGGCAGGGACCGGCTCGGGGCCGGGGAGGCCGCGGAGCCCCCGCCGTACACCGGCACAGCGCCCGGCCCGGCCCGGCGGAGCGCGGCCCGAGCCCCGCTGCCGCTTCTCCCTGGGCACGGGGACGGGCACTGCTCCGAGCTCCACCGCTTCTCCCCGAGAACGGGCCCGGCACTCTCCGGTCCCGGTTCCCAGAGCCCGCGGGGCTGAGCGGGGCACGGGAGGCCTCTGGCCCCGGTGCGGGTCCGGCCCCGCCGTCCCCCGGCTCTCCGCGCCGGCCTTGCCCGCACCGGCGGCTCCTCCGGCCGGAGCGCGACCGAGGCCGGTACCGACACACGGAACGCGTAGAATTCCTGCGAGCTGTTTGTCAGAGCGTCCTTAGTGCCGGTGTCGGGGCGCGGGGACACCCGGGCAGCGCAGCAGCCCCGGCGTTCGGCGAGCCCCAGCGCGGTCCCGCGCCCGCTGCCCAGGCCGGGCTTGATTTTTATTTTTAAAAGCTGCGATATCGGGGAGGGAGAGCGCTCTGCAGGGATGCTCTCTTTGATTTAATCCCGTTTTCCGCGGCCGAGCAGGGTGCGCGGAGGCCGCGGCTCGGGGCCGCGCTCGGCGGGCGCTGCTGAGCGCTGCCCGGCCTCTCCCCGCAGGTGTTTCGGGACCAAGTGCGCGGGCTGTGCCCAGGGCATCTCCCCCAGCGACCTGGTCCGCAGGGCGCGGAGCAAAGTGTTCCACTTGAACTGTTTTACGTGTATGATGTGTAACAAGCAACTCTCCACCGGCGAGGAGCTCTACATCATAGACGAGAACAAGTTTGTCTGCAAAGAAGATTACCTAAATAACAGCAATACTGCCAAAGAAAACAGCCTGCATTCAGGTGAGGGAGCGCGGCCGGGGCGGTGAGGGCGGGGATGCGCTCAGCACCGGCTGCTCCTTGGGAAGAGACGCTCCTCTCCTTCCTCCTTCTCTTCTTTCTCCTGTCTTTTCCTTTCTGCTCTCCCTCCTTTCTCTGTTCTCCTCACCCTTGTCTTCTTCCTCCACTCTCTTCTCCCTTCGCTTTCCTATCCCTCTTTTTTCCTCTCCTTCTTGTCTCCCTTCTTTTTTTCTTCTTCCCTTTTTCGTCTCCCTCCTTTCTCCTCTCCCCCGCTCCTACCGCGGCCCGAACCTCGCGGTCGGAATTTCCCCCCGGCTGAGCGTGACCCGTGTTTGTTCTCCCCAGCCACCACCGGCAGTGACCCCAGCCTGTCCCCCGACTCTCAAGACCCCTCCCAGGACGACGCCAAGGACTCGGAAAGCGCCAACGTCTCCGACAAGGAGACGGGGAGCAACGAAAACGACGACCAGAACCTGGGGGCCAAGCGGCGGGGACCCCGCACCACCATCAAAGCCAAACAGCTAGAGACTCTGAAAGCCGCCTTCGCGGCCACCCCAAAACCCACCCGGCACATCAGGGAGCAGCTGGCACAGGAGACCGGCCTCAACATGCGGGTCATCCAGGTACCGCCGCCCCCGTTCACCGGGCACGGCTCCGGGGGGTGCGGGGGCGAGGAGGGGCCGGTGCCCGGCAGCCTCCGCACTGCGGGGACCGGGGAAGCCCCGCCGACCTTTGAAATCGTTATTACCGGTGCTTCCCGGTGCTTCCCGGTGCTTCCCGGTGCTTCCCGGTTCCCCAGCCCCGGCCAGTCGGCGGGGACAGAGCCGCGGGTTTATCCGCAAAAGTCCTCAAGAAGCTGCAAACAGTATCGAAATTAATAACCAGAAATGTGAGGGGTTAATGGGTAAATAAGAATGACAACGCGCTGGAATTATTAAAAGGTTTATAAACCCGCAGCGCTGGGGTAATGGGGGGTTAAAGGACCATTAAAGACGAGGTTAGATTGGAGAGGCTCAGTGTGAGGGTAATTAGCAGTAATCTTGTCAGGGTAATAAGAATTAACTCAATCATTCTTGACCTGCAGTCGGTGGGGAGCGGGGCCGCCGTCACGCGTGGGTTCGGCCGCGCTTGCAGCGCGGCTCGGTGCGCAGCGGGCACGAGATACCGGGAAAAGGGAAAAGCGCAGCCCCGGGATGGGGATGGGGATGGAGGGGAAGGGGGAGCGGGACCCGCGGCTCCCGTGACCGGCGCCTCTCCCTCCGCCCCGCCAGGTGTGGTTCCAGAACCGGCGCTCCAAGGAGCGGCGGATGAAGCAGCTGAGCGCGCTGGGCGCCCGGCGACACGCGTTCTTCCGCAGCCCGCGCAGGATGCGGCCGCTCGTGGACCGGCTGGAGCCCGGCGAGCTCATCCCCAACGGGCCCTTCTCCTTCTACGGAGGTGGGTACGGCTCCCCCGCTGCCTCTCTCCGCGCCGGGCTGCTGGCGGCTCCGCCTGCCGCCCCGGGGCCGTTCCGCCCGGTTCCCGCCGCCCACCGCGGGGCTCCCCGCAGCCGCGCTGCCGGCGGGATCCCGGCGTTCTCCCGCTGTTCCCCCGGTGTTTTCGGGAGCGCCGCTTTGTGCCGGTGTTCCCGCCGCTCGGCGGGAAGGGGGTCCCGGGGTTTTCGGAGCACGGCCAGCCCGGTCGCGCGTTTCCCCTCGGGTTCGTGGGTGACATCCGAGCCCCCCCAGCCGCGCCGTCCCCGCTCGGGTACCTGCCCGCCCGTTACCGTCCCTCTGTCTCTCTTTGTCCGCCAGATTATCAGAGCGAGTATTACGGCCCTGGAAGCAATTACGATTTCTTCCCGCAAGGACCGCCTTCGTCTCAAGCGCAGACCCCCGTGGATCTCCCGTTCGTGCCCTCCTCGGGGCCGTCAGGGACCCCGCTGGGGGCCATGGACCACCCCCTGCCCGGACATCACCCCTCGAGTGAGGCTCAGCGCTTCACTGACATCATGTCGCACCCCCCGGGGGACTCGCCCAGCCCCGAACCCAACCTGCCCGGGTCCTTGCACTCCATGTCCGCAGAAGTTTTTGGCCCCAGCCCCCCATTTTCGTCGATATCCGTCAACGGTGGTGCTAACTACGGCAATCACTTGTCCCACCCTCCAGAGATGAACGAAGCAGCTGTGTGGTAGCTTTAAACAAACTGGGTCTAAGTAAGTGATGATCATCTAGTCTGCTTATTGTTATGGTGTACAGAAATGAATTCATATAACATCTCTCCCGCCCTAAGACAATTTTACCTTGGGAACGAACTGAATCCAATCGCTCCAAGGCAAGCTTTGCTCTAGACCAGGACAATCTCCATGTTATGGTTGTATCAAACAAGCAAGGGGACTTTTTTGTACCATTGACAAAGAAACTGGGGAAGCTGTACAGTAAAAGTGCTGCCATTCCGTAGGATGGCTAAGTTTGATTACCCTGTTGGATGTCATCCTAAGAGCCACAATCCTTAGAAACTTCTCGTTTAAAAAAAAAAAAAAATTAAAAAAAAATTTAAAATAATTGAATGAAGGAGAGGTCAAAGAAAAGGGGAAAAAAAGCTTCAAGAACTCTCTATAGCGTTCCTGGTTAAGGATGGTTCTGGCATTATGAATCTGTTTGTTCATTTTTGTCTCTCAGAAAGTTCGACAACAAGAAACTCTTTTTAGCTTCAGCCATTTCAGCCTGCTGACGATCAGGTGGGACAACTTTTCCTTTTTCCTTTCTTTTTTTCTTTTCTGTTTTTTTCGGTTGTTTAGCTTTGGTTTTGTTTTGGTTTGGTTTGGTTTTTTTTTTTTCCAAAAATAGCAAATACTAAATGTTAAGCCCTCAGCACCAACTCTGCTACCTTCACAAAGCTACACGTACAAAACCTCCTCATCATAGCAAAGGTCACCACCCAGACCTCTAACGAAAATGACTTGAAAAAACAAACAAACAAACAAAAAGTATTCTACCTTCACAGAGAGAGAAAAGCTAAACAAAAAAGACTCTATTGAACTAAAAACAGTCAACTGTTTACGTCTAATGTTAAATTCAGGAGCTCAATGTTTTACTAATAAATCCTGTTTTAGAAAAACCTCTTGTTCAAAAGCAAACGATTTTGAGCAGCCAACCAAAATAGTTCATTTTCTTTTCTGTAGATGTTCTAACAGATTGCAGGGCTTGTGGTTCACTGTGCTAGTTTGTAAAAGGTGTTGTTTACAGAAGGCAAAGAAAAAAAAATCCACAAAACCCAGACAGTTGCCAAATAAAGTAAATATATAGCACAAATACTGTAAGGTGCTTTGCACCAGCAACCCGAGAAGGTGTTTAAAAAGTGTTACAATGTTAAAAAGAAAAAAAAAAAAAAGACAAACAAACATCTTTGCTAATTTTTAGTCCTGTTGAACATTCATGGAATTGTTAATATGACTTATATAGACCCACACAGGTTTTATTTTTGTGTCTTTAAAATAAAAGTCCAAAATATTTAAATTTTATGGTCAAATATGCAGTCAACAGCTGCTACTTTTTTCTTTATATATTAAATTTCTCATATGTCTTTTATTGTTCTAATGAACCTAAGCTTGTGTGACCTCCAGTGCATATTAGACCATTCACTGTATGAAAGAAAACATGTTGGATAAAATTTGTGCGTTTTTAATAAAATTAGAAAATCTGATGTTTAGATAACTTGTGTTTCATTTGATGTTTGAAGCAATTTTTAGAAATTGATTCTCTTGAGTAAAATAGCCCTGAGAAGGAACGATCCACTCTGCTGATCCTGGGCAGCTCTGGCTCTGGTGGGAGTCTGAGCCCTGGTGTCGATGCAGACAGCAGCCAGAGGCAGCTCCAGCCTTTCTTTCCATCTCCAGGCTCAGTTGTTGAAGTCCAAATACCCTGTTCCACAGCGTTTTAAATTTTTAAATTCCGAAATAATCAAATTATTCAATATCTTCGTTTACTCGTGCTCTATGCTAAGAGAGAACATTCGAAATGCTGATTTTATGCATAAACAAAAACGTGCTGTAAATGTGAAATGCTTGCAAAGATACGGTTTGCAATTGATCCAGTTTTAGTTGATTCTTCGAAGATAATTTTACTTTTTTTCCTCCTAATTGGATGGTTTGGACACAGCATAACCTCAATGTCCTGAAAGTAATTTGAATCCTTTTTCCTTAGAGCTGAGGCAGAGTCAGTGCTTTGGCGGCGTTTGGTCGTTCTGAAGTTCTCTGAAGGGCAGTGAGGGAGAATATTTTGCTTTGCCCTCGATGCAGCCTCATCCTCTTGGAGAAAAACGAAACAAAAAAAAATTCCTGGAGCCTTGCGAAATGCCAGATTTCACGTTTTAATTACCAACCGTGGCAGAATCATGAATATTCAGTTGTCCAAAAGGAAAAGTCCCGCTGATTCCGAGAGGACCTGGAGCTGTGCTGGGGACAAAGAGTCAGGTTCGGTTCTGCTTTGAATGTTCCTCCTGCTGGGTTAATGGAGAGGGATGAGCTGGGATTGCATCTCCTCCTTCCTCTCCCTCACCGGGCTGGCGCTGCCTTCGCTTTCATTTGAAGTAGGCACAGGATTTTATGCTAAACCCCAGACTTCCCCGTGCCCAGTGATTCCATTATTTCTCTCTTCGGACTGGGGGTGGGAAAAGAACCAACTCCAAATGTTTTTGAGTTGTATAGTTTGTAATTTTCAATGGTGATTTTTGATTTTGTTCAATACCTAATTTCTATGCCCAGCAGAGGGGCCACCTAGATGAAGCAATAGTTCACTTTAAACACAAAATGTCTTATATAATAACAATATAAAGATAAAAAAACTATCTGCAAGGGATCTGTTAGTGTTTCTAAAAAAAAAAAAATAATTCATGCTTTATTAAATACAGGGGAGACTTCTTAAACTCCTGGACTCCGTGTCTAACTCATTTGTTTGTCTTTTGTGCTATTGCCATGTTTTGTTGCTCTGGTTTGCATTTATATAAGCGGAGGAATGGGTGATTTATTTATTCCAAACTTCTACTTATCTGGGAAAGATAAATACTGCTGTTTGTGCTGCTGGGCTGGGCTGCTGCTTTATTGTTGGATCAATGATTTTAAATGAGGACTTTGCCAAATAGGTTTGTTTTGTAGGAAATCTCTCTTTCTCTCTTTCTCTCTTTTCTTTTTCCTTCCTTCTCTCTCTCCTTTCCTTCTTTCCTTCTTTCTTTCTTTCTTTCCTTCTCTCTCTTGGTCCTTGTACAGTTTATTCTCTGTTCATTCAGGCAGTGACAAGGCTCAGTTTAGGTCAGTTCAGGTTGTAAAAAGGAGAGCTTGTCTTTTAGTGACGCTCCCATCGCTTCCTTGGGGCTTTGCTGGGTTTGGGGGAGCCCAGGAGCCGTTCCCATGGCCGAGGCCGAGCCCCAGCCCGTGGAGATTGGAATTCTGCCCTCCTCAGAGCCAGCTCGGTGTGTCTGAAGCCCCTAATCCAGCAACAATTGCACAGTCAAACTCCTTTGAAAGCATTGTCACGTTGGCTTCTTGTAAGTCCTTGTTTACAAGAGCGTTTCCATTGACTCCGGCGGCGTTCCCTGGATGGGTGGGTGGGTGGATGGATGCATGGATGGAGGGATGGATGCATGGATGGGTGCAGGGCTGTGGGAGAAGGGCCTGGAGCCATCCCAGGTCCTGCACTGTCTCTGCCATGCGAGGCCTCCCCACGAGCCCTTTGGCAGTACCTGCTCTCCCCTGGTCTCTCCTATGCCCTGAGGTGACCTCGGGGCCGTGTCACTGCCAGAGTGCCCCAGCCCCCAGCAGAAGGGCTGCAGGCCATGCTGGGAGTGCTGTCCTGCTCTGTGCACCTTGATCGACGTGTGTAAAATGCCATGGGTTTCCAGCAGCCAAAGCCCTGCTTTTGGCCCAAATGTCCCACGCTGTCCCCACCGAGGCTCCTCTCTGCCCAGGCCCTGCTGGGATCTGTCTGCTTGGGGATGGAAAGGGATTTGGGAAGATCTGTATCCCAGGAATAAGGATGTATTTAAATGATAATTTGTAGACAAATGATTTGTAATATTTTAATGTCTGTACCCAGGTGCTGAGCGATGGGTACAGGATAGAAATTGAGAAATAAATATCATTTTAAAATATCAGTGGTGATTGACATACTTTTGCCATCCTGGGAAGTGGCAGATATTGCAGTGTCCTCTCAGGAGTGGTTCCTTTTGCTGTAGTCTGGATTTTTATCTTGAATAACTGTGTTGTCTTTAAGCTTTGCATGTTCTTACAATACGAAATTGAAGCATTTGCAATCCCCCTTTCTGTTCCTACCCCTAACAGATAAATTCACATCTACTAAGTTTAAACAATTCTTAATTCTTAAACCTTCTATGCTGGCGAGCTGGGAACAAGGAATTGTGATGCTGGAGCAGGTTTTGGGTGATCCTTTCTTTGTCTCTGCCACAGCACTGGGGTGCTCAGCATTCCTCATGCCAACAAAACACCCCTGAAGTTATAAATGGAATTAATGTGTCCATTGAAATATATTTTGGTTATAAATCTGGGATTTGTTTATTTGTTGGTAGTACTCGTGGTGGTTTAGCTACAGAGCCTGGAAAGCAGAGTTTGATGTGAGAGTTTCACTCACCAAATGCAGAATTGTAATGCAGGAATTGGAGAGGAAATGTGGCCTTGTGGTGAGGTGGCCTCCAAATTCCTAAACCCCTTGGATTGCTGGAACCGTGCTGTGGGGTGTTTTCAGGGTGTCCCTGCAGGGCTGTTCCCGCTGGCACACGGGATCACAGTTGTTGTTTTTGTTGTGGGAACATCCCTTGGTGACACTGCCAGGACACGGGAGTGCCTCTGCTCCAGGATGTCACCAAACCCAGGGACAGCTCTGCCTCGGTGCCATTTGGGCACCGCTCGCAGTTTGGAAAATCTAAGAATTAGGGGCATTTTTGCTGCTTGGTTTTACTCCAAGCTCCCTTCCTGAGGAATCTGACCCTGCTCAGGCTGCTGGGATCCCACGTGGCTGGAGGAGATCCTGGGCCCAGGTCTGCAGGGCAGGGTGAGAATTGTGGCACAGCACAGAACCTGGGCTGGAGAACCTCCCGGGGCTGCCTCAGTGAGAGGAATTCCCAGGGTTGTGGGGATTTCGGGGCTGCAGCCTCACACACTTCCCTGCTGCATGTCTGTGTGCTGGCATGGCTGTGCACAGGGTGGTTTGCTTGAAAATCAGACATTTGGCTCCTTCTAAAACCAGTTTTTGTCTAGTTTTTCAATTGTCTTTGGGTGGCCTTTAAAATTCTTATCTGCTGTAAGGATCTTTGGGCTGTGCATCTCTTCAGACACACTCTGTTCCTTCTATTTTTCAATGTAGGAACCATTAAGGGTTGATAAAATCTTTAAAGCAATTGTGTTTTTTGAATGAGGGATGGGTTAGGAATAGCAGAAGTACTCAAGTAAATAAAAGCACAGAAGAAAAATACTAATAAATATTTATAAGGAGAGTTTTTTAATGTACATAATCTAAATTTTATGTAATTTGTTTTAGCGGATGGGGTTTCCTTGTGTTCTTTTCTGTTTCTCCCTAGTTCTTTTCACTTCTTTTTTCTCTCCTCTTCATGGACAAATTGTGTTGCTGGTTTAAAAAGAACATTTTAACCGAACTAGCATGACTGAAACGATAAAGGTCAGTTTGGAAAAGGACATTTGCTCGCCCAAGCGTTGGCAAGATCAGCCCCAGCTCGTGGCTATTTTTGGCCAGCACGAGGCCCTCTGTATATGGGTCAAATTTTGCTGTTGATGAAGTGAGTCAATTAAATTGAGCAGAGGCGACTCCAGGGTGGGTAATTCCCGTGGATCTGGTGGGAATGCCGTTGGAATGGGCTCCTGCAGCCCCTGGGGGTCCCTCGCTGGCAGTGCCCGAGGGGTTCCACGCTTCCTCCCCGGCCCATTCCTGTGCTCTGGTCAGGGAATGGCTCTAAAAGATGGATTTATATTAACAACCTGCAATTGTACAGACAGGGAGGATGGTACAGCCCTTCCCTGCCACAGCTTCCACCTCATCTGACAGTTTCCCAAAAGCTGACGAGCTCCACGGGTGCAGCAGCGAGAGACGCTGAGTGGGAGAAATTGGAAGCTGCTTTCACAGCCCAGCCCGCTCCACCTTCCCTTGTTTATCTGCCCTGTGTTTAGGCTGTTATTCCCATTCTAGAAAAAGGCATGTGAATAAAAAAGTAAAATTAAGAGGGGAAAATGGCGAAGAGATGATGCCAGTGAGGTTGATGGGGTTTCTAAACAGGCCAAGGGTTTCTCTGAACCGACCGCGAGGCACAAAAAGCCTTCCATGAGCATCTCACATGAAAATGTATCGACAGAGTTTTTGTACAAATATTCCCCTGCTCCATTCTGAGTCCCAGGCTCGGCAGCATGGTTGGAGGGCATGTGAACCAGAAATTAAAACCCAGCCCCGGAGTCTGATTTAATTACCCTGCTAAGTGAAAGGCAGAGGAGAGAGAATAAACAGCGGCAGAGGCGACTCTGCGGGTGAAATATTTTAACAATCCCCGACTTCCACAGGCTGCAGCTGCTGTTTGATGTGGCTTTCTATTGACTGCACCTCCTCCTGAAAAACTGCGAATTAACAGCTCCTGTGGCTGCGGGAGTGAGGTGGGGGTGACCCAGCGGTGAGGGGTCCCCCACACCTGAGCACACTTTTTGTTCTGCACGGCCGTGAGTGATGGATGTGGCACAGAAGAGGAACAGGAGAGCTCTGCCAGGACCCCTGAGTTTACAGCTGTGTGCACTGGATTTGAATGCATTGCTGCCTTTGGGATTTATATGGAGCAATTGTCCCATTAGTCTCAGTGGGTGAAATCCTGATCTCAGCGGCCTGAGCAGCAAAAACGCTGGGACTTCAAGAAGCTCATTTTTTACTCCAAAGGACTAATGCAACTCACTTGTATTTTTTATTAATTCTGCTGGGTCTGTTTTATTTAACCATCACTAAAAGCCTCTCTCCCTTCATTAACAGGGCAATTCATTATTTGTGAGGGTAGACAACATCCCTTTTTCACTCTAAGAGTGCAGAGGTTTGAAAATGCAATTATGCAGGGCAGTCTTGGCACTAGTTCTTTGGTTGTGTGAGTGGTTAGTTACTCAGAAGTAACTGCACAGGTAAGCACTTGTTCCTGCTATTTAATTTCCCACGGATTTATTTCTCCAGGCTCCTCCCTTTGTTTATGGTGGCATCTGGGAACAAAATACCCCCAAACTCAAAGGGGAAAAAAAAGGAAAACCTAGAAGTAAAGCCAGGGAAGATACACTGTGCATGTCTCCTGGTGTATAAGTTTCCTGCTTTTTCAAACCATGTCTTTGTAAATAAATAAACAAATAAACAAATAAAAATCAGTGTTTAATTTCTCCTTGCTGGAGCAGGGGTAATCCCCCACCATCGGCCACGCAGAGCACTAGAGCCATCCATCCTGCCGTGATAAAATAAATACAAACTACAAAACCCAGTTGGATTTTATGCTGTCGGGTGTTCTAAAGCTTGGGGAGGTTTGCTGTGAAAATGTGCGTTTTCAATAAACATTGACTTTTCTATAACTCGACCTTTATTTTCTCATCCAGGTACCCAGCGTCAGGGAGGGGTTGGGAAGGGCAGGGCGATGTTTGGGCTTTTCCAGCCGCTCCCTGTCGGTGCCTGCCAGGTTTCTCGGCGGCTGTGGGAGGGAGCCCGGTGGAGGCGATGGGAATTCCTGATATTCCTCTGCCCTCTGTAGGAGAAGCGCCCGCATGAGCCGTGCGCCGGGATGGCTCCGTCCTCGCCTCTCCAAGCACCTCCTGCTCGTTTTTATGGCGTTTAAAAGCACCTCGGGGGCAGGCAGGACAAGAAGGGGACGAGCATCAGTTCCTCAGGTTCGCCTGGAGCCTTGGCAGGTGAAACTTGCGCTGGATGTGCAAAGCCCAAATCCGGAGCTCCTTGTGGGCTCTGGAGCTCAGAGCTCCATCTGCAGCTCGGATTGGAGAGGCTGAGCGGGGGCCCTGCTCCCTGGAACAAAATCCGTGGCAGCCTCCCCAGTTCCAGGCAATTCCTGGAGTTTTGGAGTTTAGGAGCAGGGAAAGGGGCCGGAGAGGGCGAGCCCAGAGAAGGCGGCGCTGCTAAAGCTCTCTGCAGGTCACGTCTGCATCGCCCGGCTGCTGCTCCTCCGCCAGTGTGTGACCCCAGGAGCCAAAATTCCCCAATTCCCTGTGGCTGGTGTAACTGGGGTGTAACTCGGGTGTAACTCAGGTGTAATTCAGGTGTAACTCGGGTGTAAGGATCTATCTGCGTGCGAGGCCTGGCCTGAGAACCCAGCTCTGGGCCTCACCGCTGTGAGAGGGACTCCAGCAGAGGCCACAGAATGTTTAACACAGGCCGGGAGGAGAATTAATTCAGTTCTCAGCACAGCTGGAGAGGCAGAGAAAGTCTGACGTTGATGTAAAGCAATAGTTGTCATATTGTGCATTATTAATGGCACTTTGCTGCTGTGCTGCCGGTTTGGGATCCGGTTCCGTGAGCCCCCATTCTCACAGCCCTGCTGCCCACAAGTGCCGTGAATCCCCCGGTAATGACGGGGGGCTCGGGGGGCTCCCGGCTGGATCCCGGTGTCATCCCAGGATCGTTCCCGGTTGGATCTTGGGCTCATTCCCTGTAGGATGCCCCGCCGTTGGCCCCGCCCAGCCCCGCGCGCTCCCCCCAAGATGGCGGCGCCCTTGGCCCTGCAGCTGCAGGAGCTGCTGGACCCCCGGCCCGCCCCGCGGGACCCCGAGGATGATGTGGAGGAAGGTGCGTGAGTACCGGGGCAGGGGGGGTTGGCACCGCGGCCACCAGGGGCGGGAGGGGCCGGCGGGGGCGGCCCGGGCACTGCGGAGCGCTGCCGGAGCGGCCGCACGTGGCGCCGCGCCGGCGGGGAGGGTCGGGGCCCCCGGCCCGGGGGGGTCTCAGGGGTCGGGGCTGGTCGGGTCTGGGGGTTATCTCCGCGATGGGGTTCATCGAGCCACCTGTGGGATCGGGGATGTGTCCGGGACCACCCCCGGGGTCGGGCCTGGGTTAGGCCTGGCCTGGTTCTTTCCTGCAGTCTGTGAGGGCAGAGTCTTGTAAGAAACATCTTATTAATTGAGGAGGTTACCGTGGTCAGCAGGGGCGTTTTCCCATTTTAATAACCATAATTTCGTTCCAGGCTTTGCAGAATCCCAGACTGGTTTGGGTCTGGGGTCTTAGAGCCCACCCAGTGCCCCTCTGCCATGGGCAGGGACACTTTCCACTGTCCCAGGCTGCTCCAAACCCACCCAGCCTGGCCTGGGACACTGCCAGGGGCAGCCAGAGCTGCTCTGAGGAGAACTTCATCCTGTGGTGGTGCCAGGACTCAGGATAACAGGAGATGGCTGGAAGGATCTGCCTGTGCCCCTCCTTGTTGCCCAGCATTTTGCCATCCTCTGCTGCCTGCAGTGACTGTACTTTGCTGCTTTGGTTATGAGCAGGAGATTTTTTTGCCCTCCTCTGCCTCTAACAAACCCTCCAAGCCAGGCATTAACATTTCCAAACACACACTAAGGGCACTCAGGGATTGGAGCCCTCGTTGCCCTCAGAGCTGAGGCTGTAATTTGGCACAGGCACAGAGTGGAAGCAGGGAGGGAGGATGGTGGGATGTGTGTGTGATCTCTGCACTGCTCTGCTCTGTGTCCTGGGGGAGATGGGGGTGAAGGAGGGCAGCAACCACAGTGAAATTATTTCCCCTGTTGAGCTTTTCTGAGGTGTTTATGTATTTGTGTGGTTTGTATATACAGCAAGAGGCCAGAGTGCCTCTGAATTGGAGTTTTCCTCTTTTAACCTGCAAGCATGAAGTGAGTGAAGGCATTGAGGCTTTGCAGAGTCCTCCACGTGAAGGCTCAGAGACCCTCCTGCATCCTTGGGAGGGCTTGGATGGGCTTAGTTCATGTTCTGCTTCCTGCAGGAACCTTTCCCCCTTGCAGGAAATGATCTGTGTGCCTTTCCTGCACTTCCCAAAGCCCCTGTTCCCTTGTGCAGTGCACTGTTGTTACAGGGCATGAGGAGCTTCCCAGGGCTCCTTCCAGCCTGGAATTCAGCTCAGTTTCACACACTTTTCCCTTTTTTTTCCCCCTCACAGCTACAGTTGCTAAAGTGATAGACAGATTTGAGGATGAAGCCACGGATGACCTTTTGCCTGTTGGTAATATCAGGAAAAGAGCTTCAGCCTCTCTCCTGGAAGCTGATCAGAGGTACAGTGGCAAAGCCACATCTCGGAGAGCTCTGCAGGAAGAGCTCTGGGGAGATGCTCTGTCTGAAGAAGGATCTGGTAAGAAATCTCTTTTTTTCCCCCCCTTTTTGCTGGCAGACCATGATGTCAGCACGTGGCTGAGCATGGCAAACCTCAGGGCCCTGTTACAGGGCAAGGAACAGCTACAGTTCAGCCCAGACCTGAGCTGGTGCTGGTGAACTTTTCTGCTAAATAACTAACTTTTTTCTCTCATTTACCAGCTGAAGAAGCACTGGGTGACTGGTACAGTGGCAATGAAGGCTCAGAAGAGGAGGACAGTGTTGGCACTGAGGGCAGGGAGAAGGCCAGCAGTGCTGGCAGTGAGCAGGAGGCTGACTTGGAGGATGATGAAGAGGCCAAGGCACCACAGTTCAGCTCCCAGAATATCACAGACTTTGAGAAGTTCACAGAGGGCATGGACGATGCAGGGAGCAGTGAAGGGGAGGATGAAGATGAGGATGAAGATGATGCTGACATGGAAGAAGGAAGTGACGAAGAGGAGGAATTTGGGAGTGAAAACCACGATGATGGAAAAGAAACCAAAGGCAGTGAAGATGATGGGGGAGTGCTGACCTTCTCCAGAGGACAGGAGTCTGAAGAGGTGGAGAAGGGCAAAGCTGTGAGGAACCAGCTAGGTTTGTGCACGTTTGCTGTGTGTTTGCTGGCACTGAGCAGCCAGCCTGGTGCATGCTGCAGCAGCCCTGTGTGTGTGCAGATGTTCTGCCAGATGTTCTGGTGGCACTGCTGCTGTAACAGCTCCTGATGGGAAGTGTATTTATCCATCAGCTTTACTGAGCCAGTGCTGAATGTCCTCATGGGACCGCTGGGTTTGGGAGCTCCCTGTGCTGGCCCTGCTGTGATCACTTTGTGTCTTTGCAAAGTGCAACTCCCAAAATGCCATTTCTTCCTGCCTGAGCTGTTAAACTATCAAACTTTGAAAGAGCAAAGCAAAGGGATGGTTTGGTCTGTGGGTCACAGAGTTGCAGTTGGGATTTGCTTTGTCCAGAGGCTTGTGGCACCCATTTTGTGCTGGCCAGTGCATGCCAAGGCTGCCCTGAGCAGGAGCAATGCAGGCAGAGGAGGGGGCCTGAGCTGTCAGGTCCTTCACCAGGAATAAATGCTTTGTCTTGCTAACTGATTCTTTTCTTTCCTTTTTGTTTGAAGCCCTGTGGGATCAGCTGATGGAAGGGAGGATCAAGATGCAGAAGGTGCTCCTGACAGCCAACAGGCTGCCCCAGCCAGACACCTACCCCAGGTTCAGGGAGGAGGGGGGACAGGACTTTGACCACGCTGTGGAGAACTGTAAGAGCCTTTTTTTTTAATCTTTCTCCTTTGCTCAGACTCTTATAAACAATTGCTTATTGCTGTTCAGTGCAGAGCTGGGCTGCTTTGTCCACAGACACCTTGTGCCAGTTTTGTGCTGGGCCAGTGAATGCAGAGGTTTGCCCAAAGCAGGAGCAATGCAGCCCAAAGGAGGGGCTGTGCAGGTGAATTCCAGCATGGAGCTGCTTCATCTGTTCATTCCTGAGTCACTGATAGTGACACTGATGAGATCTGTGGTGGATTCTCCAATGTGAAATCATAACATGCAGGCTGCAGTGGATCAGTGCTGGGCTTCAGCGTGGTGTGGTTCTGCTCAATTTTTATTTTTGGGCACCTTTTTTCTGGCCTTGAGGCGAATGCACAGGGGGAGAGAGATGTCTGGGCCATCAGACATACCCTGAACCTTGGTCCTGCAGCAAGTTTTGGCTGTGAGCCTCTGCCTTAGGGCAGGGCAATCAGCCTACCTGCAGTTACAGGTGAGTTGCTTTCTGCTTTAAAGTTGGCTCTGTGCTTGAAATGAAGTGATTAAGGACAAAAAGGCAAACTCCCACCAAGGCTGTGCTGACCTTTCAGTGGAACACACGTTATTAATGTCCTTAATGAGATGCATTACAAGCTGCCCCAGCTCCATGTTTCATTACAGGTCTAAGATGCAATATCATTCAAGACCTTTAACAGAAACAATGGTTGACATTTTGGTATTTCCCATAAGCAAAATACACCCAAGAGCATGGAGTGTAATGTCCCCAGACAGAGGCTGATCCCTCAGTTGTGCAGAGCTCTGAGGAAAACTAAAACTGCACTGCCAGGAAGTGCTGAATGATCCCCTGCTGACCTTCTCCTCATCATCTGGGCAGGGAGTTCACTCTGATGTTCCTCAGAGCTTGGGTTTATGTTCTGTGTGTCATCTGTGAGGACAGAACGCAGCTGGAGTGACATGGACAGTGTTAGCAGAGGAAATCTCAGGCTGACAGATGGGAAATACTGAATTTAGGAACATTCTACCACTGCTGCTGCACTTCAGCCTTGGGCAGGATTGGGGTTCATCATGGCATGGGCACTGGTTTGGCCTGGATGGTGCTCTCCTTTCAGGGCAGCCTCAGCACTTCTGTCCAAACCCACCAAATAAATCTGGCATGTTTTCATCATCCTCATTGAACAGGAGGGAATGATTTGGTGTTCCAGTTGCACAAAAGAGTTGGTGCCAAAATCCCAAACTCTGGGTGAACCCTGCAGGAGGCTCCCAGTGCTCTCAGAGCTCCTGGACAAGAGTGTTTCCAGTCATTTTCCCCAGATCTTTCCATTTCTTGTGAAATTTCTGCTCTGTGCTCAGAGGAAGATTGAATTTTTTGAATTGGAAAATGGTCCTTTGTGTATTTTCCTCTTGGGTATCTCCTACTCAGGACAGCCCTGTTGTGGTGCTGGAATTCCCTAGGGGCTGGAGTGTAATTGTGTTAAAGAGTAGACAGCAATTCTCCATCCATTTGCAATTTTAAAGCCAAACCTGGGAGAAAATGGCAAGGTCATGCTCATTTTCCAGATTTTGAGACCGGAGGTTACAATACCTAAAATGTTTAATTTATTATTTTTGTAATCTTTTATGATTTTTTTTTCTTTTGAATGTTACAACATGCTTTGGACAACCTTAGATTCCTGAGATCTCAGGTTCTGGTAGATGATTTACTGCAAAATTGCTTATAAATTGAAGTAGAAAATGTTTTGCAGACCTGGCAGCTTTCAGGCTTCACACCCATTTGTCACCCAGCATTTCCCTTTGTGTATAGAACAAGAATTAATTAGGCTGCACTGCAGGAAAAGTTTATGGCCATAATTTATATAGGATGAATTTCTGTTTAAAGAGACAGCATTGCTTTGTTTGTGCTGTCTTACTTTTTATTTCCCTTTTTTTTTTTTTTAATCTTTAATTATATTCCAGATTTTTTTTTTCTGTCACCCTTTTTACATACAAATGGGAGACCAAACTGTGGTCATGGAGCTCATGTTTATTCCTGTTTTGCACCCAAGTCTGGATGGTTTTCAGTGCTGAGATCAGAGTGGCTGAGCTCTGAAAGCAGCACAAATGTCCAGTGTTTAATGCCCTGCACACACAGACCCTCCCTGCTCACAATTCCAAGGTGCTGGGCTGTTCCTCCAGCACAGATTTGTATTCCCCTGCACTGCATCTTCCAGTCTGGTCCAGGGCTTGAGATGCTGCCTCTGTTTGGGGTCTTGCACGTTCAATTAATGTTTTTCATAATCAATGCGAGTCAGAATTTGCAATCTGCTCCTGATTTGCACATTAAAGAGACCCATTAATTAAAAATTCCAATCCCTGGCATGTTCCCGCAGGATCCCTGCATTATTTACATAGAAAAGGAGTGCAAGGTGCAAGTTTCTGTGCTGTGCCTGTGCACAGATTGCAGGCCTGCCACTCATATTTCACTGTGCTGCAAGCTTGGAAGGGGATCTCCTGAAATTGTCTCCAAAAATCCCCTCAAGGGGTGGGTGGGGATGGATTTGCTCAGTGCAGGAACCAAAAGTGGGGACAGCAAATATTAGCTTATTTACACTTTGGAGAGCTGGGGTGAAGTTTCACCAAGGTATCAGTAATAAAATAAAATAAAATAAACCTGAATAAAGTGAATCAGATTTAAAAAAACAAAACAAAACAAAACACCCCAGAAGACCCACAGGGCTTTGTTGCCTTCTGGGAAATGCAGTTGTTGGATTTTTGTTCCTAAAACTTTGAGGGACCCAGAAATGGCTGTTTCTGGGGTGGAAATTTGTGGTGAGTGTGCTGGGAAAGAACTGTGCTCCCATCTGGAATAATTCCTGAGCTGGGCCCTGGCACAGCAGCTTGGGTTCCTGTCCCATGACAGATTCTGTGGCTTGGGACTAAACAGCACATTTGGACCTCTCTCTCTGAGTGCTTCACACTATCTTCATTTGCTTCTGGCTTGGTTCTGCAATATTTTGACATTTAAGATTCAGTTAGTGTATGACTGTATGTTTTCAGTGTCTTTAATGAGGATTTTTGTTGGGCTCTCTTAATCCCAGTCTTTAAAATAATATCTTTACATCCTCCACAAGATCCAGATAAGTCATGTTGAAGACACTGATTAAGCAGGGACTAATTTTGGATAAAATCCAGTGTGCTGTAGGTGCCAGAGAACCTGTTCCACTTCTTGGGAGAGAGGATGTGCCTGGCAAAGGTCTTCTCCTCTCCCTCACCTGGACACAGCTGGGTGGGAACAGCTCTGTGATGAAATGGGATTTACTGACACAGGCTTGGCATTTTTAAAGGAAGCCTGCAGGATCAGCAGCCAAGAACTCCCTGGTAATTCTGTTCTCACCTCTATTCCTGGTGGTTTTCAGAGCTCCAGTATATCCACACCTCCATCTGGAGATGTTAATGCATTAATACAGAGCAGGGTGAGTGTCACAGGGAGGGGGAGGAACTGAGGCACAGGCAGATTACACAGTTTCCAGAGGCATAGAGCAGTTACGGGATTAATTGGTGCTAGGCAAGATCATGGACTTAAATATATTCTTGCTTTGAAGATTTTACTGGGAGCCTGCACAAATGTGTGACAGCAGAACTGGGTTTCAAGCCTGAGTGTAAATTATTGTGATCAGATCTAGCCCACTTAAAACTGGTAGTTCATTTTAATTGAATTGTGTTAGTCTGGACACTTTATGAATACAAAAAGCATCAGCCCTGTCAGTTCCTGCAGGACTGGATGTGATTGAAATGGATGTGGGTGCAGGTGTCCCCAAATTCCACCTCTCCTCTCTGGGTTCAGGTGTCCCCACATTCCACCTCTCCTCTCTGGGTTCAGGTGTCCCCACATTCCACCTCTCCTCTCTGGGTGCAGGTGTCCCCAAATTCCACCTCTCCTCTCTGATCTCGTGGAGAATCTGTTCAGCTCTTTTTGGGACTGAGCCAAAGCCTGTTGACATTATTGAAGACTCTTCTCTCAGCTGAAAGAAATGAAGGAATCAGATCCTTTTTTTTCTGAATTTTGTGGAATATGCCACAGAGAGCTTTTGGTGGGGAGTGGGCTCAGTGAGGATGAGTCGCTCCTGGGCCATTCTGGGTGTGCTGTGAGAGGAAGAGCCATGGAGGGAGAGGCTCAGGTTTGGAGCTCTGTGGTTGCTGTGTGAGTTTAAGTTGGGTCATGAAGTTCAGATGTTTTGGGCATGTGCAGAATTTGGGCTGTGAGAGGTACCAGGAAGGTATTTTGTGGTTTGTCATTGCTGTCTGTGATTTGTTCAGGAATTCTGTGGGGGAGGTAGTGGAGAAATGCAGGACATTTATTTAACATGCAGTTTTGGGTTGTTTTCAGAGGAAAAACTGTTGCCCTCCCTCACGGAGTGCCAAGGCTTTTGGCTTGTGCTGTTCACTATTTTTGAGCAGAATTGGTGTCCCCTTCTCATGAATGGGTGTGGTAAAATGATTTTGTAGGTGATATTTACAGCCATGTGTGTTGTTCATTGGTGATGTCTGAGGTTTATTTGAAATCTGCCTTAAATTTTGGTGCAGGAAATGCTGGGACAGTCCCTGGCTGGTGACCTGATCCAGCTGAACCCCAGCCTGTGGGATTACACCACACTCAGCTCTGCCTACACCTGAGTTTCTCAAGATTAATAGCTAATTAAACTGAATTCAGCTAAATATTTGTGCATGTAAGTCTGTGTACTGCACAAACAAGATGCAGGGAAACAAAGGCTTTAAAAGTGTCCAGACAAGCATGTGCAAATGTCAGCTAACTCGGATTAATTGGCAATTGGGTGCCTTGAGATGGAAACTCAGGGCTTGTCGTGATAAATATAATTAATGGCCTGGTATTATGTGGGGAGGTCAGTCTGGATGGGCTAATGTTCCCTTCTGGCCTTAATATCCAGATATAACTATGAAATCTCACATTTCCTCTTGCTTTCTCCTCCTTGCCCATGTACTTGGGGCCTCCAGGCTGGCAGAGGCAGGAATGTGTGCTGTCAGCTTCTTTGCATTTCCAGTAATGGAAAGCATCAGTTTTTATAAATCTCATTTTTGCCAGCCCCATCCCCTCCCTGGTTTGGGCTGATATCAAAAGATGATGGTTGAGGTGAATCAGCAGAGCATGAACTTCATGGAAGTGTTTCTCTTTCTCTCCTCCTCAGCTTTCCCCCTCCCCCAGTCCCCTCTAATAAACCCCTGAATACCCAGCCTTTATTCTGTTGTTGAATCCAGTTATTTTCTTTACTTTTAGCAAACTCATCTGTGTCTGATCCTGTTGTCCTCCCTGTCAGATGCAGTAATATTGGAGTGAAAGGGCTAAATTGAGGCTGTTCTGGAGCTCTTTGGGAGTCAGCTGAAGCTCTGCTGTGGAAGGGGGGTGCAGCCCTGGCTCCTTTGTGCCCAGGGAATACAATTTCCCCCTCTGCAAGGGCTCTTGCATCATTTGCATTCCAATGGAACCAGCAAACTGGGCTTGGGTGTGGAGCAGACCTTTGCTGTCAGCAGCAAAGTTGGCCCTTTTCCTCCTATCATTTGGTAAAATTCCCCAAACTCCCTTTTCTGGGAAGCATGAAAGGAGTGTTGCTCCCATCATTTCCTAAATTTGGACAGATTTCCCAGTGCTTTGTGCTGAAGTCTGTAAGAAATGGGAATGTAACCACACCACCTGTAAAAAATCACCTTTAGCCTAAACATTGAGTCTGGGCTGGCTCTTGGAGCTCCTGTGTGAGGCTTATCCAACAGAATTATTTCTTCAATTTCTGTGCCACGTTGCTTTGGGAGCCCAGGAAGCTCAGGGGGTGCCAGGCTGGAGCTGCTGCCATCCTGCCTGCCCCACCTTGTTCCTCCTGAGGTTCTTTCCACCCTGGGAATTCCATCCAGGCTCCTGCCCGCAGCCCCATGTCTGAGATGTGCCACCTGGAGGAATTCCCCCTCCTTCTCCTGGCTGGGAACGTGGTCCTGCTGCTGGGAATATAGAGCAAGCTCCAAAAGTAATACTGACAGGCTTCAGAATTATGATACACTGGAGCTGCGGCGTAATTCTTTGTTGAAGAAGTTAGAGGCCTAAAATGTTAAGGCTTATTGTTATTCCGAGTTGATAATCTCTGCCTTGCTTTAATAATTTTTCCTCATGCCTGGATAGCCTGCGAGTTGCACAATAATCACTCACACAGCTTTGTAATCAATGCCCAAAGTAATAGGATTCCGCTGGCCAACGGCAATTAATAAATTTGTGTCTTTTTTAAAACACTAGCAAGTCGGGCCTGAAATACGACTGACTGGCTTTCCTCATTTGCATATTTATTGCAGTGGAAAAATTCTTGCCGAATGATTGATGTTGAGCCTGCCTCTTGAATTCCAAACAGCACATTATTATGAAATGAAAAATGCCGGCCATACAGTTGATTAAAGTTGAAGACAGTGGAATCGGTGTTTTTTAAGATTGTGGGAGAATTAAAGGCATATTTTAATAGATGTTGACAAGAAGTGAACTAACAAAAGCAAAGCAAAGGATTTGCTTGAAAAGATTTAATCAAACGTGTTTGGTGGGGGATTAATTGCTGGGGATGACGAGTGCAAGTGGCTGGCTGCTGGCTGTGAATGGGGAGCATTGTTCCAAGGCCAGCTCATCCAGGGCCATTTTGACCTGGAGTTTAACTCCTGTCCCACAGCCCTTGAAGGGAGGGAAGGCTCTCCCTCTCCATTAAGTGCTGGGATAAACCTGTGTGCCAGGTGGAGATGCTTCTCCTTGTGTGCAGCCATTCAAATCAGAGGGTGGGCTCCTCCTCTCCTCCTTTGATCCCCGTGGTGGGGTCATGGGGGCTCCTGGGGACTGTCCATGGAGGCAGGGGAATGCTCCCAGCTCAGCTTTTGCTCTGCATCCCCTCATCCCAATGCCAGCATTGCTCCACTTTCCTGTGTGAGTGCTTGCCCAGCCTGTGGAGGGGCAGGGAGGATGGAAAGCATTGCATGCCTGTGGTGTTCCAGTGATGCCACAGCCCCAGATTGAATTGAGGGGGAAAAGTCCTCAATTCCCAGTGCTGGCACGGGCTCTGCAGTGGAGCTGTGTGCTGGGTAGGTGGTGGTTCCTGCTGGAACATCCTGGGGAGGGTTTTCCCAAGGATTCAGTGTCCCTGCGTGCTCCCACTGCTCCGTGCAGCTGCTTGGGAGGGTGAAATGGGACCCCATCTTCAGAGGGCATGGAAGGGAGTGCAGGGCTTCTGCTGGGTGGGAAGCTGTGGGAATGCTGGCCTTGGAGCATGGATGAGCACAGCAGCCCCCTGGCAGCCCATCCCCACGGGCACTGTGTGGATTCGGGGCAGCTCTGGGATCAGCCCCTGCAGCCAGGTCCCCTTCTCCAGTGTGTCCACAACCCCTGGCACTGACAGAACTGGTTTTGTGTGGTTTGAGAGCAGCAGCAGGACAGGTTTCATCTCTGGTGGGTCTCCTGGTACTTTGATCCTTGAGTGGAGCTAAATACTCCAGAGCTGCTCGCAGCCTGGGTGGAGGGCTGCATGAAAGGAGGATGTAAGAGGAGTATGGAGAGAAAGGCAGACTGTGATTTACTGGTGCTGGCTCCCAGCGTTCTGGGTGGATTCATCTGCTGCCTGCTGGGTCTGGAACAACTTTTACCCTCCTGGACACAAAATAAAGGGGCTCCAGTGGACTCTTAAAAGTGACTCTTCCAGGGCAGTGTCTCACCACTGACACTCTGAGTCCCCTCTGAGCTGGAAGTTACATTCCAGCCAGGTTTGTTGTGTGCCACTTTCAGACAAGGAGCAGCATTACAAAAACCCTGCTGAGGGTAGGAGGGTCAATCAGTGTCCAGCCTCCTTTCTAAACGACCCAGTTTGCATCCATGGAACAGTTGGGGTTGGTGCTGCCTTCATTCACAAGTGGGGCCAGACTCTGCCCCAAGGCAGGCAGTGTAAAGGGGTTTCAGAGGGAAGAGGAGGTGAAGAGGAGGCTGGGAAGAAAACAGCCCCTTGTGGAATTAAATGTGAGATGGATAGGGAAGGGCTAGATGGGCACAGAGCAGAGGAGGGTGACACTTGGCTTCTCAAGTTGAGTTTACAGCACACTTAAGCAGCCAGCAGCAGAAGTGAGAATGCCATCCAATAATGCTATTAAACACATGAGAACTGAGGACAGGCAAATTACCCAGCTGTAAGAGGCTCGTGATGAAGCCACTGCCTGGAATAATTAGCCCTCCCACCTGGTTAGACACACGGTCCTTGTCTTCCCTGCCCTCTCCAGCCCCTTCACTCCAAATAAAATTGCTCCCCATGCCCACTTCTGCTGGGGTCTGTGTCTCGTGGCCTGGGGCAGCCTGAGCCTGTCTTTATTTCCTTGCCTGCTCACCACGGCCCTGCTATACCCCAGAAGGGCTGGAGTGCTACTCCAGTTGTAATTGCCAGGATCAAAGCTGCCTGGGGTGCATTAGCACTGCTGCTGGAGGAGAGGCAGCAGGGAGAAAATAAACAGTTTGGGAAGCTCTGGGGACATTTGGCTGTGTTGCAGGCAGTGGGAAGGATTTTGCTGCTGTAAGCTGTGCACTCAGGCTAGGGTGGGGGCACTTGGCTCCTGCAAGTGATGCTTTAGCTGCAGACACCTACAACAAATGCATTTTTAAGGGCTTTTGTCTGTTTGTCTGGTGGAATTGTTTTGATGCTCACACACGTCTGATTTACAAGTGCAGCAAACCTAATCCGTTAATAGGTTTATATAGAGGAGTTGTCAGGGTGGATCTATAAAGAGCCACGGGCTCAGGGAGGGTGAGTCCAACAGCTGATCTGCAACAAAAATCTTAAAGCATCTTCTCCTTGACACTGCTGTTACTGAGGTCAGGCCATAATTTATCTGAAGGTGGTGACAACTGAGCAATATCACAGTGGGAACACGCAGGAGATTGAGACCTCTGAGTGTCTGGGCTGATTTCTGCCTCTGTCTGCCTGAGGAAGATTTGCTGCTCACTCTACCCATGATCTCTGTGTCCCCCACTGAAAAGCAGAAATAAAGGAAAAAACGGAGTGGGGAAAAGTTCTCCCTGTTCTTTCTGTGCCACGTACAAAGGGAGGCTGGGGAGTTAACAGAGCAGCCCCAGTGGCTCCGTGGCACAGGAGGCACCAGGGGAAGCTCTGGGGAAGGTCCCAGCTCCTGCTTTCCACACAAACCCACGTGCTCTGCCAGCCACAGTGAGGTCAGTTTGGGTTTTGGGTGGGGGTGTGCCAAGTGTTCCAGCTGGAGAGCTGACCCTGTGATGGATGTGCCAAGGGATGGTTTGTGTAGGCCTGGGCAGACACTTGTTCTCTGCCAGAGGGTTCTGCAGGGAGGCTTGTTGGTTGCCACAAAAGAACTGTTTTTGAAGAGCAGATGCTGTGGCAGTGTGCAGCTAACCTGTCCCACAGTCAGCTGGAACTGTGTGTCCTTGGAGAACCCACAGCCTTTGGAACAGGCACTGCATGGACACAGGAGAGCTTCCAGCTGCAAAAACCTTTGGGTACACAGCATCACATCTCCCTTCAGGATTTGTGTTTGAGCACCCTGGGGTGCAACTGCTCATCCCAGTAAAAATCACATTCACACCATGTATTGATCAATTCACACCCCTCCACCCCATCTTTTCTTCCCTTTCTCTCTTCCTGAGGATCTCTGGGCCTGCAGTTCTGCTTTTCTGATCAGAGTCCTCTCATTAAACTCTTCAGGTCATGGTTTAAAGTTTCCCCCATAGATCAGCTCTCATCACTTGTGTCTCTTGCTCTGCAGGTTGTAAAACCCTGGAGGTCTTGCTGAAGGTACTGGTGGAACTTCAGGATGAGCTGCTTTATCAGTACCCAGGCACGAGGCATCTGGTGGATGGAAAGCAAGCAAAAACTGAGAGGTAAATGCAGAAAGAGTTAAGATCTTCCTGAAGCCTTCCTGTCCAGCAAACTGGACAATGCCCAGCCTTCCTGGCCACCCTCACCCTGCTGCTCTCAGGTGCTGCTGTGTCTGGGTGACAGACACTGTTATTTGAATTCCTTCTGCCTTGTGGGAAGTCTGCTTTGGAATATTTCTGATAATGGAGCAGGGGCTAAACCGTGGGGCCTTTAACAAAAATATCTGTGGAGGGGCCAGCAAGGATCCCACATTGCCCTAGGGAGGGTCAGGGTGTTTATCCTGGGTGCTTTTGTTCCAGTGAGGATGAAATCCTGAGCAGCAGCGATGAGGAGCCAGTGGAGAAGGCTCAGGGGAAGAGGAGGAGCCTCCCAAAAAGGAAGCTGAAGTTTGAGGAGTACCCTGAGTTCATAGCCAAGCGCTACCGGGACTTCAGGAGCTACAGGAACAGCACCCTGCAGAAGTGGCACGACAAGACCAAGCTGGCAACTGGCAAAATGGGGAAGGCAAGGCCTGGTTTGTGTGTGCTGCCGTGGTTCCCATGGAGCAGGGGTCTGGGAACAGGTTTATACTGAAAAAGGGGAAATTTGGGTGGGTACATGGAATAAATTCTTCCCTATGAGTGTGGGGAGACCCTGGCTCAGGGTGCTCAGAGCAGCTGTGCTTGCCCCATCCCTGGAAGTGTCCAAGGCCAACTTGGATGGGGCTGGGAGCAACCTGGGACTATGTAAAGTGTCTCTTGGTAGTTTCTGTGTTCTCTCAACCAGGCATCCCATCACAGCCAGTCTCCAGCAGCAAATAATCCAGGAAAATGTCACTCTTGCTGCTGCAGGAGCTGTTTGTGGTTCCTCCCAGAAGCAGGGCCCTCTGAGGCTCTCCTCCTCCACGAAGTGTAGGCTTTAATACAATGGGTAATCATTTCACCCAGAGATCCAGGGTCTCCTCACATCTCTGAGTTGGTATTAATCATGGAGAAGTTAATCTGAACCAGAACAGCAAAGGCATTTTATTAAGCCAGGCATCAACTCGCCTCAGGTTGGGAAAGGAGAGCGAGGGAGAAACAAATGCAAAACCCTCACAGAAATCCCTGCGACGAGCCCAGACCCCCTCCTGCTGTTGGAGCTGCTTGTGCAGTGACATGGCAAGGCAGAGGGAGCCCGGGGGTGCCTGGAGGAGAGGGCTGTGTGTGTTCTCTGACACTGCTTGATGCCCTGCAGGGCTTTGGAGCCTTGGAGCGCTCGGTGCTGGCGCAGATCGAGCACGTCCTGCTGGACAGGGAGCGATTGCTGCGGCGCACCCAGACCCGCCGCTCCCTCTACACCGTGCTGGGCAAGCAGGAGCAGCAGCCTGCCCCAGCCCCTCAGCCCGGCCCTCACAGCTCGGTAAGGGGGGGTTTATTTCTCTGATTCACCCTGGGAAGCTCTGCAGAGCAGGGAGAGCCACGGTGGTGTGCTTGTGTGGGAGGTGGGCGGAGGAGGAGGTGTCTGAGCGTGGATTCCTGCTAAGGAAAAACATCTAAATTCCAGTTTTGTCATGTTTGCATTATCTCCTGTCCCGGTTCCTGACAGAGTGTCATAGGTTAAGAAGGAAGTGAATTTTTTTGGGAGGTTGTGGAAGAAGAGGTTTTACTTGAGCTGGGGTTGTGCCCCTCCTGTGCTGCTCACTAAATCTGATTTTTGAGGTAGCGGCAGCAAACCTTGGTTTTCACTCTGCAGTTTAGAGTCTTTAACCCAGAAAGTCCCTTTTAAAATCATACTGCATATAACCTACAGAATATGTTAGTAGTAAGCCCTTTATTAATTTAGTATTTAAGAATGAATAAATACTCAATTCTGAGAGATCAGGTAGAATTACTGGACTTGCAAGATGTATTTTTGCCATTACATTAAAAATATCTGTAGTATTTTGCCAGAAAGACTTTGCACAGTCCTATTTATTTCCCAGTAAAGGCATCATAAATCTATTCTGGCATTGGCAGCGTTTCTGCCTTGCCTTTAAATGTATTCCTGGTCCTTAAAAGCTGGTTATATTGGGAATTTTTCCCCATTCCTTCATATCATCAAGCGTGTTTACAAGCTGCTGCACGTGATGTCTCTGGAGTTAGGGGCAGAAATGTGCACATATGAGCTCTCAGTGTTTCCCTGATGCTTGCAGGAAGTCCTCCCTCCCTCAGACTCCAACAGGCACCTGAAGGACATCGATGAGGAGATATTTGATGATGATGACTTTTATCACCAGGTAGGTGATGGTAAATGTGTGTTGCAATTATGGCTCCAGTTGGGTTTTAATGCTCACAGAGAAAATGCACTTGGTTCCATGCTCTGTGTTTCTCTTTACCTGTAAAACTCAGTTACCTGTTTAACACCCAAAATCTCTGCAGGTCCCTCAGGCACTCTGCTCTGGGCCTCTGTGAGTTTGAAGCTGCCCTGTGGGTGTGAACTTGCTGCTGGTGCTTGAGTGTGTCAGGAGCTGTGCTTGTTGTTCTCCCTGGGCAACAACACAGGAGAAAAAGCTCTGAATCCTCTCTGTTCTCTGTGGGCAGAGCCCCCTTAGGAAAGGCAATCCCAGAGGATGCTCAGGAGCACTGGAAGTTGCTCTTGTCTCAGCCTAAATCATCTCATTCTCCTGCTGAATGGGAGAGCTCCTGGGCTGCTCCAGCACTTCCCTTGGAATTGGGCCAGCTTGAATCCAGGCCAGTTATTCCTGTTATTTGCAAAATTCTTAGAAGCAAGGATTCTGCACCCAGTGCAGGGAAACACTGTGTTTGTAGTTCATTTAATAAAGACAGTGCCAGCTTTATGAAAACTGGAATTGTCACATACTGAGGCATATGTCACTGTAAGCCCTTCCCCAGTGTGTGAAAACCCTGCCTGCTTTGATGATCCAACAGAGCCTGAACTTCAGGACTAAACAAATACCATTTTATCGCTGGAAAGACAGATTTTTTAAAATCTGAATAATTATCTAGAGTGGCCAGTAAAGAGCTGGGGGAGAGCTGTTGCCATGTGAGGATGCCAGGCTCCCAGTGGTGATGGGAGAGGGCCTGTCCTGTTGGTAGCAGAGACTGAAGATAAATCTTAATAAAGATAAATCTTTTGAGATATTCCTGAGGTGGAATTTGGGATCCAAATGACCCAGAAGCTCAACTTTGGGGGCAAATTGGACCCTAAGAACACAAAAAAAATGAAGTTGGTGTAACAAAATCATGGAGTGGAGAAAGAGCTGAGGTTGACAGTCTAAGGACCTGTGCAGAGAAGCTGCTTCTTGGCCATGAAATGTTAATTTTTTTAAAAGAAAACAGCAATGGATGAGTGTCCCCATCTTTCCCTCTAATAACTGTAGCTGTGCTAAATGGTGATTTCAGAAATATGAGCAGGCCCAGCTTAGCTTCTCCCCTCACTGGTTAATTGGGGTGCTGGGGTTAATCTAAATTAAAACTTAAACTAATAGAGGTCATTGAGGGAAGAGAGTCACCTGAGTAAAACAAATGGGTCTGCCAGGCACAACTGTATCTTGGCCATTTCCCAAGAGGGAAGTGGCAGCAAATTGGAGCAGTTTGAGGCCCGGGCAGAGGTGAAGGATGGGTGACAGGGTGACAGGGGCTCGCCTCCAGATTGCCTTCCCTGCTGCTCCAGCTGCAGGGGCAGCCCCAGCCAGCAACATCTGGCAGCACAGCCAGGCATGGGTGCCACTTTGGGACCCCCAGGGGCTGGAAATGCAGTGCTGGGGCTGCTGCAGGCTTTAATCACTTGGCAGTCCTTGGCAGCAGCTCCGACAGCTCTGCCGGCCTCGTACATCACACACAGACATCTGCTGAGCAGCCAGGCAGCTGCACATCCATTTCCCTCCCTTGCTGGGCTTTTTCTGATCTCTGTCCCTCCTCCTCTCCTTCCCTTGCAGCCTTCCCCTCTCCTCCATCCCCACAGTGCTCCCTGGCAGAGGGGATCCCTGCAGGTCCCGGTTTGTGTCCCGTGCTCGGTGGGCTTTATGGCAGAGATTGGAGCCAGCTCAGGGATTAGGCTGAGGAAAATGGCTCTGTGTTTTCTGTCAGCTCCCAATTAAATTGGATTCATAAAGTGCTTTCCTTTATTTGTCAGGGCGCCGAGCTGGAGCTGAACGCTGCATTGAGAGCAGGGAGAGCCCAGCACAATGGAGCTGACAGGGCCCTGAATGGCTCTGCCTTCCCTGGGTCACAACTGAGCAGGGCTTTGTGTGGGTGGGATTGCATGTGGGCACGGAAATCAAACCTGGGAGGGAGCTGCTTCTCCAGGAGTGATCAGCAGCAAGCTGAGGGTGCTCACAAGCCCTGACCCCTGTGCATAACACTGATTGCAGCCTGCATTTCAGCACCTGCCTCTTCCTTCCTATTTCAGTCTACATCCAGGCTTTCCTTGGGAGGCTCTGCCTTCCCTGGGTCACAACTGAGCAGGGCTTTGTGTGGGTGGGATTGCATGTGGGCACGGAAATCAAACCTGGGAGGGAGCTGCTTCTCCAGGAGTGATCAGCAGCAAGCTGAGGGTGCCCACAAGCCCTGACCCCTGTGCATAACACTGATTGCAGCCTGCATTTCAGCACCTGCCTCTTCCTTCCTATTTCAGTCTACATCCAGGCTTTCATTCCTTGGGGTCATTTTCACTCTTCTAAATAACATTTTATAGTTATTCATTTATTTTGATTGCTGCTTAAAAGGTAAACATTCAGATAAAGAGCAGCCCTGGAAAGCAGCTTCCTGTCTGTGTCAGTGTGAAATTAGGCAAGTAAAAATGAACCAGATTTGATGAATGTGCACAAGTTAATGATAACAGAATAAGTAGTTATACTGTTTTATTATAGATTATAATAAAAAGCTCTTTAATTAATCTGTTTTTCTTCTGGAAAAACAATTTTCTTGTCCAGGTCTTAATATTCAGTAGAATTCAGCAGGTGGGTCTGGTGGAATTTTGTGATGATTCAGGATTTAACTCTCTTCTGCCTGTTCATCCCACTTTTCTCCTGTTCATCACTTCTTTTATAAGCAGTTGCAGTTTTTATGTGATGGCCCATATTGGATGGTGATGGAAAGCTGAGCTGAGTAATGCAGTGAAATATTTTTATTTGGGTGGGAATAGTTGAAGTGTTTCAGGAGCTCCTCATTACTGGCAGCAGTGAGAGGCTGGAGCCCGTTTCCTTTTCCTTTAAATCCTCCTTCATACATGGTTTTTTAGGGAAGAAAAAGGCTTTTTATTTTTAGAAGTCATATTTATGTAGAATTCATTACAGCTGATATTGCAGCATTAAGACTTAAAAATTCCAGCCTGCTACCAGGGAGCTGCTGCTCTGACATGCTACAGTGGAGATTTTATTGTTAGGTTGAAATACTCCTCTGGTAAAGGAGAGAGTGGAAATTGGTTTATTTCCAACAGGAATTAGGTTAGTGTTCATATGCTAAGTGTTCCACTGGTAGCAGCTCTTCCCAGAACAAATGTTCATCACTTCTGGCAGCAGGTATGCCTAAGGAGAATTGGGAATATCCATAATCCCTTTTTTCCTTGGCTCTCCTGCTCCCTCCTCCCCTGGTCTGGGCATTTTGTGACAGCCCATGGCCACCAGTCCTGGCTGTGAGCATCAGAGAGGAGGGGGAGCACCCAAGGAATCCCCAAATCCTTCCAGGGAGGGTTCTCACCCCCCCTGAGCTGGGATGTACCCCAAAGTCAGCATCCTTAACCCCCTGTGTGCTGCCTCTCTGCAAAGCTTCACTGCTGGGGTGGTTTCCCTTCGTGTCCTCACAGTTTGCTGTCCTCTCCCAGGAATTTGGTAATGCCCTAAACACAGAATTACCAATCCAGAGAACTATTAAAAGTCAATAATGGTGAAGAATAGAGAAGCCTGGCTTTGTGACAAGCTGGTTTACCTTAATTAAACCGGTGAGTGATTAATATGGACAGCTGATCTTGTGGCTTTAATTAGATGCATTTAGAGTTTTGTGTGAATAAGAGATGTCTCGAACCATCCCACAGGTTAATGGCAATACAATACTCTTATCACAGGCATGTATCTTTCAAATGGCTGGGTAGATGGTTAATAACACATTTTAAAGCTTGATTTGGAGCTTCTCTTAATGGGTTCTTCGAAAATAGGCAAATCTGTGCATCTTACACAAGCCTGAATTTGAATAAAACGGGCTTTAAAAAGAGGCTGCCCAATGATTTCCGCTTGCATTTTATTAAATATAAAAATTAAGTTTTTAAAAAGCATTTCAAGGGGATTTAAAGTAATATTTGAGCTGCAAACTTATATTTTCTCTGGTGTTGATAGAAATCCAAATGTTGTTACACAGCTACTGAGTGGGAGCTTGACAGGGGATCTGTAGATGGACTTCTTTTTAAATTTGATTTGCTCTGTAAGGTCTAAGACAAGTGAGCCTTTTGTCACGAGGCTGATTTCAGCTCTCCTTAGCCCTTTGTCTCAACTGGCAGTTCTTAGGGGTCTGCAAATCAGAAAGGTCAGTGAGTGCAGGATTAGAAACACTGATAGATAGTGCATGAAAATGAGACCTAACCTCTAAAATGAAAATTGACCTCTAAAATGAGAAATGAGGCTGTGTTACCCTGGAACAACACCCTGATGGCATTTCCCAGTCCCTGTGATCGTGCCCAGGGCTTGGTGTGCATCTCTGACTGGCACTGAGGGGAATTCTGCAGGGAACCCTTCAGGGCTTCAGGATCTTGGCTCTGTGTCAGGACAGCTTTGGGCTCTGCAGCAGCAGCACTGCCTGCCAGGGGGGTTCAGCTGGCACTGACAGCTTCCCCCTGGTTTGTCCTCCTTGGGCAGGAGCAGCTGGCACTGGGAGCTGGGCTCTGATGGGGCTGTGCTGCCCTGCAGCTCTGTGTGTGCTTCCTGCAGCTCTGTGTGCTTCCCTGAAGCGGTGTGTGTGCTGCCCTGCAGCTCTGCGTGTGCTGCCCTGCAGCTCTGTGTGCTTCCTGCAGCTCTGTGTGCTTCCTGCAGCTCTGTGTGCTTCCTGCAGCTCTGTGTGCTGCCCTGGAGCTCTGTGTGCTTCCTGCAGCTGTGTGTGCTGCCTGCAGCTCTGTGTGCTTTCCTGCAGCTGTGTGTGCTGCCCTGCAGCTCTGTGTGCTGCCCTGGTCACTGAGCTGAGCTCCTGCCAGTTCAGGGAGGAGGTGAAGGAGGGAAAGCAAAACAGGATCTCTTCAAATCAAAGCCTTTTGGTGCTGGAATTGCCTAACTCTGCCTTCACACATCAGGGCTTAACGCTGATGGTGATTTACTCACACTTCCTAGTTAATAATTAGACATTGGGAGACACCATATATCACTCCTAATGGAATATGTGGGGTCTGATGAGAGTTTTCTGTTTTGACTAATAAATTTTAAGCAGAATCGCCAGGCTTAATGAAATATTACCGTTTGGGAAGTGGTTTAAGTCTTGTGCTGGGAAAACAGTGTTGCTTTATTCAGTAAATGAATTTATCATTCACTCTGTATCCCAAGCTCTGGCTGGCTCTGGAGCATGGGCTGGATGCAAGACTCTGAACCAGAAAGCAGAAAACTAATCAAATCCTTAAAGACCAAAGGCAGCCAGGCAGGCCTGGGCTGACTTTTTCAGTGGTAGCCTCTGGCTACATCCACTTTTATTTTAGTAACCATTGTTAGCATGATTTATAACCTCAGCTTGGAGACTTTTGCTATTTAGATGTAACAAGATGCTTCACAGCTTTTATTTCCATTTCCTAATTTCGCTCTTGCTCCTGCCTTTTTTTTTTTTTTAGCTTCTCCCTCATCTTTGCCTTGCTCTGCTCTCCCAGGCAGTGCCCAGTCCCACAGCTGACACTGCCCTGGAAGAACATTTGGAGCACTGCAAGGCCTTGGCAGCCCCAAGGTCCACAGAACTGGTTCAGGGTTAGGAACCTGCCCCAAAAATGCATCTTGGAACTGTGGAATGGTTTGAGTTGGAAGGAACTTTAAAGCTCATCTTGTTCCACCCCATCAGTTCCAGGGATCCAGGGGCAGCCCCAGCTGCTCTGGGCACCCTGTGCCAGGGCCTGCCCACCCTCCCAGCCAGGAATTCCTTCCCAATATCCCATCCAGCCCTGCCCTCTGGCATTGTCTGACAGTGTGGGCACAGCTGAGGCACTCCTTGGTGTTCCAGCCTGGGTTTCTGAGCCAAGCCCTGCAGGAAATGCCCTGCTGCTGGCTCCCCAGGGGCACAGGGTGGCTGTGTGTGACATCTGCTCTGGGACAGGATCAGAGGGGACAGCACACACCCCTCGCTGCTGGAGCAGGAGCAAACCACTCTCACCTCTCTGCACCACTTGTGGCTGCTGCTCCAAGCCTCCCTCCCGCCTTGCTTTTGACAGAATATTGACTGGAAAGCAAGATCCCATTTCTGCTTAGCCTTAAGGGCAGCTGTTTGCAGAGTGGCAGTGCTACACAGGTTTACTGTGTCGTGTGTCTGTGTAACACTGGATTTGGATCTTGTATTTAGCTGCCAGGAGTGACTGTGATGAAGTGGCAGAGATAAACTGATAGATTGTGTGCCAGAAAGATGTTGGGAATCAATCAGATAAACAGGGCAGAGAGGTAGCTTGCTGTTTTCTAGTGATAATAAACCAGTGGCCTGGCTCCTGGAATTTTTAAATGTAATTGCTGCAGTAATAATCTCCAAAAATAAGCAAGTTGGGGGGAAAAAAAAGTAGTGGCAGGTTTTTAATTATGTTTGAATCACTCTTTTTGTCTGGTAATGTGGTGTATGCCTTGAAGGAGAGGGAAGTACAGGGTGGAGGAAAAGCATCCTGCATCCTTTCTTGCCTGGAATTGCCTGGATTCTGGTTCCAGGTGTTTCTGGTTCAGCTGTTTCTGAGCTGAGGCAGTACCTTCACTGACTGGTGAATTGTAGGTGTCCATAAAGCAGTTTGTTCCCCTCAGTTTTGGAGGGTTTATTTCTGTTCCTCATGTTGATATCTTGGCCAATACCCAAGGCACAGCAGGCACGGTTTGCAGTGAGTGGTGATAAACACACAGCACCAATCAAGGATCCAAAGAGGCTGTTCACAGCATCCTCTGGCTGCTGGAAGCAAAGAGGACAAACCCCAGCCCTCAGGACACAAAAAGAAATAGAAAAGGCTGCCTGAGCATTCCTGCTGTAGCTATAAAAAGGATTTTGCTGTGCCGTTCTCCGAGCGAGCATCGCTGCCCAGCTTCTGTCTGGGAATTGTTCCAGTTCCCCTGCCCTTCCCCAGCAGTGGGGACAGCCCTGTGGGGCTTTTCCTGCACGTCTGCCCCAGGTGTAGCTGCCTGCACCACAGCTGTGCTTTACTCCAGGTGGGTTTTTGTCTTCCCTGCAGCTCCTGCGAGAGCTGATCGAGCGGAAAACCACAGCCCTGGACCCCAACGACCAGGTGGCCATGGGCAGGTGAGTGAGGGGCTGGGACAGCCCTGCAGCCCAGCACAGCCCCCTGTGCCCTTCAGCACAGCTCACTGCAGAGGGCAGAGCACTGAGTTCATCTGGGGAAAGCCACGGTGGCATCAGGAAATCATCCTCTCTGCAGGCTCCTGGGTTGTGCGGCGCCCAGGCTGCCTTGGAGCTCTTGCTGTGTGATCCTCTGGAGTTATTTCCCTGCTGGAAAGGTTTGGTCCAAGTGTTTTTGTCTCTCAGTGGTTTCTGCAGCACTAAGTGGCACAAAAAACTGGCTGCCCACTGCTGAAATTTGGCTTTGGCTCTTTATTTGCTCTGCTTAGGTGTTGTTTGAGAAGAGTAAATCTTCTGACGTCAGTTAAAGCAATTCCTGTGTATCCCTCCTGTAAGAAAGGGTTCTGTACAGTGAACACAATATCAGGGAATGCTCCCTGCATGCAGAAGTAAAATATAATTCCATGCAGGGAAGCTCTTATTTCTCTGTTTAATTCTAGAGTTAGAAAGTAAAGAATCTTCCAAATGCCACTTCATGAGCAGAGTGCATGGAAATGGCCACGGGCTCCAGTTCAGAAAAGTGTAAAAGCCAAGGAAGGCTGAAAAAGCTGGAGCTGGGCTCTTCCCTGAAACAATTTTGGGGGGCTTGTCTATAGGGAGGGGAAGAAAATGCATCGGGAAGTGTTGTGATGGTGAAACAACTTTTCTCCTTGTAAAATATCACCCAGATTCTAGTGCAATGTCAGATTTATTTTGTGTACTTCTGGAATATTATGGAAAGCTATTCACTATGATTTAACACGATATAGACAAAATTACATTTAAGTGGTGATTGCATTGTACATTTATCTGACTTTACAATAAAATAGATTACAGTAATTAAGATTATATTAAGATTGCAGTAATTGGATTTGGTTAGATTTTTTCCCTGATGTCGAGTTTTCATTGTATAAATCAGGTGAGATGACGCTCGTTTCAGTTAAAAAAAAAGTTATTTATAACCAGGAGAAGTTTTTCCCTGCTGGAAACTTCTTTGACTTGAGGAAGTTCTGGTTGAGAAATGGAGCTTTTAATACAGTTGGGGATCAGAGAGTGTTTCTGGGAGTGTTCAGTGGCTCTGAAGTTGTGCTCCTGTTGTTCTGCATTCCCCAGGCAGTGGCTGGCCATCCAGAAGTTACGGAGCAAAATAAAGAAGAAAGTGGACAGAAAAGCCAGCAAAGGAAGGAGAATCCGGTGAGTGACACCTTCTGCAAGCACACACAAACCCTCATTTGGAAAAAAAAAAAAAGCCTGACAGCTCTGGGTGTGTTTAACCCCAGCTGGCTCTGGGGGGATTTGTGACTTTGAGGGCAGTCAGAGGGGAATGCTGATGCTCCTGGAGCCTGGAATAAGAGCTTGGTGGATGCAGCCTGGGAGCATTGCCCCACTCAGGGTCTGGGGAAACACCAGAGAAAGGTGCTCACATCTCCCTGAGCCTTTTGGGGCTGGAATTTCCAGGGAGAGCCAATAAACCCCTCTTGTGCAATTTGTATTTCCTGACTGAGGCGTGGGCAGCACCTCCAAGGGAAGATGTGCAGAAATACCTCAGGTAAATCTCTATTTCTCCCTGAGTGCCAGCTGGAATTTGGTGTGAAATCTCTCTTTGCTGGTAACTCACATCACAGCTCCCTTCATGTCTGAATCATTTCCCTGCTGGATCACTCATTTGAGCTCAGTGTTAGAATCTCCCACGTGGGGAGGGAAGCAGCCTGGAGAGCAGGAGGTGTTTCCCCTTTGCAGAGCAGCTCTCTGAGTCTCCCTGAGATCAGCATGATTTGTGGTGGAGGAGGGAGGATGCTGAAAAGCTGCTCTGCTTCCTGAAAAATCCAGCACATTAACCATCCTTTGTGAGTAAACTATAAATCCTGAGTTTAGATGGCATCTGATAGAAAGTCAGTGGAGTCAGTCTGGGTCTGGCCTGGCATAGCAATTTTTAAGATAGATGTCATAAGATAATTTATTGAAAGAGGGAAGAGCTACTTTGTTGGCCTGAAAAGCCTATAATTATTGACTATCAATATTCTTTTCTGCCAGCATCACACATAATTGGATATATTCAGGATTCAGTCAAAACTCCTGACAACATCACACAAGTGAGGCAGCCTCTGAGCCTCCAGGAATGATGGGGAATCTCTCCCTGTGTGCAGTCTGTGCCCTCAGCAGTCCTGGGGGAGCAGCTCTGCCTCTTACCTCTCAGGTGCCTCTTTTTAACTAAAAGTTGTGCTGACCCTGCAGGGAAAATAACAATAAAAGAAGGAAAGGCTCCTTGTTTGTGGTTGGGATTGAGATGCAGTTAAGCTCCTGCATTTTTCACAATAAGGCAGTGGAGCCCAAATGGGTTTTTGGTGCTTCCACTGAGAGACTTGGTGTCACCCCAGGAGATCCCTGACCCTCTGTTCTTCCCTCTCCTTCTCTAAATTTGGGACAGCAGTGCTCACATTTGCTTTCATGGGGGACTTTGAGGTCCTGGAGAGCCAAGTATTTAATTTCATCTGTCTCCTTAATTCTTCCTTTTTAGCAAAGCTTCAGTTTTAGAGCTGTTTGGGTGCAATGTGCTGGTTTATTGTAGGGGCTGAGCATCTTCAGGTGCTTCCAGAAGCAGTCAGTCTTCCCCTTGCCACCAGGGAAGTTGGGGCATTGAGAGGGGAGATAAATTCATCCAAAAATCAACCTGCAGAGCCCTGGTGCAGGGAGCTGTGGAGGAGCAGGGATGTTTGCACACCTTTCTCGTGGCAGTGTTTCCTGAGCTGTGCTGCTGCCAGGTGGGGTGCCTTTCTCTGCACTAAGTGAAATATTTTCCATTGGGCTGGGCTTTTCCACAAGCTGTGAGCAAGAGGCTGGAGTGGGCACGAGTGCCAGGCTGTGCCCAGGGAGCTGCTCCTCCATCCTGGCAGCTTCCCAGCAGGGCAGCTCCTTGCAGAGCCAGAGCCAGAGGCTGCAGAGTGTCCACAAAGCAGTTTGTTCCCCTCAGTTTTGGAGGGTTTCTTTCTGTTCCTGCCCTCTGAGAGGGGCTGTGAGCTCAGCATCCCCAGGGAGTGTTCCTGCACGGGCAAACAGAAGGAGTGCAGAGGTGGCAGGGTGGAAAGGTGGTGCTGGGCAAATGCTAGTGAGTCCTTTGGCCTGCTATTTGTCAAGCTCTATAAACAGCAGCAGCCTGGGTGAAACCCTCAGGCTGGGGTGGGCAGTGCACACAAATGCCTGGGTTTGGAATCCCCTGCCCTTGGACACTGGGTTTGAAACCTGCTCATTCTGAGGTTCTCAGTACCCTGGTACATTTTGTGTCAGGTCCTTGAGTATAAATCATGAAATCCTTGCAGGCTTCTACCCAGGCTGGCAGATGGGAAGGGAATCCTCTCTCTGGAGGTGCAGGACAGCTTGCAGCAGTGTTTTGGTGATGAGAACATGCCTCATTCCATCTCTGCACAGGCTTTTCCTGTCTCCTCCTTCCCTGGTTTTCACATGCTCCATTTGCAGGTTACTCAGGGTGGGAATTGCCAGCTCTGCAAACGGCTCCAGAGTGGATTTTGGTGTCCTTCAGGGCTCTGCAGAGCACACAGCAGGGCAGGAGGGGCTGTTTGTCTGTCTGACCCCTCAGGGTTGTCTGTCTGGTGCTGCTGTCCTGTCCCTGGCTGGGATGAGAGAGGATTTGCTGTCCCTCAGTTCATTGTTCACCTGGTTATTGCTGTTCCAGAGGGGAGGAGGGGGAATTGCCAGCTCCAGCTGGGACTCCCTAGGGATGAGCAGAGCCCTGCTGCTCCTTGGGAGCTGCTCCTGCTCAGACCAGCAGCATTTCCTGCTCTGAGCACTTCCTGGGAGCATTTCCTGCTCTGAGCAGTTCCTGGGAGCATTTCCTCCTCTGAGCAGTCCTGAAGTGCTGCTCCTGCTCTCCCCAGGTACCACGTCCACAGCAAGCTGGTGAGCTTCATGGCACCTATTGACCTCTGCACAATGAATGATGATGCCAGGTGAGTAAGAGATTAATTATGTTTCTCAAATGGCTCCATGACAGCGTGGTATTGACCTGTTCTTCAGCCTGTCACCCTCTCCATTCCTTCTTATCAGCTCCCCATTTGTCACTGGCATCACAGCCTGGGTGTCTTGGTCACATCTGTCCTGGCAGCCTGGCTGAGCTTTCACTCTGTAATTACTGTGGTACCAAACCAGAAATTGTCATAAATCTCAGCACCTAGGGGTTGAGTCCTGCTTTAGAGCTCCTAGTTTGAAATTAGGAGTTCTAATTTCAAAACTCCTAAATTCTGAAATTTCCCCTTTTTATGGAATTAGTTTGGAAATGCACAGCCAAGCCACCTGGTGTCTTCAGGTGGAATCAGAGCTTAAAAGAGCTTCCCTTCTAACAGAAATGGCAACTTCTATATTCTGGTTAATGTGCATTTTCTTAGCTCAGTTAATAACTGGAATAATTCTCTCAAGATTCACTCAGGACTTTTATGTCGCTTGTGTTTATCTCTATTTAAAGAGTAAAGAATTTTATTGGGAGACTGTAATGTTTTAATGTGGTCATTAGTAAAGAAAACACTACAGTGAAATTTTGTGCATAGTTTCCAGACAGCTCCCTCACATATTTCTTAAACCCAGATCTCCAAAAGCTGAGCTGTTTGTGGGAAGGAGGTGGAATAATTTTTCCAGTGAATGGATGGAGAAAGCTTGAGAAACATCTTTCCCCTGGGTTGTGGAACATGTTTGTGCTTTGTGAGGGAGAGATGTCATTTGTCTGTTTGTGAAATGGAAACCAAATACCTGCTGCCTTTTGGGGGATTGCAGGGACTTATGGATGAGAAGTTTTGTGTCCATAGCACCTGTGCTGTTCCATCACTGCATCTCTCTCTGAGCTGCTTTACTCTGGTTTTTTTCTCTCTTTTTTTTTTCTTTTCAAGTGAGAGCAAAGCTCAGCTGCTCTGATTTTTCAGCATTGTTTGGATCCTCTCACCACAAAAAGAAATGTGGGAGGCTCCAAGCTGTTCCTCCAGCCATGTAGTCCTAATGTTTAGCTTGAATTTCTCTCTGCTGTGATTTAGGACCATAATTTCTTGTCCTGTTCCAGGTGGGAACAGATTCTTGCTTCCTCTTTGCAGCAGCCCTTGCACTTCTGAGTGGGAATTCTTGTGAAAAGCTGGGTGTTATTTTTTGTCTTCCCCCCCAGCATCCACACACTGAACACATCCAAAATACTGCAGTGGGATCTGAAAATCGTGCTTTTTGTGGGTGTTTGTTCAGCTCTCCCCAAATAAAGAGATCTGCTGCTCTCAGTCATTTGTTTGAAAATCAGAGCCACTCTCTGGGGGTCAGCTCATTTCTCTGTTCAGAATGCCCCTGCCCTTGGCATGAGCCACAAGATCTCTGTCCAGCACACAGCTGGCAAGCAGAATTCAACATCTGCAGGTGAATTAAACAGAGCAGGCCAGGCCTGTGTGCTGCAGAGGGAGGCAGCAGTGATAACAGCTTCCCTTTGTGGCAGAAGCAGGTAATTTTATTGTTGGCAAGTGTGAATTGCTGGATTGAAAATGCACCTGTACACTTCACAGAGGTGTGACTGTGCTCTGAGCCAGTTTCTGGTCAGGCACTTAAAATGCATGACCCCAAAATGAATAGACCTGTGCTCAACAGGGCACTGTGTGGTGGGAGAGGTTTCCCAGGGCCAGTATGAAATGGATGCAGGAAGAGCTGGCAGAGTTTTCCCTCTGAGTTCTGCCAGGGCCCACAGGAAAATGGCAGTAAATAAAGAAATGGATGCAGGAATAGCTGGCAGAGCTTTCCCTCTCAGTTCTGCCAGGACCCACAGGAAAATGGCAGTAAATAAAGAAATAAATGTCTGCAGGTGTGGGTGGGCTTGGGGCTGGTGCAGAGTGCAGGGAGGGAATGGTGCTGTGGTTCTGGTTCTGTCTGTGCCAGCAGAAAGAAAAGAAATCCCTGTGAGGGGAAGCAGCTGAGCACTGCCAGGAGAAGGGGATCACTCCAGATTTCACAGCCTGCATGTGAGAAGGGAAACACACCAGTCAGATAACTGCCTTTGTCAACATCCCTGCCACTTTGTGCTCACTCCTGCTGCTGGCTGGGAGAAGAGCACTGCTGCAGGCAATTTATCTTCCCCCTGCCCCTTCTCCAGGCACCCCAAGCTTGGGCAGGGCTCTTTAACCTCCTGCTCACATATTTTATGTTGTAATGTGTGGGGCACTGGTGGCCTCCAGCCCTCCTCCTTTTTAACCCCTCTCTGGTAGTATTTTAAAACACACACTGGGAAGTGATTTTTATGGTTACCTTGGGTCTGTGTTTATAGACTTTAACACATTTGTTGTCCCCTTGGGCCAGGGTTTTTCTGATGGGTCCAAGGGCACTGCTGGGTAAAGGACAAGGGACAAGGACCCCAAAGGCAGAGCAGGGGCTGGGCTCTGGGGGTTGTCCAGAGGAGACAGGAGCTGTGTGGGGCAGGACAAGGCTGGTTGTGGTTTCTCCTGGGTTTGAGGGTGGCCTCATGTTGTTCCCCCTTCTTGGCCTTCCCTGGAAATAGGATTTTCCCATCACCAGGACGTGGCATCCTTCAGCAGCACCTTGTGCAGCAGAGCTGGGAGCAGGGCAGCCTTTGCTTTGGGAAGTGGGGCACAGGGAGGTATGGCCCCTGTCTCACAGGGTCTGAGAGCCTCGGGGCAGGGAACTCCTGAAGATGTCACACATCTTGGAGCTGAGGTTGAAGCCAGACCTCGAGAGCAGCATTGCCCTGGAAGCCTCCTCTCCCAGGAGGTGAGACCTGTGCTCTGCAGAGAGCTCCTGTGCCAGGCTCCTGAGTTTATTTATGTGTTATTTATTATTATTCACGGGCAGGCTGGGGCTCAGGGCTGCCCCTGGACACCTGCAGGGCACTGAGCTGTTCCCAGTGCTGGGGTGGCTCCTGGAGGAGCTGTGTGTGCATTTGGGGTTTATCCTGTGTTTGTGTGTGTGTGTGTCAGCTGTGAGACACAAACCCTCAGCTCTGTCCCTGTGTGAGGGAGCAGGGACTGAGCCCAGACTGAGCCCAGACTGAGCACAGGCTCTCTAAAGCAAGGGCTGGTGTCAGATCCCTGCAAAGTCTCATCCTTATTCCACCTCTGGAGGACAGTAACTTGCAGGAACAGACATCCTCTAAGGACACAGATGTTTGGTCCAAACACCTTTATCTCCCCAGACAACTCAGGTTATTCTGACAGGTAAAACAAGATTGTGCAAATATGCAACAGTGATCTAATCAGCTGGAACAACAGCAGTATTTTAACTGGCACTACCTTTTAACAGCATCATTAAGGGCTCTCATTACTCTTTTATTAGAGGCTCACTCTATTTCTTATCAGATTACAGAATGAACATAACTCATGGCACTGATTTGATCTCTTGTTAAAGAGGATTACAGCTCTGCATTAGCTGGGATTGACATGGTTTATAATTTGCTGTGGGTAGCCAGGCTGGCAGTGTCACCCTGTGACCCCTCCCCACCCCAGGGGAGGGCACCCATACATCATCATTAAAGCTGGCACCCAGGGCTCTGCAGGAGCCCCAGGGAGCCTTTCCTGCAGGAGGGGCAGGCAGGACAGAGGGACACACTGCAATTCCAGCTGGGGGAAGGTGGGGATGGATCCCGTTTGCTGCAGGCTGGCTTCTGCCTCAGCACTTGGGTCTCCTTGGGGAGGAGGAATCTGCATCCTTTATAAGCCACATCACAGGAAGGTGGCTCTGCTGGGACTGTGTCACACCAGGCAGTGTCCCCACAACGTGAGGTGGGAATCCCTTCCTTGAATGCCACGTCCAAGGGCAGGGAATGACCCCCCTGCCCCAGGGTCCTGCGTGGCACAGGAGCCCCCAGCCCAGTGCTGCTCCTGCAGGAGCAGAGTGGAGCCTGCTGGGAGGCTGAATTAACAGCCAGATGATCCAGCTGCCAGTGAGGTTTGGATTAGAGCCTTTCCCTTGGATCCAGGCAGGCCCTGTGCATTTTCCCAATCAGCATTCTCCCTTTAGTGCAGTTGCTTTGTCACAGAGAGCCTTGCTGCAAGCAGAGGGGGGTACGTAGCAGGAAATCCTGGTATTAAAAGATTAATTTACTTATGTGACATAGGAGTTTAATAAAAAAAAAATTAAAAAAAAAAAAAAGGTTGGTGAGATACCAGCCTTTAACTTGGCTCACTTTGTACTTGGGGTATTAAAACACCATGAGAGCAGATTAATGGAGGAATTTGGGCTCTGCAGTTGTCAATCCAGGGTGTTCAGCACCACAGAATTCCTGGGAGGAAGCAAAGCCCTTCCTGCTGGGAGAACTGAGGCAGCAGCTCAGTGCTGCATGGCACACAGCCCCTGACCCTGGTGGTGTGAGGAAAATGCCTCCAGCTCTGTCCAGAGAGGATCTGCTCTGGGAAAGCAGGGGAGCAGCAGGGCAGGCTGGGACCCCAGGAAAATCCTTATCCTGTGGAACTGAACCTGCTTGGGTGGATCCTGAGGCACCTCAGCTTTGGAATCCCAGAATCCCAAACTGCTTTGGTTGGGAGAGAACTTGAAACCCAGCCAGTGCCACCCCTGCCAGGGCAGGGCCACCTTCCTCTGTCCAGGCTGCTCCGAGCCCCAGTGTCCAACCTGACCTTGGAATTTCTTCTCTCTGTGCCTGATTTTATTTCAAATCCCCCCAGGCTGTGCTTGGTGAGCCCCTGGGGTGCAGTGGGGGCACCCATGTCCCTGCCCCAGGGCTTTTGGGAGGGCTGGTGCTGCAGCAGGGGCTCTGAGGGCTCAGTGCCAGGCTGAATGTCACCCAGCTGCTGGCACTGGGCTGGGCTCCTCATCCCCACAGCTGATGTTTGACATCCCTGGTATGGAAATTTCCCTCTTAAAGGGGGAAAAAAAAATAACCTGTTAAGGGCTATGAGATGATTTGTCGTTTTTCCTTTGTGAGACAATTTGTCTTCTCCTGCCTCAAATCTGTTATAAAACAGGCAAGCTGTGAAAGAGGAAATCGTCCTCGGAATATGAGGAGCACAAGGAATGGTTCCCTCTGCACAGGGCACCTCCCAGAGCCTGCCCTGCTCACATTCCCATCCCAAGGCAGCACTTGATGGATTTCCTGGGGAAATGGGAGCTGCTGGAGCCCAGGCCAGTGGAGCAGCCTGCAGGTCCCTGTGTTATCCTGGTTCTTTGCACCTTCTGTGCTGTGTGCTGCAAAAGCTCCTGTGGAAATGGGACTGGGACCAAAATCAGGATGGGAGAGGCTCCCCCTGTGCCCCACGAGGGTGTCCTGAGCCCGGGCTGGGGAGGGTTGTTGGGGTTCAGGGAGAGCAGGGGTGCAGCAGGGCTGGCTCTGCCTGGGGCAGTGCCCTGAGCTCCAGCTCTGCTCAGCCATGCCCACCTCCAGCCCCTCCAGGGCTGTGCCTTGCCTGGGGCCAGAACCAGCTCTGAAATGCTGATACAGCCTGGGCCTGCTCTCAGGGGACAGGCCAGGGGTCAGTGTCACCCCCTGGGTTTAAACCCTGGGCTGAAAGCATCTGCAGAGCACACAGGGCTCCATCCTGCCCTGCCTGGGGGGAGCGAGCCCTCTGGGGGCTGCTCCAAGGCTGGGAGGGCCCTGGGGGCTGCCCAGGGTTTGGGAAGGGGCTCAGTGCCACCTCCTGGGGCTGCAGCAGCCCCACGAGCCCTTGAGCCCATCCCAGTGCTCCCACAGGGAATGCTGGAGCAGGGAATGTGGGCTGGGAGCTGTGGGAGTGCACAGCAGAGCCCTCTTGGCTTTAGGGTTTGACTGGGGCTGGGGCTGGGTCAGCAGGGAAGAAATGGAACAAATGCAATAAATGGAATCAATTCAATAAATGAAATAAATGAGTAAACTGGGAATAAATGGTTTCAGCCTGTCCTGCCTTCCTGGTGAGAGCAGCAAGAGCTGGGATTTGGAGTGGGGTGAAACCCTCTGGGCACACCAAGCTCACCTGGAATTCCTGCTCCTTTCATTTCATTTTTTTTAAGAGAAATACTCATTTTTATTGAGACATTTAAGGCTTCAGATTAGTTTTGTCTTCCTGGTAGCTGCTCTGCTTGCTGGGCACTTTAATCTGAATTTCACACCACTGGACAGAACATGTCACAGAAGGAACCACATGGATCATCAAGTGCAGTTCTTCAGTGAATGATCCATGCATGGATTGAACCCCCAAATTTGGTTTTGGCAGCCCCTGCTCTGAGCCAGCCTGGTCAGACAGAAAGTTTTCTTTTCCTTTTCCTTTTCCTTTTCCTTTTCCTTTTCCTTCAGGACACCATCAGCCAACTTCGTTTTCCATCAGGAGTTGTGTTTCTGCTCCATCTTCTTTTCCAGTTTTTGTGAATTAAGAATCCATAGTTCCCAGTGGAGGATGGCAGCAGGAATGGGGGATATACTCATTTCAGTGCTGCTTGTGGCATGTTCTAAATTATCTTTTTATTTTTGGGGTTGAAAAAAGAAGTAAAAGGTGCTTGGGAGGAGGCAGAGGAATTGGTTGGAGGGTGTTTGTGCTGAAGAGCACAGCAGTGACTAGAGCACTATTGCTATTTTAATAAAAAAACACCCCCTAGAAACTGAATTTCCCCCCCTTGTTATTGTTCTTCTACTGCTTCACAGAACTATATTTTAAAAAAGGCAACAAATGACTTAAATTACTTAAATAAATGACTTTAAAAAGGCAGTAAATCACTTGCAGAGAGCAGCCCAGCCCTGGCTGCTCCCCTGCCCTGTGGGGTGTCCCCTGGGGGCCCAGGACACCCCCGGGGCTCTGCTGAGAGCTTCTGCCATTTCTGTTTTGATGCTTCCTGGAGATTTCTGAGCTGTTAATATCCATGCAGGGCACTCCTTCCTCCCTGTGTAAAATGTCTGTGCTCCTGCACCTGGGGTTTGGAGGGGCAAGAACCCCCCTCAGCCCCTGGGCTGCCTGGAGCTGCCAGTTATTTATTTCATTCATCTTGATTTATTGATTTGAAAACCTCATTTTATTAATTATTTAATTTTTTTAAATGGTGTTGTTGACCTGTGTCCAGGTGGGGAGGTGCCATCCCCTCCTCTGGGAGAGATGCATCAATAATTAAGCCCAGGTACTCACACACACATGTTTTATGGCAAATGCCTCTGTGGTTCCTGATCATTTTTTATGGGTTTTTTTTTTTTTTCCCAGAAACAGGTTTTATGATAATACAGTAAAAATATTAAATTAGAAAATGCCTCACTAAGGGTGATAAAACCTTACTACAGTGGAAATAGGTAATTATCCCCTGTGCAGCCTAAATGACAGTTTAAAAGAAATAAAAATGTTAGTGCTCATTACTTGCTTTTGTGGGTTGCAATAAAGGGGAAGTTAAATTTGAATTCAGGCCCTGGTGGAGCTGCTCTGCTGGGATTGTGTTCACTGCTCAGGTTTCCAGCTCCAGGTGTCTCAAGGCACTGCCTCCACTCTGGGCTTTCATTCCTGTGGGTGGAGGAGAGAAATTTGTTATTTTTTTAACCAAAATCCCAAGTTCATTATGCATAGCCTTAAGGGGGCTGAAAGTATTAAAATCTGCACTTAGCCTGGTGAATTGAAACACAGACAAGGTTAAACCTGGAGGATTGATGAGTTTTACTCTCTGCATGGTTCAGTCCTGCTCTGGGGAGAGGCTGCAGGAGGAAGGGAGCCTGGCTGATGAGGAGGGGGAAAGGCTTGGGGTGGTTTGGATTTGATATGTTGTATTATTTTATATTCTATATTGTATATTGGGTATTTTATTTTATATTTTTATTTTACATTTTATTTTATATTTTATATATTTTATATTATTTTATAGTTTTATTTTATATTTTATATGTTATATTTTATATTTCTTATTATTTTATATTTTTATTTTACATTTTATATTATTTATATATTATCTATTCTATTTTATATTATTTTATATTTTTATTTATATTTTATATGTTTGTTGTATTATTTTATATTTTATATTTTATTTTCAGGGTGAAATGTTTGCCCTGTTTTGGGGTGCTGGGTTACCTGACTCTCTCCTCCTGCTGTCACCCTGCCGGGGTGTCTGTCCCTGCTGTGTCCCTGTCCTGAAGGACCCCTGGCATTTTGCTCCATCCCATTCCTTGTGCCATTCCTGGGACCCCCAGCCCCAGCCCTGGAGTTTCCACATCACAGCCTGTCAGTGCCAGCAAAGAGAAATCCTCCCTTGAAACCCCCCCAGGCCCTGCGTGCTGCCAAAAGGCTGTTTATGGAAAATCTGTGGGATGGGAGCAAATTCTGCATCAATCCCCCAACTGCTGCTCCCCCAGGGCAGCACCCCACCCAAAAAACCAGGACAAACCCCAGGAATTCCCCCTGGGAGCTTTGCTCTCCTGGGGTCACTCCCTGGGCTTCCCCAAAATGTGCAGCTGGGTTTGGAGCTGCCTCCATCCTGGGGGTGGGAAAAGGACGGAATGTGGGAGGGAGAAGGGTCCAGAGAGCCCGGGGAGGGAGCAGGGGGGCTTCTGCAGCACACAAAAACCACGAGGTGAGCATGCTGCTTTCTCAGGGCAGAAAAGGGGGAGTGGATCCTTTAATTGCAACATTTATGGATTTCTAAAGGGACGAGGTGAGCATGCTGCTTTCTCAGGGCAGAAAGGGGGAGTGGATCCTTTAATTCCAACATTTGTGGATTTCTAAAGGTGGCAGTGGATTGGAGGGTGGCAGTGCCACCTCTCAGTGACACTGGACAAACCAACAGTCCATCACATTTCTCCTCCATAAAAGAGTTATTTATAAAATAAAAGAGTTATTTATAAAATAAATAAAATTATTATTTATAAAATAAATTATTTACAGAAAGTGTGTGAGAAGGTTTGCTGTGAGAATGTAAACATCAGAGGGTTTAGGAAATCTTAAAAAATCAGAGTGGCACAAGGATTTCCCCAGGTCCCCTTGGGGTGGTTTTTGGGGCAGGTTTGAGGCTGTTCCCTGCAGGACCAAACTCTGTCTGTCCACCCTGCACTGCTGGCACTGAGCTTTCATCCCTGCACTTGCTCCTGGGGAGGTTTTTCTGCCATGGCTGCTGAACGTGGAATTCCTGTGGAAGCTGCCAGGGAACCCTCCCCAAACCCAAAAATTGCTGTGCTTGGAGGGGAAAATCCCCCCGTGCAGCCAGCACTCCCCTCCAAGGGGCTTGAGGAGCTGCAGTGAGAGAAAACCCAGCTCTTCCCAGAAATTCCTGCTTGATGAGAATCCCTCCTTTCTCCCAGCTCACGTTCTCTGCTTCTAAAATTAAAGATAAATAACACCAGCCTGCTTTTTTTTTTTTTAATTTTTTTTTTTTTTTAGGGAAATTTGCTCCTGTTATCAGAATTGCTGCACATGGGATATTAATTGGAATCTTGTTGCTGGGTCATTTTCATTGTTTTTCAAGTACTGTCCAGGAAAATGTATGAAAACTAAATTACAGCCCCACGTTGGCTGTGTGATTGAATCCTCCTCACGGCCCCTCCATCCTATTAAAATATTCAATCTTGTTTTCTTACTTGAAGAGCCTGTCTGTAAAGGGCAAACCTATAGAAACCCTCATCCTCTGGAGATCCAATATCCAGCCCCACTGGAATATTTCCATATTTCTGCCCTGCCTGGCATTGGGCTCACACCAGTTCCCCCCTCTGCCTGTATTTATTAATAAAGATTCTCAAATGCATTTTTAATTCCACCAGGCCTTTGCTGCTGAAGGAGTGGAGGCTTTGTGGCAGCCTTTGGATTCCATTTTGACCTTGGAAATAACTTTTCCCTCTCCCCTTTTCTCCCCAGGACGGAGCTGTACCGGTCACTGTTTGGAAAAGCCACGAAGGGAGAAGAACCAGAGCAGGATTAGGAGCTGGGATTGAGCTCCTGGGCTTCTCCCAGCTGCTTCTGCCCTCAGCTGCTCCCTCAGGCTGCCCAGGAGCAGAGGCAGCTCTCTCCAGCCTCGGTTTGTCCCTAAAATCCTCCCTGAAGGAGCCCCACACCCTGCTGCATCAGAGGGAAGAGTGAGCCTGAACTGCTTCCTCTCAAAGACAATCCATTTTTAACTATTCCCTTTAAATTCCTGACCTTGATTTTGCAGCCTGGGCACAGTGTGGGGCAGGGACACAATCCAGCTGTGTGAAAACCTTGGAGATTTTGGGGCTGGGGGTGTTCAGTGCCCTGTTCTGGTGCTTGGCTGCATATTGACTTCATTTTTCACCAGTCAAGAGGATTAAAATGTCATTTCCATAATTAACATGGCCTTAAAACAGAGGAAAGGTGCTGCTGTGCAGGGAGCAGAGCTGCCAGGTCACATCCTGCCTCTGGAACAGGCACAGGGACATTGGCTGGCCCTGGCAATGTGCCACCTCTGTGCTCTGTGCCACCCCCTGTGTGTCCCCTGTGTCTGTGCCACCCCTCTGTGTGTCCCCTGTGTCTGTGCCACCCCTCTGTGTGTCCCCTGTGTCTGTGCCACCCCTCTGTGTGTCACCTGTGTGCTCTGTGCCACCCTCCTGTGTGTGCCCTGTGTCTGTGCCACCCCACCCTGTGACATCTGTGTCCTCTGTGCCACCCCGTGTGACTCCTGTGTCTGTGCCACCCTCCTGTGTGTCCCCTGGGTCTGTGCCACCCCTCTGTGTGACTCCTGTGTCGTCTGTGCCACCCCTCTGTGTGACTCCTGTGTCTGTGCCACCCCTCTGTGTCCCCCGTGTCCTCTGCAGCCGCAGCTCCGGGGCTCTCTGGTCTCCCGGTCCTGCTGTGCAGTTAAAGGGTTAAAGGGGAACACGAGCCCTTTGCAGTGTGAGAACTTCTCTCGGGTATTGTCTGAGCAGATAAGAGCCCGAGCAGCGCTTCTGCATTCCCTTATCAGCGTTCCAGCAGCACCGTCCCCATCCCTGCCACCACCTGGGCTGGGGACAGGGACAGGGGAAGGGGCCCTGCCTGGTGTGGGGGTGCTGCAGGCAAAGGGAACCCCCGAGGAGCAGCCCTGAGAGCCCCGAGGGGTGTGGGACAGCAGCAGGGGGGGACAGTGTCCCCAGCGTCCCCAGGGTCCCCAGGGTGAGGTCCCAGCTCCCTGAGCCTTCCTGGGCTCACAGAAAGAACCAGGCTGATTGCCACCAAGTTTTCCTAAACACCAAGTGAGATCTTCCCTTTCCCTTCCCCCCCCAATAGAATATTAATTCTTTATTAATTCATGATACAGCTGCTAATTAGTACCTGCACAAATGGGCATTACACCTCAGCAAACACTCGGAGGTGTTTTGGGGACGGGGCTGTGCAGAGGGAGGGACACAGGGTTGTGTTAATCCTCTCCCCCCAACCCCACCACAGCAAAGAATTTCAACTTTCAGACAAACAACTTCATTTACAAGTGTGTCTCTAATTAGCTGCAGAATTAGTAAAGCAGAGTTTTCCCCCCATAGATCGGCCAAAGCCCCGGGGGAGGCTCCGGGATGGAGAGAATCGCATTTCCAATTATTTTGTTGAATTGCTAATTTAGTTATTGTGCCTGGCGTAATTGTGATGGGTATTGGGTGTGCAATTCAATTTGTTTTAAATATTTGTGGGAAGGCTGATCAGTAATGGAGCTGACCTATTTCATGGCCCAAATTGAGAGAAGAGACTAAAACAAAAAACAGCTACAAAGCCCCAGTTTGTCTCAGTTTTTATTTTGATGTCTCTCATCCCTCTTAAGACTGTTGATGCAACAAAAGGTTTACATTAAAAGATGATGGCACTTTGATCTTGGGCTTTGGAGAGCTTACAGCTTTGGTATGTCTTTTCTTGGCATTTTAATATGGAGATATTTTAGGCTAAAGAGTTTTAAACGTGATGCTGGAGTTCAGTGGGGTCTGTCCCCTCACCACCCCCCAGATTTTAACTATCATAATTCTAGTTTGAGAATTTTCTAGTTGAAAATTCAACTGCTGGAGTTGTGCTGGCTCATGTGGGCAAATTTAAATCTCACCTTTCACGGGGACTCCTCCAGAGGGTGTTTGTGGATCAGCTCCCAGGGACATCCTTTAGCCAAAGTCCTGCTGGGCCTTTCCCTGCAGGCTCCTGAGGCTGGAAAAGGTCTCCAAGATCGTCCAGTCCAGCCATCCCTGCCCACAAAGCAGCCCTGGAAGAGGGTCCTGAAGTTCTCCCACCTCAGCAGCAATCTCTGGGATTTGGGTTTTTTTCCCTGCTTGTCCCATTCCCTGTGATGTTGAAGATGGGAATGGGGAGTGGCCACCACCAGCCTTGGGGACACCTGGGGGCAGGGGGGACCTGGGATGGGGCAGAGCTGTGGGATGAGCTGGGGAGGGCTGGGCTGACCTGGAGGGTCCCACAGAACCCTCTCTGTGCTGGCCTCCAGCAAAGCTCAGCTCCTCCAGGACAGCGGGGACAGATTCCACTCGCAGCACCAGAGCTGTAATTCATTCTTTTTATTAAAAGAAATTGAGGTAAGTGAAATACTTCAGCACCAGCGAGAACCGTTCATACCCAGGGGTTCCCCCCCCCGGTGACCCCCCACCCCTGGGGACATCACAGGTGCTGCTGCCAGGGGGCCCCAGCAGGCCCAGAGCCCCCAGGGCCAGTGCCAGACCCCGATGTCACCCAACAGATTTTTTTGGAGCTGCTTTCCCCCCAGATGAAGCGAGGCCTGGTGCTGTAACACTGAAATGGGGGGGCTGCTCTGGCTGAGTGGGCACAGGGACACCTCCCACTGCAGCTGCAGATGTCCTGGAAAGGGGACTCTGGTGACACCACCACGGGGGGGATCCTGGTGACAGGGGAGGAGCCCCACCAGTCCCGGTCCTGCCTGGCTGACACATTCTCTGTCTGTGTGTCCCGCTGCAGCCCACCCTGGCGTAAGCAAAAGCATCTTTGGGGCTTGTTCAGGGGGCTCTAGTGGAAAAAAAAAATCTCTTAAATCAAATGAGGGTTCTTAACTATTAAGAAAAAGCAAGTCCTGCGGGTGGCCGAGCTCTGCTGGCCACGGGCAGGGGAGCAGCGACCCCGGGCTGGCACCTCCAGTCACTGGCAGCACAGGAGAAGGGCTGCATTGCACTTCAGGAGGAAACAGGGACAGGTGAGAGGCACTGGCAGCATCATTGATTAATTCTCTCATTAAACAGCCCTTCTGATGTACCATACTTCTGACCTACAGCCCTTCCTGCTGGACTAAAGGAGGGGCTGTAAAATCTGAAATTCTTCCAGGACCATCACTGGTGAGCCCGGGAGTGCTCACTGTACCCAGAGCTGTGTGTGAGGGGTGGGCTGTGCTTCCCTCCAGCTTCTCTGAGCTTTTGTTACATAAAAAAATTGTAGAAAGAAGTTGGGGATCTGGGATAGCCTGGGGGGACCTGGGCAGCTGCCACCCCTTCCTGCACTCACCTGCCACCCAATTCTCCCTGACCATTGCCACCAGATACCAAACCCAACATTTTTTCTCGTTCCCAGGTGAGAGTGGCCCCTCTCCAGCCAGGCCCAGGCAGCTCTGGGCAGGGCAGGATGATGAGAAAAGCTCTCCTCAGATCCTCAAACTGAGAATTCCTTCTGCAGTTCCAGCCCAGTGGGGGATTTGGCTCTGTCCTTTCTCCTCCCTCACCTCAGCTGCCTGGACCTGCCCACAGGGAAGGGATGAGCACTCCCCACACCTCAGCCCTGAAAAGATCAGGGAAGGGAGAGCAGAAATGCTGAGCAGCTGCACTTTGGTCTCTTGTGCTTCCTCCCAGAAGGGCCTTTCACAAAATTCACAGCCTGCTCTAAAGGAAATGGGCACAAAGGCAAGCAACAGAGGTTCAGCCCCCAAAATCCTGCCCCCAAAAAACCTTGACAGCCCTGGGGAGCCTGGGAGCCTCCTGGGGGCACGGGGCCAGCCCTGGCCACAGCAGCTAAAGGCTGGTTTTCCTCTACCTAGGAGACAAGACAGACGTGGGACACACAAATCAAATCACCACTGACAGAGGGTGACACACAAATCACCGCTGGCAGAGCCAGGGGCTGCGGGGTCCCCGGAGAGGGGACGGGGGGACATTGGCACTTGTCAGCACGGAGCTGCCGCTGCCGGGCACGGGGAGGAGAGGAGAGGAGGGCAGGGTGTCCCTGCAGGGGCAGGGTGTCCCTGGAGGGACAGGGGTGTCCCTGCAGGCCCTGCCACGCCAAGGCCTCGCGGTGCCGGAGCGCCCAGCCCCGCTCTGTTCAATAAATAAGGTACAGGAGGACAGCGGGGACTCAGTTCCGCAGGCGCTCGTGTTTATACATTTTCCTCGTGTCCCTGGCCAAAGGACACGCTTCCTCTGGCCAGCCTGATTTGAAAAAATAAAAACTGTCCCTGCAGCAGCGCTCCCGGAGCCTCCCCCGGGCGGGGCCGAGCGGACAAAGGGCAGCTCCCGGCTCCGGGCTCCGCCGGGCAGCCCAGGCTCTTACGTGGAAGAAGGCGAGTCCATTGTGGAGAGGATCCGCACGACCTCGGCTCGCTGCGTGGGGGAGATGTGCTGGGTCATGTGCACGATGGAATCCATGGCAACCTCGGGATTGGCCTGGACCAGGCTGCGAAGAGCACAGAGGGGAGTGAGCGAGTGAGGCAGCTCCCAGCAGGCATCCCGGGGGGCTGGAACGTGGGGCTGCGAGCGGGCACGGCCCTGGGTGGGCTGGGAGCAGCTGAGAGCTCCCTCAGGACACTGCTGGGCTGAGGAATCCTGAGTGTGTGCACCCAGGAGCTCTGGAGCCAGCCAGGTCCCCTCCCTGCTCACCTCCGGATCTGCTTGAGCACGTAATCCCTGGAGATGTATTTGATGTTCTCCTCCACCACCGAGCGAACGCCCTCCTCCTCCGTCAGCTGCTTCTCCAGCCACTCCACCAGGTCCTTGTTGCTGTCCCACAGGTAGGCCTGCCAAAATCCACAGCTCAGCCTGTGCCCCAGCCCTGCCCACTGCCAGAGTTACCCCACAGCTCTGCACTGGCACCTGTGGGTGCCACATCTGGCTGGGCATCCCCACAAACACGCCTAACAATCAGCACAAGGTCAAAGATTGTTCATTCCTTTTGCATCCTGCCATAAATGCGATGGAAGGGGAGCGAGGAGGTGCTTGGTCAGTGCTGCAGAGAACAAGCTGCAGCTGTCCCAGATAAATCCCAGTTTCCCTGGTTATCAGCTCCCCAAATTCTGGTGGAATACGGCTGACCCGACATGCAGCTGCTCCAGGGACTGTCCCAGTGCTAAATCAGGGGACCTGTGAGTCCCCACCACCTCCAGCCTGGCCCTGTGCTGGTGGCCCCAGCAGTGCTGGGACCCCTGACCCAGCAGGGCAGAGCAGGTCAGAGTGTCTGGACCCCCAGCCACATCCCCCTTTTTGCCTTTCACAAGATCATTTCACCTGATATTTGCCAGGTAGTTGGCTGTGTAATAACTCAGGAGTGTGTGAGCCCCTAACAGCCTTCTCTCCTCTGCTCTCATTTTCTTTACAAATCATTTAAGAATCGTTTTGTTAATGGTTTCCGGAAAAGCAAGTGCTGCCATTAGCACTCATTCATATTTATGTCATTTTATTTGGGTAATTAAACACAAAGCTCCTCATTTAAAGGTGCACTATCCTTCTCTGTTATCACTAACCAAGTCAGAGGCAGAATGACAATGAGCTGGGGGCGGTGACACCGTGGTGGCACCTCCCGAGCACCCTGCTGCAGCCAGACCCTGCCACACCTCGGGGACACAAGCAGGGAGTCACAGAGGCATCGGGGCTGGAAAAACATCGAGGCCAACATTCCCCAGCACTGCCGAGGCCACCAGTGACCACGTCCCCAAGTGCCACAGCCTCTAAATCCCTCCAGGGATGGGGACTCAGCACTGCCCTGGGCAGCTGGGCCAGGGCTGGGCAGCCCTTCCCAGGAGGAATTTCCTTTTCCATGGAGGAATTTCCTTCCCAGAGAGGAATTTCCTTTCCATGGAGGATTTTCCTTCCCATGGAACAATTTCCTTTTCCATGGAGGATTTTCCTTTTCCATGGAGGAATTTCCTTTTCTATGAAGGATTTTCCTTTTCCATGGAGGAATTTCCTTTCCATGGAGGATTTTCCTTCCCATGGAACAATTTCCTTTTCCATGGAGGATTTTCCTTTTCCATGGAGGAATTTCCTTTCCCATGGAGGAATTTCCTTTCCCATGGAAGAATTTCCTTTTCCATGGAGGATTTCCCCTCCCAAGGAGGAGTTTTCCCAGTATCCAGCCCAGACCTCCCCTGGCCCAGCCCGAGGCTGTTCCCTCTCCTGCTGTCCCTGTTCCCTGGCTGTCCCCTCCTGTCAGGAGCTGTGCAGAGGGGACACTTCCCCTGTCCCAGGCTGCTCCCAGCCCTGCCCAGCCTGGCCCTGGACACTCCCTGGAGCTCCAGGAGCTGTGGCTGCCCCAGGGAACCTCTGCCAGGGAGGAATTTTGGTTCCAGAGCCCATCCCAGCCCTGACACACTTCAGAAAGCCCAGGATTATTTCATTTCCTTTCACACGATGCCTCCGATTGTCTCAGCCCGGTGATGTCACTTCAAGATTTTGCTTATTTCATTGTTTTTCTCCTTATTGTGATTTGAAGCTCGGAGTTTTGCTCCCTGCCTGTGCCCCTGGCAGGCAGCAGCAGTCCCTGCATACAAAGGCAGGTCCCAGGGAAGGGGGGAAAGCCCAGCCCCAGACCTGTGCAAAGCTCCATTTACCCAAGAATCCCAAAGCTTTTCGTTTAGGAGAATATTTAATACTCTTATTAATCATTTTTAATCCGTTTGCTTTTAATTAAGAAACAGCATGATGCTTCCCTATCAACATATGCCAGGGAGCAGATTAATTGTGGCTTAAGATAACTCTCCTTGATTGGTGTAATGTATTAGCTAACGAGCTGCCTGCTTTTGGAGAGCTCAGGCTCTACCTTGGAAAGGCTGCTGCCCTCCAGAGAACATCCCCCCATTCCCTGGAACCCCTGGGTGTTGGGGACTTCAAAATCAGAATGAAAAAAAAAAATAGAATTAAAAAATAAATCACTGAAATAAAATAGAATTTTAAAATATAAAGTAAAATAAATAAAATAAAATACAATAAATGAAGTAAAATAAATAAAGTAACAAAGTAAAATAAATAAAATTAAATAAAATTTTAAAAATTAAATAAAGTAATATAGTAACAAAGTAAAATGAAATAAATAAATACATAAAATTAAGTAATGTAAATAAAATTAGATTAAATAAAACAGAATAGATAAAATAGAAAAAAATAGAAAAATAAAATAGAATAAAATGGAAGAGATAAAAAATTGACTAAAATAAAATAGAAAAAGTAGAAAAATAAAATAGAATAGAATAAAATAGAATAAACAAAAATAAAATAAAATAACATAAAATAAAATAACATAAATAAAACAAAATAAAATAAAATAAAATAAAATAAAATAAAGAGATTGAAGGCTTGTGACAAAACCAACCCAAGAGCAGCTCCAGAGCTTGCCCTTCCTGCAGGCTGAGCACTCTCCCTGCTGTCCATGCCCACCCTGGGCTGGCAGCCCTGGCAGGGGCTCAGGGTGGCAGTGCCCCGAGGCTGCCACCCACAATGCCCTCCACCCTGGACTGACCTTCACCGTGCCCTAAACCCACACTGACGTTCACCTTGGACTGACCTTCACCCTGGACTGACCTTCACTCTGGACTGACCTTCACCATGCCCTGAACCCACACTGCCCTTCCCCGTGCCCACCCACACTGCCCTTCCCCGTGCCCCCCCTGCACTGCCCTTCCCCGTGCCCACCCACACTGCCCTTCCCCGTGCCCACCCTGCCCTGCCCTTCCCCGTGCCCACCCTGCCCTGACCTTCACGGTGCCCTCCACCCACACTGCCCTTCCCCGTGCCCACCCACACTGCCCTTCCCCGTGCCCACCCACACTGACCTTCACGGTGCCCTCCACCTCGACGAACCAGCGGCGCAGCATGGCCTGGATCTGCCCGTCCGTCAGCTCGGGGTTGGCCTCGTGGATCTTGCTCTTCACGGCCTCCTCCAGCAGCAGCCGCCGCAGCCGCCAGTAGAAAAACGTCCGGGACGTTTTCCAGTCCAGGACATCCTGCCCGAGGCAGGGGACAGGAGTGAGGGATGGGGAAAAGGAGTGAGGGACAGGGGAAGGAGTGAGGAACAGGGGAAGGAGTGAGGGATGGAGAAAAGGAGTGAGGGACAGGGAAAGGAGTGAGGGACAGGGAAAGGAGTGAGGGACAGGGGAAGGAGTGAGGGAAAGGAGTGAGGGATGGAGAAAAGGAGTGAGGGATGGAGAAAAGGAGTGAGGGATGGAGAAAAGGAGTGAGGGATGGAGAAAAGGAGTGAGGGATGGAGAAAAGGAGTGAGGGATGGAGAAAAGGAGTGAGGGATGGAGAAAAGGAGTGAGGGATGGAGAAAAGGAGTGAGGGACAGGGGAAGGAGTGAGGGACAGGGAAAGGAGTGAGGGACAGGGGAAGGAGTGAGGGACAGCAGGAACAGACACACCTCGTTCCCACAGGGAAGCCCAGGCTGGGATTTGATGGAGACTCCCTGGGGATCCCAGCCGGTCCCCAGGAGCTCCACAGGCTCACGGAGGGTCTGGCTGCAGCCCCGTCCCCAGGGAAGCTGAGGCACACTCACGGTTATGGCGCCTTTCTCCTGCATCCTGCCGGGGGTGTCGTGCAGGTCAGCGAACTGCATGGCCACCTGCTGGTACATGGGCGCCAGGAACTCCTCCCGCTCCTTCAGCTTGGCCTCCAGCTCCTTCCTGTCAGCCGGGCTCAGCTCGCCCTGGGGATGCGCAAACCACACACAGCTCAGACCCGGGGGAAACCTGGGGTGCCTGAAACCACACACAGCTCAGATCCTGGGGTGCTCAAACCACACACAGCTCAGATCCCAAGGGAAGCTCAGGGGTGCCGGGAAAGCCAAAGGACAAACCCCAGAGGATCAGCTCCCAGCAGGGCCCAAAAAATCTCTGGTCCAGCCCAGATTCTGTGCCACAGAGACTCAGGCAAGGGCTCTGAGGGTGTTTTCACCACAGAAACTCTGTTCCATTTAAATGCCAACGATCTGAGCCATCAATTAAGTGACATCTACAGGACTTACTCCTAGAAGAGAACAATGTCCCAGCACTGCTGTTCATTTAGCAGGAAACATAGACCATGGCACAGCACCCTCACCACTGCAAGTTCTCCTTTAGCCCACTCCAGGGGCTCTGCCATCACAGAAGGAAGCCAGAGCAAGAACCCCAAGCCAACAAACCCAGCTTAAACCACTGGGCAGAAGCTTTAGAGAAACCCCAGGAAGGACCAGTGCAGAATGCAAGGCTGGAATTCACTGTCACTGGGCCCAAACGGGCTCACAGAGGGTGATCAGACAAATTCATGCAAGGAGATTCCAGCACAGGCTCCTGAGCATGAAGATCAGCTATTAATCTGTGCTCAGGAAGCCTCTAAACCACAGCTGGAAGCTGAGACAGCATCCTGGGGGCTCCATCCCAGGATGCTGCTGCTCCTTCCACGCCTCATTCCCACAGACACCATAATCCAAGGCTGCAGGTCCGAAGGGAGGAGCTCCCCAGTGGCCTGAGCACCCCAGTTCCTGCTCACACACCCCATATCTGTATTTTTCCAAGGCACAAGCCCTCCAGACAAAGATCCTTCCCAGGGAAGGAACGTTTTTCCTGTACCTACCAATATAAATGCTACCTAACCCTTCAGATGCGAGTAAGAAGGTTTTAATTAAGAGAAGCTCCCCTTCTAACCTTCAGAATAAAAAATTATCTATATTTATCCACGCTGAACTCCCAGGCTCCCTGGTTTCAACACAAGCACTCGAGGCAGCCCCGCTGGTGAATTCAGGCCCCTGCCAGCGAGTCCACCCAGCCAGGCCCAGTAATGATTTAGGTGAGATTAACAAATATGTCAATGTCTATTTTCTGCTTAATTTAAAAGCAGCGTCTATAAAGATTTTTGACTTCTGAACCCTGTTCTCCTGGAAGAAAGAAGGTAACAATGAGGAGGGGGGATAAAGAGTGATTATCCCATCATCGATCGTTTGTCAGGAGCATTTCTTATTCACTGGACTATTGTAAAAAGCTAAGCTCTCGATCAATCCCGTAAGCCCCCTGTACAATTAAATATCTTGGAATGGTTTTCTTTCTTTCCTAGTCAGATCTCGAGGCCTCAGGGTTTTTCAGAAAGCCTGGGCTTTATTTATTTATTTTTCAGGTTAAAAAAAAAATAAAAAGAAAAAAAAAAGTCTCTTTCCACAAATCTTATCCTGGCAAGAAGAGGGGAGTTAAAATATGGGATTCCTTTGCTCTGGAGGTACTTGACAGTTAATGAAACTGTTAAAGTTTAAATCATAGGAGCATTATAGACCTCTAGGTATGGATTGGCTGCTAATCAATAGGGAAACAAAAGGAGCAGTGCTCCCATTCCATGAGGAGAGGGCCTGGCACACGGTGGGGCAGCACCAGGAACGTGAGTGACCTTCCTACAGCAGGGAGCACGGGGCATGCTCCTGCAGTGCCAGAAATGTCACCTTCCTCTTGGACTGCAGCTTCCCCTGCAGCCCCACATCACCAGGGCTCTGAGGGATGGGCAGGGCTGGGAAACAGCTCAGCTCTGCTCCCAACACCCCCAGAGCCCCCCATGGCAGAAAACACCACAGAACCTCCTGCTTCTACAGGCTTTCCTCTCTTCTTTTTCAATCAGCAGCAGAACTGCCTTAACCAAGTTGGAAAAATGCTCTGGGAAAGCTTTGGGGTCCCACCTCCCTTCCACACCTGCAAGAACAGCCTCCCACCTGAACCTCACCTTCTCCTCTTCTGCCTTGAGCAAAAGTTGCCAGACATAAGTTTATTCTCTCCTGGCAGGGTGGGCAGGGCTGGCACAGGGTGCCCAGAGCAGCTGGGGCTGTCCCTGGATCCCTGGCAGTGCCCAAGGCCAGGCTGGACAGGGCTGGGAGCACCCTGGGACAATGGAAGGTGTCTCTGATGGGCTTTAGGGTTCCTTCTAATCCCCTCCATCCTGGGATTCCATGAAATTCACCAAAGGCAGCAAAAAAATGCCAAAGGTGTCCAAGGCTGCCCAGGCAACTCCCCCAGCCCAGCAGGAGGGAGCGGCTCCAGAGGGGAGAGGGAAGGTCACAGGGAGCCACTCACGTCCCTGGAGAGACAGGCATTTTTGGATTGTCTCTTGTTTCTTTAAATGAGACAGGCTGTAATTGCTTCACTAAATATTCAGCAGGATTTATGTCAGAAAGGTGCAGCATGAACAGCCAGTGAAGGTCACACCAGCTCGTGGCACAGGCTGCAAATATCCCTGTACAGAATCCCTGTGATTCCCACCCTGGCCCTTCCCTCTCTTTGCTCCTGAGGTCTCATTTCCAAACACCAGGGACATAATTCCAAAAAATTCCTACCCCCAGCCCTCCTGGGAGGATATCCCAGTGCCAAGTGCCACGGAGGAGCTGAGAGAAAGCAGGATCTGCTCTGGGAGACTTGTGATTGTGAATTAGCACCAATTTAAATGCAGCAGCACCTGCACAGGGAAGCAACTGCTGAAAACCAGCATCACCCACAAAACAAAGTTACAACCTGTGTTTATCCAACACCCCGTGAGAGATGGAACCAGAAGAGCAGTGTTCCTCCCAGGTTTTCCTGAAAAACTGGCAGTGGAAGTCAGTTCTGGTCCTGCACCCCAAAATGTTTCTTTTCAGAGAGGAACTGCTGTGCTGAAGTGGAGCTGAGTGATGAATACTTGAGTGGTCACTCATTATTTGGAAATTTAAAGGCAATTTTGGATGCTCTTTTGCCAAGTAAGGTGTGAACCAAGCCCCAGCAGCACAGACTGGCTGCCCTAGGAAATGAAATAAATGAAATAAATAAAATCAGAGGTGCATCCAGCACACAGGAACACCTCCCAGGACCAGCAAGAAGGACATTCCCACTATCACAATGGGCATCAGATGCTGCCTTTTTCCTGCAGGAAACAAGGAAATGCAATAGCCAGCCTTGCTGGAACTGGAGCCATTCTGCCATTCCTTTCACCCACATTCCACCCCATTTTTGCACCCATTTCCCTGCACCTCTGACACGAGGCACAGAATCTGTACGACGAGGCTTATTTTCACTCCACTGCTAAGTGGCTTAGTCTAATTGTAATAAATAAATAAAACTGAGCCTCTGTGTTTTAAACTCTGGCCCAAGGCTTGCAGGCTGCCCCGTTCCCACATCTCTGGGTGATCCCTGCTGTCCCTGCACACCTGCTCCAGGTGGGAACGTGCTCTGGGGCAGGAGAAGGGCCACCCTCCCTCACCCTGCCCCTTGCTGGAACAGCCCAACCCTGAGTGACACTTCAATAAACCACGGGGCTAATCAACATTTCAGCAATGGTGCTGCAGAATTGATAATGAACAGATTTATGTCAAATGATTCAATATCTGCCAGCCTCCCCTGCTCTGCCACGTCCAGCCCCGGCGTGGGCTCGTGGGACAGCATCTCCCTGGTGCTGCTCTCCGGGGAGGGATGACAGCCACTCAGGGGTTAAAGAGAGGCAGTGAACCCCCAGCTAATGAGTAAGAATTCAGCAGGCAGTGTAAGATAAATGGAGCTTTCTCTGCTTCTGCTGGAGTCAGCATGAACTGCGGCCCTGCGGCTTGTTTGTGGCAAATGGAGTGCGCGAAATATCAAAGGGCAGTGATCCAGAAGAAGACCGACTTTGACAAATTTTAAATTGGCCAGAAAGAAAACCAGCAAAAAAAAAAAAAAAAAAAGGAAAAAAAAAAAAAGAAAAAAAAAAAAAGGATAAAAAAATTATGCAATCCAGTGTGTCCTGCAATCTTGGCTCTCCTGCTCTGGTATGGAATTAGTGGCAAAACAACAGCAATGATCAGCGATGCTGGAGCAATTACGATCCATCTCAGGGAGATGCTTATCAGTGACTGAAGCTTTTAGAGCTCTCCCTGTGTACAGTTGTAAGTGACTTGCTCTTGTGTTGCAGTCATTTTAATTAAAGTGTATGGAGTTTGCTGGGAGTAATTACCCTGTAGAGGAAGAGAGGGAAAAAAAAAACCTCTGACCAGGCTCCTGGCTCCTCACACGGCGCTGGGTTTGTGAGGCTGCTGGCAGAGACTCCACCCCATCTTTCCCTCTGTGGGTTTTTTTTGAGTGTCCCACAGGATTCAGGGGTGAGTGAAGGTGATGTTCTGCTCCCCCTCCCTGCAGGATTGTCTTTGTCCACAGCATTCTCCAGGGGATGGATCCCTCCCGAAGCCACGGGCTCTGCTGGAGCAGGGCTTGCTGTGCTGCTGGCACTGCCAGGGGGTGTGGGAGGTGAAGGTGAGCACTGCCAACAGCAGCAGGGCTGCCCTGCAGGGCCATCCACTCAGCTGAGTGCTCAGCACGCTCCCTTTCCTAAGCACATCTCTGATTTCTCCTTCCAGAGATTCCTGCTCTGACACACACCCATGGGAGGGGGAGCTGCGGGTCCTGCCTGATGAGGAACTCCACTGAACACCTCCAGAGAGGCTTTTTGGGACTCTGAGCTGGGTCCCCATGATTTGGGGTGGTCACTGGCCCTTTGCTCCTAAAGGAACGCTGTCAAGTCTGACAGAGGCCAAAAGTGAGGTTTTCTGAAAATAAAGCCTGCAGCTGCAGCAAGGAGGTTAAAACTGGGATTTAAGTCATGGAATAACAGAATGGTTTGAGTTGAAAAGGACTTTAAAGATCATTTCATTCCACTCTCTGCCATGGGCAGAGACACCTTCCACCATCCCAGGGCACCCCTCACCCTTCACCTTTTATTATTCTCTTCCCAAGGCATATCAGGAGGGTTGTTTTGTATATAAATTGTTGCCCTGCCATAAATTTAAAAAAAAAAAAAGCCAAATAATAAAATGTAACTGTAGCAATAGCCAGGATTTATCAGTCATTTGCAGAACACTTTTCCTCCTGAAGGATCCCAAAAGGCTTTATAAATTCAAGCCATACCCACATGGCACGCTTCTCCCTCCACTGAAATGTAGTCAATTTTGGAGGTAAAAGGAGGCTCTGTAAGATTATACTCTTATAGTAAGAGCCAGTAAAGGACTATTTAAAAAGCCTATTCCCTCGAGAGAGAACATATCTGATATTAAGTGCATTCTGCTGAACACTCTGTATTTTGGGATGTTGAGTGTACAGCAGGCGCTGGGATCACTCGGAGTGGCAATAACACAACCCTGGCCGTGCCAGCACTGAGCTCTGCACAGCCCCCCTGTCCACAGAGACATGGACAACATTCCTCATTCCCTTGGAACTGAAGAGCACACGGATATCATTACTGCAAACTACCCCAGACACTCAGAGACAGTCCAGCAGCCCAAAACGTCTTTGATCAAACCTTTTGTTACGTGAAACGACGCCTGCTGAAGGCTTGGCCCACAAACCTTTAGAGAGCTGAGCAATTGCTGAGCTGGAAATTAGACCCAGGCATCTGCAGTGAGGGTCTGTTGTGAGATCCAGCCAATAAAATATAATAAAATAGAGAAATCAGCTCAAAAAACCCCAATATTCCACACCCTGGGTACGCTGAGCACGCACCAGTGTCATCTCACACATACACACACGCCGTGGTCTCATCTGGTTTTCTTCCCAAGTCAGACAAGAGTAAATAAAACCGAAAAGGACTGATGAAATGCCCCCCTGGGGGTGCCCAGGTCCCAGCGGGCTGTGCCACGTACCCAGGCGCTCGGCCAGGCGGATGTACACCGGGTCCACCCTGCGCATCGTCTTCACCAGGTCCTTCCTGCGGAACCGGATCTCCACCGTCCCCTCGGGCTCCAGGATCCCTCCTCTGCAAGAGAGATAAGAGAGGCACTTCTTGCACCTGACTTTGTGTCATCAGGAACAAAAATGAATGGTTCAATGTCTGCTGCAAAGCACGTGAAAAGAGAATGGGGAGGGAGACAGAAGGAAGGGAGGATTTTTAGCTCCGGTTTCTCCAGGCCGAAGACGCAGGCGAGGCCCCACATGTCCAAGCCCAACTGTCCCCAGAGAGCCCCAGCTGTGGCTGCAGGGAGAGGGTCTGTACCTGCTGTCCCTGTCGGCGTACATCTCCATGTGCCGGGGGTTGATGGTGGGGTCGATGACCACCCAGGAGCCGCCGCGCAGCTCGCCCTGCGGCGGGATGTAGATGAGCACGGGCTGCCGGTACTCGCGCAGGCCGTCCACGATGTAGGCCCCGAACTTCAGCACCTGGTCATACATGTCTGGGGATGGACACAGAGATGGTCAGCGTGGCTGGGATGGACACAGAGATGGTCAGGGTGGCTGGGATGGACACAGAGATGGTCAGCGTGGCTGGGATGGACACACAGACAGTCAGCGTGGCTGGGATGGACACACAGATGGTCAGGAATGGCTGGGGATGGACACAGAGATGGTCAGAGTGGCGGGGATGGACACAGAGATGGTCAGACATGTCTGGGATGGACCCAGAGATGGTCAGGAATGGCTGGACAGGACACAGAAGTGGTCAGGCATGGCTGGACAGGACACAGATGGTCAGCATGGCTAGGATGGACACAGAGATGGTCAGACATGTCTGGGATGGACCCAGAGATGGTCAGGAATGGCTGGACAGGACACAGAAGTGGTCAGGCATGGCTGGACAGGACACAGATGGTCAGCATGGCTAGGATGGACACAGAGATGGTCAGACATGTCTGGGATGGACCCAGAGATGGTCAGGAATGGCTGGACAGGACACAGAAGTGGTCAGGCATGGCTGGACAGGACACAGATGGTCAGCATGGCTAGGATGGACACAGAGATGGTCAGACATGTCTGGGATGGACCCAGAGATGGTCAGGAATGGCTGGACAGGACACAGAAGTGGTCAGGCATGGCTGGACAGGACACAGATGGTCAGCATGGCTAGGATGGACACAGAGATGGTCAGACATGTCTGGGATGGACCCAGAGATGGTCAGGAATGGCTGGACAGGACACAGAGATGGTCAGGAATGGCTGGACACGACACAGATGGTCAGACATGTCTGGGATGGACACAGAGATGGTCAGGAATGGCTGGACAGGACACAGAGATGGTCAGGCATGTCTAGGGTGGACAACAGATGGTCAGCATGTCTGGGATGGACACAGAGATGGTCAGGGTGGCTGGGATGGACACAGAGATGGTCAGCGTGGCTGGGATGGACACAGAGATGGTCAGGAATGGCTGGACAGGACACAGATGGTCAGCATGGCTAGGATGGACACAGAGATGGTCAGACACGTCTGGAGTGGACACAGAGATGGTCAGGCACAGCTGGGACAGGGACACCCAGCCTGGAGTCACAGCTCACCACTGCTCCACAGCAGGTGCCCTGGGATGATCCATCCCCCATTCCCAGCCCACAAACATTCCCACAGTTTGGGGAATCAGCCTGGGTATGTCTGCACTGCCCAATTTCAGACTTTCCACCCCAGACCTCTCCCACAACTCATGTAATGTGAATAAAATGCACCTAAGGGCAGCAGAGCTTTTCCAGATCTTCATAAAAATGTGTGTGGAGAGGGATGGGGAACAGCACTCCGCTCTTCCTCCATTAAAATTTGTTTAAGGCACTTTGCTCAAAATTAATAAGAACAACTCCACTGTGTAAAGACAGTACATTGAAAATATCAGCCCCAAAGGTGATTTAAATAAAAGAGAAAAAGGGAAGGCAGAAGAATTTCTATGAGATGATATAGTTTCTAATGGATGCAGTTTGTAATGGAAACGGGCACTCTTGAATATATATATTTTGTTACATATAATTATATCTACAAGTATTAAATCAAAATACAAGAAATGAAAAATACTTATTAGGCTCATCTAGCCCACCTCTTTGTTCACACACGACTGTTTCTTCCACAGTGCTTTTGAAAGCTCCCATTTAGAAACCCCAAACAATAAATCTGCTTCTTTAGGGGCATTTCCCCAGGCAAACAGATGAGATTTCCCGCAGAGCTCAGCCAAACTTCCCCTCCCTCCCCATGAATTTCATGTCACCACCCCTTGTAGCACCCTACACAATGTCTGCTCTCCTTCAGGCTACTACAAACAGCAGCAGGATTTCCAGTGGGGTTTGTCCTCAGACACTGCAGGCATCCATCCCTCACCTCTTCCAACCCCCTCCATCACTTGGGTTTTTTGCTTGGACCCTCCCAGTTTGCCTCATTTCTTCTGGCCATTAAAATACCAGTGCAGAGAAAATGAAAGATCTGCATTTATGCACCTCACACCTGCTGCAACAGGAACACTGAGACACTTTTATTCATCTAAAATCCTTCTATCCCTCAAGAAAAGCCTCACTTCTGGGGAAGAGAGAGACCCCAGCCAAGGGCCCTTTGTCATTTAATCCTCATTTTAGTGTTAAGCACTAACATGAACAAAATTAAGCAATTAACTCTTTGGGAAACACTTTTATATACATATATAAACAAATATATACAAATATATATTAGTGTATTTGTATATACTAATATAGATAAATATATATTAGTACCACAGGCACTGATAATAGCTCTCCATTTCATTTCCAAGGTCATTGCCCAAACACCCAAGAAAAGGAATTTAATGTTATTTAAGAGGCATCAAATGCTGACAAAAGGAAGAACAATTTATTCCCTCTAATTGGGAATAAACATAAATCCCAGCAGAGACAGTGAGGAGTGAGAACCAAACAAAACTCCAACCTTTCCCTTTGTCCTGAGCAAAGAAAAAGACTCAAAAGGGGTGACAAATTTATTACTAATTACACAATTATTTTATTATGTAGTGCTAGTAATAAACCACTTGAAGTACTTTCAGCTAATTCTAGTGTTAAGAAAATAATTGCTTGATTCAAATTATTTTAACCAAATTAATTCTTTACTAGACATTTTTTACTAGTGCTACATAATAAAATAATTGTGTAATTAGCAATACATTTTTCACTCCTGCCACGGGTGTGTATTTTACTCAGGTGAAGTGCAGAGAAGAGCAGCACTAATTGTTTGAACAGGGCAGAGGGAGGAGAGGCAGAGAAATTGGGGGAACTGGATGCTTTCTCAGAGCTCCAGCTTTCCCAAAAGGAAAGGAATTTATTTCCTTTCAGGAAATAAAGGATTTTATTTCCCAGGTGGTCAGGGGAGCATTTCTGTGCATGTGGATCCTTTGGGATCAGCCTTGCAGGAGTGTGAACCTCTGCTCCCTCTGGGAACGTCCCAGCAGCCAAGAACAGATTGAGCCCCAACATTTGTCATTAAACAGAGCCAAGGGCTGGCTGCCCTTGCACACCCAGCTCTTCAGCAAGGCTGGGGGAGCTGCTGCTGCTCCTGGGGCTGGGGACAGGGCTGGGGACACCCGTGCTGCTCCCACGTGTGGCTGTGAACTCTGCTGAGGAGCATCCTCCTCCCTGACTGCCGCTGCCAAGGGGTCCCCACGGTGCTCCAGGCCAAAATTCCTGTATTCATTTAAACCTCAGCCCAACCTCAGCAGCCTGGCCTAGTGAGAAGTGTCCCTGTCCTTGGCAGGGGGCTGGAATGAGGTGACCTTTAGGTCCCTCCCAGCCCAAACCAGCCTGGGGCTCCATGAGCAGGGCAGGGATGCTGCAGGATGTCCCAGGAGAGCAGAGCTGGGTCTCTGGCAGTGCCCACAGAGCTCTGTCCCCCACACCTCTGTGCCCACCAACAGGGACACAGAGGTGTGCCCACCTCCCTGTGGGGGTAAATCCTGGCACTCAGAGCCCTCCCTGCCCCTCTGGAGCTGGAGCAGATCCCACCAGCCTGCCTGGAACAGCAGAGGGGACCTGAAGACAGCACTGGCCAAGACACCACATCAACCCATCCAACAACCCAGCACCCCTCTGGAGCTGGAGCAGATCCCACCAGCCTGCCTGGAACAGCAAAGGGGACTTGAAGACAGCACTGGCCAAGACACCCTTATCAACCCATCCAACAACCCAGCATCAAATCAGCCAACCCAGCACCCAAAACCCAAACACAGCACCAAATCACCCAACCCCAGCCTCAAATCACCCAACCCAGCACCAAATCACCCAACCCCAGCAGCAAACCAGCCAACCCAGCATCAAATCACCCAAACCCAGCACCAAACCCCCCAGCCCAGCACCAAATCACCCAAACCCAGCCTCAAAGCACCCAACCCAGCACCAAATCACCCAACCCCAGCAGCAAACCAGCCAACCCAGCATCAAATCACCCAAACCCAGCACCAAACCCCCCAGCCCAGCACCAAATCACCCAAACCCAGCAGCAAACCAGCCAACCCAGCATCAAATCACCCAAACCCAGCACCAAATCACCCAGCCCAGCACCAAATCACCCAAACCCAGTATCAAATCAGCCAACCCAGCACCCAAAACCCAAACACAGCACCAAATCACCCAACCCAGCACCAAATCCCCAAACCCAGCATCAAATCACCCAACCCAGCACCAAATCACCCAACCCAGCACCCAGCCACCCCAGCTCCAGCCCGGCCTCTTCACTCACTGGATTATTTTACATTTATTGGATTGTTCTTTACGATCTGTCCCGGGCAGAAGTGAGCAGTAGAACCCGAGCCCCCACGGGCGAGCAGGGTTCCATGTGGGGGGATTTGCATGTGATCAACCCCCCCTTGCTGAGCCCAGGACCCCGGTGCTAATTTCCAGGGAATTTCACGCCTGATGTCTCCCCGCCGTGGGTCACCGCCGCTTCGCCCAAATCAAGCCCTGCCAAATGGCTCCTCCACCGGAATATTCCAGCCAGTTTTTCATAATTTAATTTTGCATTATGCTCAGGAGCCTTCTGGCCACGGAGAGAGCTCGTTGGGGAAAGCACCACCACCACGAGCTGCCTTTATTTAGGGTGTTATTTATTTATTTTGCAGCAGGAATCAGACCTCCCAGGCTGACTAGGAAAGAGGGGGTTTAATTTTTTCCCTCTTTTTTTTTTTTTCCTTTTTCCTCCCCCTTCACTAATGTCAATTTTCAGCATAGCAAGAGCTGTCTCTAATCTTTTCCTACTCATTACACACAATTTTGGAGTCATTTTACCCACAGTGCAGTCGGCTCCTGGCAGTGTGTTTGTGTGCACTGAGGGGTGGCATAATTGTTTATTTTCCCTCCCTGCATAATCCCCAGCCAGCACTGAAACCAAAACTGCAAACAACTCCCCAAGGGACCCCGAGAGTGTCAGGAGACACCAGCAGCAGGCAGGAGGCTGGAAAATGCAAGGAGCCAACTGCAATGGCTCTGTCCTTCCCTCCTCCTCCTGCCAGCTGCCTGGAATAACTTGGGATATGCAATATAAATATTAACATCCTCATGCTGCCTGTTCCACCCAACTCCAAAGCTCAAACTCAGTTTCTGAGGAACCCAGCAAGGCCAGACCTGACATTTTTAGGTAAAACAACATTTAAGGACTAAATAAATAAGGGGAAATTACATCAACAACTTCCCAGTGTGTTGTGTGGCTGGGAAAGCAACTCGTGTAGGGGGTGCAGTAGCAGCACACAGAATCCACCCTCAGAGGCAGTGGGTGTTTTCCAGAGGGAAGAATTTTGCCCTCTTTCTCCACCTCTCACCTTTGCATCTGCAAACTCAAAGGCTCTGCCTTGTGCCCAGCTGAGGAGCCAGCAGAGCCCAGCAGCCTCTGCCACCCTGAGACCTTCAGTGCTCCTGCAGCCTCCCTCACACAGGTAAAAGGCCCTGATCTAATCTTTCACTTCAAATTTTATAGCCTCAATCTCACATCCTTGGCACTTCACAACACTTCAAGCAGCACTCTGTGGTGCCCTGAGCAGCCAAGACAGAGCCAAAACCACCCCCAGGACAGCTCCAAAGTGCTGCTTACCTTTCATTCCCCCAGAGAAGCCTCTCCAGTTGGCAAAGACCATCAGGGGCAGCCCTTCCCTGTTGAAGTCCTTGATTGCCTCGGCTGTTTTGAAGGCAGAGTCAGGGAACCACACCTGCCCAGCCTGCTGGATTATCTGGTGGGAAGAAAAATCCACTGTCAGGCCTTGAAGCATGTTATTGTAAGAGTTAAAACACAGAAAAACCATCAGGAGCTGTGATGTGGAATAAATAATGAGGACTATGACAGGTGAAATATGTGGGATCTGCTTGGCCATGGGAAAATTGGGACAATCCTTTTGCCACCAACTTCAACAGCAGCATTCCCATCAATTCAGCTAAGAAAAGAGAGTATGGACAGCCTGGCACTGTGATGCTGTAAGGAGGGGAAGGAGAAGAGAAAGAAAAGGACATGGAAAGCCCTGGAGAGATGAAGCAGGGCCAGGGCTGGGAAATCAGGCAGGGGAACAGCAAAATGTCAGAGCAGGAAAGTCATGGAGCACTCCAGTCACAGCAAGAGAGCAGGGAAGGGATTTTTGCTTGTCACATCTCCTGATCCCTGATCCCTGCCCCTCCCCTGAGTGCTGAGGGAAGCAGGACTGCAGGGAATCTGAGAATTCCTAGAGGTTTCCTGGAGGAATGGTCACCCAGCAGTGCCAGCTCTCCAGGAAGGGCTGCACATGGGTACCACACCTGGGGAAAGAGGGAACCCCACATGGACAGGGCTCCTTGCAGGGGACAGAAGGGACAGACAGGAGCACACAGCCCACCCACCTTGGCCTCCGAGTCCAGGTTTGCAGGATCAGCAGGAATGCTGAGCTCCACTGTCCTCGTTTCCACGGCAACCACTCCTACAGGTATTCCTCCCAGCCTGCAAACAGGTGAGACAGTGAAATTCCTGCTCCTGCTTTGCACATCCAAACACCCAGCAGAGACAAAAAACAGGAGCAGCGTTGGGGCCTCTTGCAGAGTTGAAGCTGGAAAGTGCCAGAGAGGTCACAGCTCTCAAAGCAAAATCTATTCCAAAAATGAGCACATTCCTCTCTAGAAATCAAACAGAATAAACCAAACCCAGATTTTGAATGGTAGATCTGTGTATTTCACCTGCCACCATCCAGATTTTGGTACTGGTGGTCTTGACCATGAAAAATCAGAAAATCCCAGAAGGGCTTGGGAAGGACTTTAAACAATTCCTGTGTTTTCTCCAGATGTGCTGCTGCAGGGTGACAGCCAGGGGGGCAGGGTGCAGGCACAGAGGGATGGGCAGGAGGGTGGGCACCAGGGAGGATGCCCAGCTCTGCCCCCCAGGGCACGCAGACCCTGCTGCACACAAAAGCCGTGGAAGCCACGCTGCCAGGACAGTCCCAGCAGAGCCCCCTCTCCCTCCCCAAGCAGCCCAAGCTGATGACACACAAACAGGCAGGGAAGAGACAGGGCCCATGTGCACTGAGGGGCTGAAATATTCCCATTGCCTGTGATGAAGAGGCTGCTGGAACCCCATAATTGCAGAAGCCGTCTTAAATCGGTAACTTATAACTTCTATATTAGGGCCCATGTGACCTAATAAAGAACATCTTTATCCAAGTATTACAGTTATTTATTGAACTTGAAAACAGCTCAAAACAACTTCTGTTTTCCATAATACTTCATATAAATTTTATCAGGCTAGCACATGAAGATGCTACATCTTGTTTTATAGTGTGTCCCTGGACAAGTTGCCATAGAATAATAAAAGACAATTTACAGCCAACAGCACACATATTCCAAACATACATACAAGAGATGAGTTTTGGCAGCACTTACAGTAACAATCCCAGAAGAATACATTCGTATTTGTTTTTTTCAAAGTGCCACTGCTTTTGAAAGGAGTCTGTTTCATTTGTGTTATATATCCCTGCTGTGTGAGAGTCCAAAGCCACTCGAATTTGTCAGAAGAAAGGAATGGCAAGTGAAGCTGAGCATGGACAGAGAGCTTCTGGCTTTGCCAAACCATTGATTTCCACCCCTGGCATACTGCTTAGCCGGGAAGCCTTTAAATTATAGAATTATAGAGCCATGGAATGGGTTGGAAGGGACCTTAAAGGTCATCTCATCCCTTTCTTTTCAACTCCTTCTATTAAATAGATACATATAGAGATATATATAGACACATAGAGAGAGAACAAAACAATCACAGGAATGTTGTGTTCTAGAGAAATGCAAAGCATAACCCAAATTTGATTTCTACAATTGCCTAAAACACACCTCAGAACTTACCTTGCTCTCCCCACCACCACTGTCTGTGCCCAGGGCTGCATGATCTCCATGAACGAGCCATGGTCGAAGAAGCCACTCAGCCACTGCCCTTTCTGATCTAAAGGGAAGGGAAAAAAGGGAAAAATCAAAGGAGGAAGGAGAGAGGGAAGAAAGAAAACAGAATATCAAAGCAACAAATCAAACTTGCTTTAAAATGCCAGCTGGAGAACATGGCACTGTCTTTTTATTTATTTAATTTTAAATAGATGACAATACAAGGGAACATTAGACAGCTGAGCATTTGTCTGCCTTCAGCCATCATGTCTTATTTCATTTCCTAGTCTGCATAAAGACAGCAATTTATCAGCAAAAGCATCATTTATTGTTAAACGATGGGGTTCGGAGAGCAGAGGGACTTCCCATGCTTTTAAATAAATAACTCTGCTTTTTTCAAGACTACAAACATTTGTCAAAAGGCAGTAAAGTCATTAAAGATGGTTTTCTACACATCTATTTCTATTTTAAAACTTATCTCATATTCTTCTCTTGATCCTGCCTAATCTTTCTTTGAAAGAAGGAATGCTGCAGAAACCCAGGAACTAAATATGAGAATTTCAATGATATTTCAGAGTCAGTTACAGAAATCACAATTCTGTGGGGCTGTGTGGGCAGCTGCTGTGCACTGGAGTTTTGGGAAGCTCTGCATAAAAATAACCCCCAAAAAAATCCCCCCAAAAGCCCAAATCCCTCCCAGCTTCACCCCTTGGCACAGAGCTCCTGAGGAACTCTTTCCTCTGAACAAGCACCTCTGCTTCTGCAAACCCAAGCCCAAAACCAATTAAAAAGTGGAGATCCAAGCACGCTAACCTCTGCTGACTTAAACAGGATGGAGAGTGTTTTATCAAGCCCAAACTTGTAATTACTGTGTTCTACATTCCTTGCCTCTGTGGCCCCACTGTAAAATGTGACCATCCATTTCAGAATTATCTCTTTATCGCGAGCCCGAAGCTGATCGTTTAGATTCTGGCCTCGTGTCGGGCGTCAGTTTGAAGAATATCACAGCAATATCTCCTCTAATAAATGACTTTAACTTTTCACCTAGGAGATATCTGCTTTAACTTATCACAGGGAATCATCTGCTTTCCTTAACGCTTCCACTAAATTAAAATCTGAAGTCACTCGATTTGGAAGCCGGCGTTTGCGGCACCCGGACAGCTGGATGAATTGCTTGAGAGATGATGAAAAAATATTATCCAAAACCAGAAAACTTAGTTTATCACAAATCTCATTTTAGCCCCCCAGACTCATTAATAACAGCAGGAGTAATGGTCACCCAGTTTGCAGCTTGTACCTACACAAGGCTGCACAACCCCAGTGGTGCCAACACAACAACTCCCCAAGATCCAGAGGAATATTGTGACTCTTTTAACATACAGCCCTCTGTGGATGGACTTTCCCCTAAATCATAAAAAAAATCCACAAAGGTAACTATTCATAGATCATCTATAAAGTATGGTGTCCTTGAGCACTCAGGATTTACATGCTACTTTTAGATATTGTTTATAAACAATATTATTGATTAATAGTATTATATGTAAATATTTATATATTCTAGCCATATTGCTCAGAACTATTTTACAGAGTCTGAAGTATATTTGGGTAGCAGACATGTGGCAAACAGCCTTGAAACAAGAAGAGCTGCTGCATGCCCTGGCCATACTTGGGTTGGGGCGTCCAGCCAGCATCCAGCGAGGGTCGTAGGGGGTCTTGGTGGGAACAAAGTCAATGGTTCTGTCTATGGGATCCTTGGCTTTCAGGATGGGCACAGGGCTGTGGATATTCTAAGGGAAAAAGGAAAACACAGAAGGAAGTGAGAGCCCCTTTCCCAAAACCCTGCCAACACAGCAAACAGTGGCACCTCGGACCTGGCAGGCCCAGGAATTACCTTTGGCATGTAGGAAAGCCACTGCAGAATGGTGTAGACCCCTTCAAAGTCATCACACACAGTGTCATGGGTCACCCCGTTGTTGTGCATGATCTGGATCCCTCCCAGCTGGTTGTTGGAGGTGTAAACTTCCCGTCCAAGCACCTGGGGAACGAAAAACAGGAGAGCCATCAGTGCTGGGATGTGAGCAGGAGGTGCTGGCCAAGGAGGCACGCACTAACCCACCCCTGCAGCACCTCAGCATCACCTGGAATGAAAAGGATGGAGCAAACCTCTCCCAAGGGAGCCTCCCAAGCCCTGGGTGCAGGTGAGAGTTGCTGAACAGTGATCCCTAGCCAACAGAGGGCAGGGGTGGGTGGGATATTGGGAAGGAATTGTTTCCTGGGAGGGTGGGGAGGCCCTGGCACAGGGTGCCCAGAGCAGCTGTGGATCCCTGGAATTGTCCAAGGCCAGGCTGGAACGGGCTTGGAGTAGCCTGGGATAATGGAAGGTGTCCCTGCCCATGGCAGGGGGTGGAATTGGATCTCTGAGGTTCCTCCCAGCCCAAACCATTCTGGATTCTATGACCCCCAAGGGGAATGATACCAGTGGGGAAACTGAGGCAGTTTTCCCACTCACCCTCCCCAAGCAGCAGTGTGACCAAACTCTCGAGCGCTGAGCCCAGCTCAGCTCACTAATCCCAAACATCTCTGAGAAAACTGTGGGTGGATGTATTTAAATGTATAACTGAGAGGAAAAAAAAAAACCAGACAAAGGCCCAGCATCTCCTTGGAGAGGCTGGCCAAAGCAGGCTGGGGCTCCTCATTCTCTTGCACAGCTCCATCTCTAATCTGAGCCTGGGCAGCACAGCTCTTTTCTCATTCTCCTGCTGTCTCTTCCCATTTGCCCTCTCCCTGACTGATACACTGATCTCTCGGTCACTTGGCTTTCTGCTCCACTGACTCCATATTACTAATAACACCTCTGCCACGGCCAGTTTACCTCATGAAGGCAGGAGCACATCATTACAAAATAAACTCATAACTTTGACATTCCAGCAAATACACGCCGTTTGTTATTTTTATGGGTTGAGTCTTTCTAACAGACAGAGGACATTACACACCTGCTTCATTTGGATCTTAAAAACCCCCTCAAACACACACCACCAGCCTGGCCTCCCCCAAACACCCAGCACAGCTCGTTCTGGGGACAGAGGAGCTGGCAGATGCCAGTCAAGGTTTATATACAGAAGAAACCGAGGCACAGATGTTACAAACCTAACCCCCAAATACAGAATTCAGTGTTTTAGCACAGGGATGTTCCTGGGTCTCCCTTCTGAGCTCAATCACCTTCCTCATCCTCCTCTAACAAAATCAGTGCCAAGCAAAGCCATGGTAGAGAAGACAGCAGCACAGATTTAGGTTCAAGGATAAGAAAAGCCCAGGCCTCCAGATGCCAGGCACAAGCCTAGCTAAACGCTTCCCACAGAGGAAAATAAAAATAAAGAGGATTTAAACTCCCCCTCTCTGAACGAATGCAAACGCATGTACATGCAAAATGGGCCTCTGCTCCTGCTTATCTGGAGACACTGCAGACAGCTCAGGTTTAGCACTGCTGACAGGCAATGAAACAGCCTAATATACCACTGCTCTCACCCTTAAATCCCTTTTTGGAGACGGAGATAAACACACAGCTCCTTCTCCCGAGTGCTGCAGCCCTTCCAGCAGAGCCTGGGCAGGGTGGGAGATCCCAGGGCAGGAGGGACCAGGGCAGAGGGGGCCCAGCTGCAGGGAAAAGCTGCTCTGAGGAGAGTTTGAGCTGGGATCTGGATGAGCTGGATGTGCACAGGTGAGGAGAGGGAGCAGGTGAGAGGGAACACTGCTCTGAATCACAGAGCCCTCACACAGCCCGAGCTGCTCCATGCCCAGACTGGCACTGGGCACTCAGGGGGTTCAGGAGGATCATGGAATCCCAGAATGGTCTGGGTGGGAAGGGACCTTAAACTCTTCCCATGAAGGAATTCTTCCTCATGTCCAACTTGAACCTCCCCTGGCAGAGCCTGAGGCCATTTCCTCTTGTGCTGCCATGTGCTACCTTGGAGAAGACTTCCAAAACATTCCAAAATACCTGGGCAGTGTTGCCAACACTGAGTTCATCTCATCTTCAAAAAACCCATTTCTTGTCATTTCAGAGGATCCTTTGGCAAACACAAGCAGAGCCAGGATTCTAACATCCTCCAAAGGATGGTCCTCAACAGGTTCATAGGCCCATCATGTTCATATTAATAATTTCCCAGCACTCCAACCCATGCTGAGCAGCTGCTTTCTCCTCTCAGAACCTGAGCTGCAGGAGAGTTGGGACTTTCCCTGCAAAGCTGGGCTGGCTGAGGGCTGGGTTGGCTCATCTGTTTCACCCAGGATGAAAGAGCTGAAAACATGACAGCTTGGAGGGCTTGAATGGGAATCATTATGTAACATAAGTGCTGTTATTATTCCAAGCATATCATGTGTTCATATCAAATATAAGTGCCAGATTTTTATCCAAATAATTTCAATAATTGCAATTCCCATCCCACAATTTATATTGTCTGCCAGAAACACGAAGCAGAAGAGGCATATGCACGTCCTATAAATAGCCTATTTTTCATAAACAGGCAGAAATGATGGGAATGAATGTCTCATCAGAAAAAATGTAGGAACACAACGCAGGAACTTCAAACCTGACTGCTATTATGTGCAGTCAAGCCTCGACAGAGCTCAGTGCTCATTTCCAGCTCTTCCCCCACACGGATCATGCATCAGAGGGGGAAAAGCAGCAAGAGGGAAGAGAGCCCAGCTGAGCAGAGAGCCCTGCCCGAATGCACAGCCCTGTGCCTGGCAGTGGGAGCACAGCCAGCTCCTCTCTGCCCTTCCTGCATTGCTAATCCCTGACTCCGTGCAGTTCCTGCACTTGTAATTTATGAGCGTGCGGTGGGGGACCCTTCTGACTTGGGAACAGATTGGCTCGGTCTAATGCTTGGAGATTATTAAAGGCAGAGCTATACTCCACTATCAAGTCTACAGATCTTTTATTTAGAAGATATGGTGCTCTAAATGCACAAAGAGCTCCCTGTCACCTTCACATTAAAGCCCCTAGTGCCTGGTAAATGGAATTATATAGCTGTCATCTCCTTTCCCCAAAGTTTTAAGAGTACAATGGGCTCATTTTTTCCCACTCCATCCCAGCTTCAGAACTAAGAGACCTACTTTGTATTGATTTAGAGTCTCGGAAATAAATAAACCTGCTTCTCCAATGTGATTCACAAGAAATTCATGATACACTATTGCATGATATATTTCAAGCTGCAGCTCCGGCTCTTTTTTCCCTTTGGTGAGTGATGGGGGAGGTGGGAGCTGGGGGGAGGTGGGGAGCTGACAGCCTGATGGTTATTGGGGATGGCTCCTGACTGCAAATCCACAGGCAGGTCCTGCTGGTGGAGTCTTTCCCTGCTTCCATTTGGTGAGAGCAGAGGGGGAAGGGGCAAAAAAAGCAATTGCACTTCACCTGGCAGGGAGCAGGGCAAGGTGCAGCTCCTGCCTGGAGAGCCCAGCCCTCCTCACAGACACACAGGGAGCAGGGCTCCACAGCTGCCACACACAACAGCTTCTGTCTGTCTGTCTGTCTGTCTGCAGCATCACACGTTTTTGGTGGGAAGGTTTTCCCACCTTGAGGTTACTGAGGAGGGTTTGGGAAAATTTCTGGGTTGCAGCAGAAAAATCAGGTTTTGCAGTCTTGAGAGCTGAAGTACAAAACTTGAGATCAGACAGGTTCAAAATGACCTCTAAAATATTTGCTGTACATATTAAAAATAAAAATTAATTTGGGAAGAAAAGTCAGCTGGGAAATAAAAACTGAACTTTTTCATTCGACCCAAAAAATTCCAAAGGAGAAGCTCATCCACACTGATACCTTTTCCTGAAGAGCTCCAGTTTCAGTGAAGTGGCATTTCCACATGAAAAATGTCTTGTCAAAACCCTCGTGCCCCTCTCTCCTCTCCCTGCGTGTGTTTTGCTCAAGGTCACTCCCTCAGCCAGTGGTAAATCAAAAGGACTCAATACACTTTGCAAACTAAAATTACAGCCCCTATTCTACATGGTGCCAGCACCCATAAATCCCACCTGTCTCAGCCAGGGGTTCCCTAATCTAGATATGAACCCCATAAACAATATTCATGGTTGTCTCCAACGTAAAGATCTTGGTCATTTCCTCTGCCACCTCCTGGACCCCAGAGAAGCCTGTTACTCAGAGACCCCCAGGGCACAGGCTGCAGTGCAGGGACCTCTTCACCAGGACACTGAAACTCTGCTCACTCTGCAGTGTGAGCTTGGGTTTAGCCATGAGAAATGCTGCAATTCTCCAGTGCTGTCCCTGCAGTTCCCACCACGTGTCCAGAATCACAGGGAATTTCTGTGGAAAACACCCCAGGCTGGTCACCCCAACATCCCCCTGGGGACATGGCAGGAGGGATGATCCCAGTAATTCTGGGATATGTTTGAGAAGTTCAGCTCCTGTGGAACATTAGGGAGCAGAGTTAATGCTCCAGTGAGAACATACCCTGCAGGATCCCCAGGAGATGGGACACAGCCCTGGGGAAGAGATTTGGACAGGCAGAATATGAGCCACCATGGTAAACTCCTCTTTAGCAGAATTAAACACACACAGAGCCCTCACCCACACAGATAAACTGAGCAAGATCTGTATTAAAAATGATAGAAGGAGGGAGAATAAAAAAAGTCAACAGAAATCTATTAGACTTCCTTCCCTAAGCAAACACCAAGGGACTGATAATGGCATGCCTGGAACGTAAATTGTCTCTAATGGGAACAATACACAAATATCACCACTTAAAGAAAGGCAATTAAAACAAAAATGCAGCCATGGAGGGTGGTGGTTGTTTATCTGCACTGAGGCCAGGCATCCATCCTGCTTGCATCCACTGCTCCACACAGAGCAAGGACCTGTGTGTCACCAGCAGTGCCACCAGCCACAGCCCTGCAGCACCCCAAGCCTCTCACTGGCAGGGAAAGGAAGGAATGAGCCTGGCTTTGCTGGGTCTGGGCCATGGTGACCCACAGCAGGGACACCTCCAACAGCACCACAGCCCTGGCAGCTCTGGGAGCTGGAGAACACAACCCTGAGCCCACCCTTGTTCTCAGCACCCCCAGGGCACAAGCACCCAGGGCAGAGCAGAGCCTGTCCTGCTTTCCAGGACTGGGATAACCTTGGGCAGCTCCAGCCTCCACACAAGGAACCAACACTTGATGCTGGTGAGTGCTGATTTCTGGTTGACACTTCCCAGCCCTCCTTGCTTAGCATTCTCCAACACCCTGCACCCATACAGATCTTCCAACAGCCCTGCTGTGCCACTACAGAATGATTCATATCATGCATTAATAATTATAATGCTCCTTTGAATGACAGGGCTGGCACTTGCTGTTCTAACTCACATGATTGCTCTCACATGATTGCTTTGATCTAATCCCAAGACTGGAGTCATCTTGAGCAGATACTGAGCTATCCCTGCCTTGAATCTCAAAAAAAAAAAAGCTTTCCACAGTACAAACCCCAAGCAGCATCAGGCTCACAGGGCTTTTATTTATTTTTGCAGATTGTGAAATTGAAGGGTAAATATTACTGTTGGCAATCACTCCCCAGCCTGTGTGAGCCTCCTGTTCCTCCCTGAGCTCCTCCAGGGAGCCTGAGAGCTGCCCAGACCTCTCTCACATGGGCACAGCCCCCTGAGCAGCCCTGACCTATTGTCTCATCCTGTTCTGTGAATCCCAGAGCATCCAAAAAGTTCTGCAGCACAACTGAGGACTGAATCAAAAATACACAGATATTATCTTCTGGCCTCGTGCAAAGGAATCCAACACAACCAAACAACACTTTTTTTTTGATCCATTCTGGACAAAAATGCCACCCCATGACCAGGCAGGGAAATGAAGCCCAAAATGTTGAATTATACCTTGAATGTTTCATATTTTAGTTTCCGACCCCTCATCTTCCCTGCACACTTCTGGCAGGTGGGATTTGTCCAGCTCACCCTTGGTGCTCTGAGCAAACCATGGGGAGCACAGGGCCTGATGAGTCAGGCAAGTCAAGACCAGAGAGTTTAGGGGAAAATAAAGCTAAAACAGGAGGGAAACAAACCAGTGCTGGTCAGAATTCTGTCACCTCTGACAACTTTGGGGCAGCTCTTCATCACCATCACAAAATGAACCGAGAGCTTGGTTGAACATCTACATAAACTGATGGGAATCCTGCTTGGAGCAGTTCCTGAAAGGCTCACCTGAACCTGGCTTCCCTCAGGAAAAGCCTAGAACACCTATCTGCAGGGAAAATGTGACTGAAAGCCACTATTTGTTTCCATTAACACAACAGTCTCCAAGACGGGATTTCTTTTAAACACAAAAGACAAGGAGGAGCAAACTGATTAAAAATAGGTCAGCAGCAGACTCCGGAACATCCTTGGGAAGGCTGAAATGGAACACAGCCCTGGAAGCCTGAAGCAGTGCAGGAATTGGGAATGCCAGGCTCTTTGGTCTTACTTCCATCAAAAAGAAAACCCCTGGAAATGGAGGTGTTGGTGCAGGGCACAGCACATCACATCTGAAATCACCCCGTGCTCAGGTTATGACGAGGGAAGGGAGGAAGAAGATGGGGGTAGAAAAAGGGGGAGGCAGGGGAAGTTTAAAAAAAAAAATAAAAATCTCTGCCTCAGCAAAAGTTTTCATTAAAATTTTAGACAAATGATCTCTGTGTCCTTCTCCCATGCTGCCTGGGGCTCCATGCTATTTCTATGCAAATAACAACCTCGTGGTTTATATCTTATTATTTCCACCGGAGCTGCGGCGACATGACCCGAGACGTGTGTGAGGTAGAGACAGCGACAGAGAGAGAGGGAGAGAAAGAGAGGGAAGGGAGGGAGGGAGATGGAGTGGCTGCTCGCTGAAGTGTGAAAAAATATTGTCAGGAGTGAGCAGCAAGAACAAAAAAAAAAAAAAAAAATAAAAAAGAGAGAAAAAAAGAAAAAATTGCAGGGATAACGTGTTTATTTCAGCCCCTCTCCCCATGTGAACCAGCATCTTTTAAAATTCATTGGGCATCGGGCGATCATGCACAATCCATCTGCTTTCACTTTATCATTTGCATTTCATGCCTCCTGGCTTTTGATGTGCTGATACTTTGATGCAGTCAGGAGACGCGCATTATCATTATTTCAATTTGCAGGGGGGTCAGCGGGCTCGGCACAGGCGCGGCACACGCTCACCGAGAGAGAGCAGGGAAATGGCATTTCCACCTCTCCACCCCCTGCTGAAATGCACCGGGGAGACAAAAGGGGCCAGCTGAAACACGGCCCCTGTGCCCTGCGCTGGCACCTTCACCTGGGCATGGCAGGCCCCAGGACAACAAAGACAGCTCCAGCAGGGAAACCCTGCACAGCCCTCGTGTGTTCCCTGCCAGGGAACGGGCTGGAGGATGCTTTAAGCCTGCTGTCTCCCCAGGATGTGCCCCTGTGCCCACCAGCAGCACATGAGGAGCCAAGCCCAGAAGCCACCAGGAGCTGCAGCTCCAAGTGACACTGACCTTGAGCTCATCATGTGAGTTAGAGGTCACCCCTGGCTTTGGCAGCTGGACCTTTCCCTCTACACCTAAACCCTCAGGCTGCTTTTACATAATGATAATGAACAAGACCAGCAACAGCTCTGGCTGCACATAATGTTTGTCGCCATTCCCCTCTGCTCCCTTTGTAAATTAGAAAGAATCCAGCGTTTCATGGGGAAAAAAAATAAAATGAAACAACTTCCCAGAAAGCCCTGCCTGCTCTCTGAAAGCCCAATTGTCTCCATTGCTGCAGAAACAGTTTTGTGCTGCAAGAGGAGACATTTTGAAGATGTGTTTGCAGACACAAGAAGTGTCAGCTTTGTCCTGCACCCTCTAGGAACACACACACGTAAAAGTCAGCAATGGAAAAATTGTCCCAGATCTCTGGCACCTAACTGGGAAAAGCTAAGGGTGGCAGTTTCCATGTATTTATCTTTGTTTCAGCCACCAGCCCCCGCCAGCCCTGACTCCCCACCTCCTCCAAGGGAACAGCAGCACCAAGACTCACTCCACACAGAGCAGCCACAACAGGTTTCCTTTTCTGAAGTCTCAGTCCTGGGGATGAGCAGGAGCACATCACATCCCACACCCAAACAGCCTCTGCTCTCCTGCAAGGGGACACTTTGCACAACTGGCTCCTGGCTGGCACGGACCTCCTCTCTGGCCCCAAAAAATTCCAAGTGGCCCTCTAAATCCCAGGGACAAGTGTTTAACAGGCTTCAGGGAGCACAGGGTGAGCCTGAAGGCACTCCATGGCAGGAGGATGCCAATGGATCAGCATCCACTGCTTGTCTCAGATCCTCCAGAGGATCAGCCAGACTGTGCTGGGACATTCCAGGCTAGCCCTGGACACCAGCTCCCTACTTCAAACACACTTCTGGGCCACAACTGCAGCTGGATCCCTCCAAGGAGCCCTGAGCAGAACTGCAGGGACTGGAAACTGAGGATCCTATGAAGCAGCAGATATCACACACAGCCAGGAGTGAGTGGGGACTCCCAGGCTCCCACTGTTCAAGGGCAGGTCAACACTGCTGGGTCTTGCTGGCAAAGCTGGAGAGGATGCAACAGCTTCCTCCCTCCCCTTTAGGCAGGTAGAGGCTCAGAGCTGACACAAGCACACAAACATCCCAACAGAGCAGGGAGGAGGGAAAGGGACACACAGGATTACTGAGCCCACTGAAATTCTCAGGATGGGATGAATCCCGCACAGGAAGCAGCTCCTCCTGCTTGTGCCTGTTGGCAGACATCAGGTGCTTAACTCAGTCCATACCCTTAATTTTTAAGTGCCTAAAATTTAGTGAGATTAATCCAGTCCTGTGCAAACAGGCACTGACTGCAGGGGCAGGGAGTGCAGATAAACCTGGAAGAGGGGGAGAGCTGAACAGCCTGGCTCTGCCATCTGGGAAACTCTGCAGGGCCCCGAGCCCAGCAAGTGACAGCTGGAACCAGGCAACTCACTGCACTCCAGCAAGCACTAAACTGACTCAATTTCTTTTTAAAGGCTGGATCTTCAAATGCCTCTTTTCCTCCCATTGATGCAGGTGTGTGTGATGTGTGTAAGAGATCTAACTGAGGGTGCTGCAGCCTGGAGTTGATAGGATCAATGCTTCATTTTCTGCAGAGCCCCCTTTATTCAGGAGAATAATTCAACAAGAGCCTGTTTTCCTTTATCTCCCATTGTCAGGCAGGCACTCCTGGAAACACAGCTTGCCATGGAGCACAGGCACCCCAGGTGCTGAGAGTGCCTGAGAACAAAGCTGCTCGATGGGGAAGGGCACTCACAGCACACAGCTCCAAGTGCAGGGAAACAAAGCCCTTGGGGACAGGCATGGCAGCAGAGAGGGCTGGGAGCCCTGTCTGCACCAGGCAAGGAGCTGCAGCCTGGGGGATTAATGGGCTTGGGGCAGCAAGGGAGAAAATCTGCCTCTGGAGTGAGGGGAAAAAAGAGCCACTTTAGCAGTGAAGCTGTAAGTTTTCTCTGTAACAGCTCCAGCTCTTCCTCCTGTCCCCACAGCTGAGATTTCCAGCAGGAAATCTCGCTCCCAGCCTGGAAAATCAGCATCCAAGCTCCTCAGGTTCAGTGCTCCCCAGAAGTAACACAATGCTGATGATTGGAAGTTCAGGGGACTCTGGGCCACGTATTTTGGAGCAGGAACTTGCAGACACACCAGGAGCAGCCCTGGTTCCCCTCACAGCCCTCAGAGGGTGGGAGCAGGCACCGCCTGGGGTTCAATCCGTGCCCACAACCTCTGTGGAAAGCTGCTTCTCCTCCTTCAAGCCACACCATTCCAGGAGTGCAGCTCCACCCCGAGGGCTCTGAGGGCTCAAATGCAGGGACTGACCTTGTTGAGGGCCCCGCAGCCCGTGAGGATGATGTGGGAGTTCTCCACCTGGATGGTTCTCTGGCCCAGCCGGACGATGTAGGCCCCAATCCCAATTGCCCGACACGTGACCTGGGAAAAAAGGAAAAAAGAAGGGGAAAAAAAAAACAAAAAAAGCAACAGCATTGATTTCTGTCTCTCCACACAGCCCCAACCTATTGATTCAAACATTGAGATAGAACTAGGTGTGTTTGTAGTACAAGGCCATAAAATCTACTCTCGCTGGAAAATTCCAGAATCTGTTACTTTGTAAAACACAGGATCTGAACATAAATGTATTTTATTAACAAAAAATAAAAGAGAAGCAGCAATTTTCAGACTGAGCAAACACGAGGCCAAATGCCTGAAGTGTTTTAAATTGTGTGGAGGAGACCCAGCCCTGCACTGGTCCCAGGAGCATTGCTCAAAGCCTACAGGAGCCCATTTCCATCAGCCAGAAGGCTGATCCCAGATGGATGTTTGGGATATCATCACAGGATTTTTAGCAGAAACAGACAATACATTTGAAGAATAGAAAGCAGTGGGGGATTACCAAGCTGATGGTGATAACACTATCATAGGCTAAAGATGATTCTCCAGCAATCATGCCAGATGCTCTGAGGTTCTCTACTCCAAGCCCGTCCTCCTTCCCGATAATATCCGTTATCTTGTACCTGAGGGAGACACAGACAGCCCCTGAGTCACAAGGTCCAGTGATTTGCTGAATCAGTTTGCTACAAAGAAAATGAAAAGTGACTAAATATCATTAAGGATCCAAGGAGAAATGTGCATGAAGCCCGGGCAGGGGCTGTGCAGGGCCCATCCTGCAGCACCACGGAGCCTTCCCACAGGAGCAGCACTGCAAGGGGAAGGAAGGCCTGGGAAAAGTGTCCTGTCACTCCCACAGGACCCGAGGAGCAGGCTGATTAACAGGGAAAAAGGGCAAGAAGGAGGGAATGCAGACAAAGGGAAAGAGGAAAAGAACAAGGATTACAACGAGGCTCTCACCTTTTCTTCACTTCCTTCTTCCATGCCTCCATCCCCTGTCCCTAGGGAATGCCCAGCTGAGCACAAGGACATGCCATGCATCCCCCAAAGATGAACAGAAAGCTTTCCATTCCTACCTGGACTCTCCATTTTCTTCCACGTGTTCACAGTGAACAGAGTTCAGGGCACTGACTTTCTTATAGTCTTGAGGAGTCAGGTACAGGTATTTGTAACCCTGCAGGGAAAAACAGTTCATTCATCCCAGTCCCACCTGTAGCCCCTTCCTCATCCCCTGTAACCCCTTCCAGAAACAAACTTGCACAGGGGCAGAAATTCCAGACTGTGATAAGAATAATAAGAATTTTCTCTCAACATTGGAGATGCAGCTGAGGCCACCGAAAGCTGAAAATGGTGCAATATTTAGCACTAACTCCTTCTAGATGCCAAACTGCTGCCTGGGAGATGGTAAAATCCTGTCCTGGAATGGTTTGGGTTAGAAAGCACCAGGTTACTCCCAGCTCCATCCAGCTTAGCACTGGACATTTCCAGTGCTCCACATCCAATACCGAGGAGAACCTTGGACGTGACACTCTGAAATGTTAGACTCTGCTAGAAGTTAGACTCTGCTAGAAGAGATGCTGTCAAAATAAGACTCCCATGGGCCACTGCAGAGTTTCCCCCTCTGGTTCCTGCACCTCCTCACCTTGTAGGGGTTGTCGGGGTCCTCCCAAGCCACGTGGAACATGTGGCGGATCTCCTCGGCCAGCCCGATCCGGGCCCCGCTGTTGGCAGCCACGTAGATGCGGGGGATGCCCTGAGCCCGGGCCAGCTCCGAGGCCCTGAGGAACAGCACGTCCTCCTGGGGCCCAAAGGAGCCAATTTTGTATGTGATGTCATTGCCAATGACAATGATATCCCGGCCCTCTGGATACTCGGGTGTCTTCAGGGTCATCTTCCAGGCCACCATGCCAATCTGCAGCCCAAGAGCAGAGAACAGCACAAAATAAATGTTGTGTCTTCAAGGTGTGAGAGAAAGGAGTCACCCAGGGATGATTTCTCTTATTTGAAGAACTCTCTTGGACTTGGCATATTTTCCTGGGGAGTTTGGATGGCAGCAGCTCTGATGGGCTCTGCCAGTGCACAGCACAGCTGGGAGCACTTGATCCTTCCCACATTCCTTGGAGCACGTTCTGCACTGCTCTCACTCCACCAGGACACTCAGACTGGGTCTCCCTCTCCCTGTCCAGGGGTTTGTCACAGGTCCAACCCCCTCTCACAGGGAGCTGTGCATTCCCTGTGCTCCCAGGGTGAGGTGGGATGTGCTGCTGCACAGCATTCCTGACCACCTGCTCAGCCTTCCCAGGTACCACCCCACACCCTCATCCCGTTTTAACCCAACCCTCATTTTAACAACCTTTTTATTTCATTGCTATCCCAAATTTCCCCCCCATCCTTCTGTCCATTTTTTCCTCTCTTCCCTTTTCCCTTCCCCAATTTCACAGCAGCTCCTTGGATGGCAGCAGCTCTGATGGGCTCTGCCAGTGCACAGCACAGCTGGGAGCACTTGATCCTTCCCACATTCCTTGGAGCACGTTCTGCACTGCTCTCACTCCACCAGGACACTCAGACTGGGTCTCCCTCTCCCTGTCCAGGGGTTTGTCACAGGTCCAACCCCCTCTCACAGGGAGCTGTGCATTCCCTGTGCTCCCAGGGTGAGGTGGGATGTGCTGCTGCACAGCATTCCTGACCACCTGCTCAGCCTTCCCAGGTACCACCCCACACCCTCATCCTGTTTTAACCCAACCCTCATTTTAACCACCTTTTAATTTCACTGCTATCTCAAATTTCCCCCCCGTCCTTCCTTTCATTTCTTCCTCTCTTCCCTTTTCCCTTCCCCAATTTCACAGCAGCTCCATCCCAAACCTGCCTGGCTAAGCAGCGCTTTTTGCTGCACATCGTTCTTTCCCAGAAACCAGGGGCTGATCTCTGCTGGTCCATCTCCTGGAGGATCAGCAGCTCCATCCTGCCTACCCCATCCCTCAGGGGCTGATCTCCTGGTCCATCTCCTGGAGGATCAGCGGCTCCATCCTGCCTGCCCCATCTCTCAGGGGCTGATCTCTGCTGGTCCATCTCCTGGAGGATCAGCAGCTCCATCCTGCCTGTCCCATCCCCCAGGGGCTGATCTCTGCTGGTCCATCTCCTGGAGGATCAGCAGCTCCACCCCCTGCCTGCCCCATCCCTCAGGGGCTGATCTCTGCTGGTCCATCTCCTGGAGGATCAGCAGCTCCATCCTGCCTGCCCCATCCCTCAGGGGCTGATCTCTGCTGGTCCATCTCCTGGAGGATCAGCAGCATCCCTGCCCTGCCTGCCCCATCTCTCAGGGGCTGATCTCCTGGGCCATCTCCTGGAGGATCCGCAGCTCCATCCTGCCTGCCCCATCCCTCAGGCGCTGATCTCCTGGGCCATCTCCTGGAGGATCCGCAGCTCCATCCTGCCTGCCCCATCCCTCAGGCGCTGATCTCCTGGGCCATCTCCTGGAGGATCCGCAGCTCCATCCTGCCTGCCCCATCCCTCAGGCGCTGATCTCCTGGGCCATCTCCTGGAGGATCCGCAGCTCCATCCTGCCTGCCCCATCCCTCAGGCGCTGATCTCCTGGGCCATCTCCTGGAGGATCCGCAGCTCCATCCTGCCTGCCCCATCCCTCAGGCGCTGATCTCCTGGGCCATCTCCTGGAGGATCCGCAGCTCCATCCTGCCTGCCCCATCCCTCAGGCGCTGATCTCCTGGGCCATCTCCTGGAGGATCCGCAGCTCCATCCTGCCTGCCCCATCCCTCAGGCGCTGATCTCCTGGGCCATCTCCTGGAGGATCCGCAGCTCCATCCTGCCTGCCCCATCCCTCAGGCAGCGCTCGGGGCTCGGAATGCCATTAACAGATGGGAACAGCAGCATCCCTTGAAAGCCACATGCATCACCCAGTCCCCGCTTGCCCAAGGATCATAAGCTCTGAGTACACATTCCTCAAGCCGATTGCACATCCTCTGCAATCAGCAGGGCTGAGACTCTCATTGTGGAGCCTCGGAATTCTGAGCATGATGAACTAAAGCGGGAGGGGGAGAGGCAGCAGATAGATCTGTGCCATTTAATCCACATCCAAATGGCACAATACACAGCCCAGATCCAATCAGCATCTGCAATAAGATATGCCATAATAGGCTCATTAAAAAAAATAAAGAGGCAGAGGAATTAATCAAAGGGTCATTGGAAGTAAAGCAGGCAGCAATCCAAAAATATTACAGCCAGCTACTGGCAGATCCTTCCTTACACCTCCCCTTCCAAGAGCTGAGACTGCAAGTTAACAGAGTGTTTCAGTTCACCTTCTCCTTTGATTCCTCCACTCCTACTCTGACAAGTCGAAACAGAATAATCTTTTTGCCTCTGAATATTTGCAGACTTACAATTCCACCTCAGCATCCAGCTGCAGGGTTTGGAACAGAGAGATGCTGCAGCAGCTTCAAAGGAGGGAGCAAAAATCCCTAGAAATTGTTTCCTCACAGCCACACTGACCCCATCAGCCAGGGCTGAGGGACCAGTGGTGGACCAGGGAGTCCCCAGGGCTGGTCCCACAGTCCATCCCACCCACCAGCATGTAAGAGATTTTCCTCACTTTCAGCAGCTGGATGATTTTTGACAGCAGAGGAAACAGGCCAATTTAAGGCATTTCTTATTTAGAAAATTCAGATTGTAACAGAAGTGTTGAAATAGTTTCCTATTTCAACACTATTCCTATTTCCACCCAAGGTCGTGGGTCCTCTACACCAGTAAAGTCCCTTTTGCCAGTGCTCACCAGTAGAACAGAAAACAATCTAGCCAGGGCACAAACTCCTGAAAACAGTTTAGAGTTGAGAAATATGGAGCAACCCTTAACAGTTTAGGAAAAGAAAAATTAAAAGTGCACCACTATTAACTTGGGTGTCTTTTACCTCCCCAATTCATCACATGTTTTGTGCCATTTATCCAGTAATAAAAGCCACGGGGATCTGCACAACTAAGGATTTTTTTTGCTATGAATTTGCTAGATTCAGTTGAGATTTATGGGCAGTGGAGAATGACTTTCTATTCCAGAAAAAAAAAAGGAATAATGAGATTTTTAAGTTAACGGCAGCACTCCAAAAACTGGAGAGTTCCCAGGTTAATTAGCTAGGCTGAGCTAATCACCTAAGAGCACTGGCAGGCAATAGTAGGTGATGGTGTGAGCAGCCCTGGCTTTGGAACTGGCTCTTTTGAAGAGGCAGCACAGTTTGGAAGTGCTGCTCCTGCCACGGCTCCACTCCCAGCACACCCAGGAGTGAAGAAGAGGCGGAGAAAAAAATAAAAGCAGGAACCGTCTTATTTAACTGTTTTTATGTTGGCAAAATGATTTGTGCCCTGGTATTTCCATAAGAAGTGGGACCATTATTCTCCTGTAGGAACACACTTGGTTTGAAAAGTATCAGTGGGCAGCACGTGAAAATCAAAGGGGATGAATTATTCACAAGCCCCGATCAGAAGTGATCATTATTTCTGATGCTCCAAACTGTGATTAGGATTCAGTGCTCAGCTGTCATTTGCTCCCTGAACGGCCCCAGCCCCGCAGACACACGGAGATGACACCCAAGTTTCAGATGTATAATTTTACACACACCTTCTCCCACTCCATCTTGGCCTTAATGGAAGCATTAAGAGCCAGTAAAGCGGGCGCGCTAACGAACGGCGCTTCCCCGGCGCTCGTAAACGCCGCTCGTTTGACACCCAGTGTCAACACTAATCATGGCCTAAAATTAACACCAAAATTGACTTCAACATTAATTGCACTATCGATGGGAACAGTAATACACACACTGATGCAGTTCCAAATTGACTGCCGGTGGCAGGCAGAGCTGTTGACAGCAGGCACCGAGGGGAACGGGGATGGAGCCGATCCCAGGCTCCCTCCGGGAAGCACGGCAGGCTCCGAGCAGAGGGGAGCCAATGCCACTGGCAGCTGCTGCTGGGGAGAGGGAGCTTTTCAGCCTCTTTCTGGCAGGTTCTGTAATTCCTGGAGAAGCACAGCCAACAGAATCACAGAATATCCTGAGCTGGAAGGGATCACCCAGTCCAACTCACAGCCCTGCACAGACACCCTGGCAATCCCACCCTGTGCATCCCTGAGAGAATTGTCCAAACACTCCTGGAGCTCTGGCAGCCTTGACCATTCCCTGGGGAGCTTGTTCAGTGCTCCACCAGCCTCTGGGGGAAGAACCTTTTCCTGATATCCAACCTAAACCTTCCCTGGCACAGCTCCAGCTGCTCCCTCAGGTCCTGTCACTGGGCACCAGAGAGAAGAGATCAGTGCTGGTTTATTCTACATCCCTCACTTCAGGATGGTGCTGAGCCTGGGGACTGAAGGCCAGACTTCAAATTTGGAAAGCTGAATGTGGGTATTTACTTGGTGCAGATGCAGCAATTTTGACATTTCATCATTTGAATCTGTTGCCTGGAACTTCAGGCCTACAAGAGTGACTCTCTGCACTTCCACTGTGCAGAGCTTTTAAAGTTTTACCTGGAGCATGAGCCAGCTCCCAGGAAAAGGGCAGAGTGCACATGGTTTGCCAGAGGCATTCCAGCTCTGTGCCTTGACACAGGTGGAGTGCCAAAACCCAGGATTCCTTCTTGGCTCTGGAAAAGGTGTCCCTCAGCAATCCAAGCGTGGTGGTGGCAGCCCAGCCAAGCAGCAGATCGCTGGCACGATCTGAGCAATGGGAGGGAACAGCTCCAGCATGACACCAAGAGCCCAGGGAAAGGTGTCACAGAATCCCAGAGCCACCCAGGGCTGGAAAAGACCTCCAAGATCATCAAAAGTCCAACCGGTGACCCATCCCCACCTTGTCACTCAGAGCAGAGTGCCACATCCAGTCATTCCTTGGGCACCTCCAGGGATGGGGATTCCAAACCTCCCTGGGCAGCCCCTTCCAGTGCCTAAGCACCTTTTCCATGGAGAAATTCCTCCTGAAGTTACAGATGGGTAAAGATACATTACAGAGAGCAAGAGACAACCTTCATCAGGAGCTTTCCTGTGGGCAAGAACATTCCTGCCCTCAGTATCCATGTGACCCACATACACCTGATCAAACATCTGTATGAGCGTGGAAAATAAAACTGTGCCACCTCTTCCATCCCTGTTCCTGGAAGGCTTGGATTTTGGGGATTTGAAAACCCTCCAAGAAATCTTCAGCTCTCGCTGCTGTTTTAATTCCCTGTGCCTGCCATAAAATGCAGGAACAGGGGGTGACAAAGCAGAACATGCAGCTCAACGATTAAGCTGTGCTTGTATAAAATGCATTAGCTACACCTTTCCGCCTCTGGCAATCCGGAAAGCCACCAGAGCAGCACTCCAGGAGCCTCTGCCACCCTGAATTTCCCCTGGCCAAACCTTCCCAAGCTACCCAGGAAAGGTGCTGCAGCCAAAGCTCCTGCAAGCAGCGGTGATTGTGGATTATTTCTGATCCTCGTGTTACTGAGGAGGAAAAACTGTGACATCTAGTGCCAGTGGGGAAAATGACACATTCTCCATGGCACCGGGAGAGGGATGAAGGGGGATGTGGGGTGTTTCTGCAGGGCCTCCTTACATCACTTTCTCCTTGTCCTTGAAGATTAGTTGGGTCTTATCAGCAGCTGGTGCTTTCCTGGTGCCAGAGGATCAGGGGAAATTGTAGTCAAAATACATAAAGTGCTATAGAAAAGCATCCCAATGCCCGGCTCAGGACTGACAAGGAATATATTGAGTTCTGCAAGGGGCTGAGGGAATTACCTTTTCACACTGAGATTTGTGCTAATATGCTAATCTGGGGAACAAAGCCCTGGGCTTTGAAGGGGGTGTCACTGTGCTCCAGGTCTTGTCTCAGCACAGTGATTTACACAGTGGTGGATACACTCCTGAACTGCTCTGTGCTCACCCAGTTCCCAGCTCTTCCAGAGATTTCCCCATTTTAGCACAGCCCCACGGCAGGGATGGAACAGGATGAGGTCTAAGGTCCTTCCAACCCATTCTGTGACAGAGTGGAAAAAGAGGTGTCCTCTGGAGGGTCAGGGGCTGGGAAAAGGCCCTGTTAGTGATGGTGCTGTGCTCCAAGGGCAGGGCCAGCAGCACAAGGACTGGGACCCTCTGCTCTGGAGCAGCCAGAATAGTCTAGGAATAAAGAGCAACTTGTATTTTCACAGTCCATTAATTCCTTGGCTTCTTTGTTGAGACCACAGCAAAGAGCTAATTACTGCAAGGCGTGGTGGGCAAGGGGAGTGGTCCTGAGCTACCAGAAAAACCTCTGGGGTTGGGAGAAGCCTTGAGATCTCAAGATTATCCTGAAAACACAGACAGATTTTTGCCCAAAATGCTGCTTGCTAACTCTGTGAGGACAGGGAGAACCCCAGGCTGGAGCTCCTGTCAGAGCAGGGATTGCAGCTCTGGCTGAACACTCTGCCCACAAATCTCCTGGATTTTATGCTGGTTTCTCAATCCCTCCCATCAGACACTCAGGGCACTCAGCTCAGCTGAATGCTGTAACAGCAAGAGTGTCTTGACCCCTTTTCACACGGAGGAAATGCAGCTGTCAGGAAGGCCAAGCCCTGATCCCCAGTGCCAGGCTCCCACTGGAGTGTGGGAATGGCTCTGAGCCTCTGATCCAAAACAAGGAGAGCAGGAACCTGAACGTACCCAACAACAACAACAACCTTTACCACAGGCAGCAGTTCCCAGCAGATATCTCCTCTTTACTAGAAAACACAATGGGCAATCTCTCCAACGACTGTGAATTCAGAGAATCATCACCTTTTGCTGGCAAGAAAGAAAAATAATAATAAAAATCTCACATTTCCCTGAGGAGTTCCTAGTTCACCTGTCAGTCAGCTCACTGGGACCAGCTCTGGATCTCTGGGGCACAGTCCATGTGGAGCTGGAGGGAGCTCAGAGTGCCACCCAGTGCCACCCCTGCCATGGCAGGGACACCTCCCATTGTCCCAGGCTGCTCCAAGCCCATCCAGCCTGGCCAGGGACACTGCCAGGGATGGGGAGCCCACAACCTCTACAGCCCCTCTGGGCAAGGAGACATTTGACAAATCACATCAGATCAGACTAATTTAAACACCAACACTCCACACACCACAACAGCCACGTCATTTCATTACAGACCGAGCACAACGAAGTCTACCAAGGGTTAAACAAAATCTCCTAAATTTTTTTTTTTTTTTTTGGTGGTCTTTGGGTACAGAATCTCTTATAATAAGACTATTTGTATTCATACTGGCAGAGTAAACACTACATGTTCATGCCCAGGCAGCTCTGTGCTTGTAATTTCAGCAAGAACAGAGCGACGTCCCTGAGGGACTTTGCTGTTTCCCCAGCCACCATCCACTCAAACGCTGAATGAGAGCAGGGAAAGAGAGAAAGATGATGGCACAAGGCTCCCCAGCAGCCTCAGCGTGCCCTGGGAGCTCAGGGAATAGCTCATTCCAGCTTTAATTAGACCAGTTCAAACATTGCTCCTCAAGTCCAGCAGAAGACAAGGCCGCAGCGACCCCACAGACACCATCAGGGGTAATTGGCAAAAATCCTATTCCAAACCTTCCCCTGACAAGATCCATGCAGGAAATGGTGAGGAAAACCTCTGTTTCCTTGCAGCCCTGCCCTGATGGGTTTAACGGAGCCTTTGCAAACCTTAAGCTGTGATTTTAGGAAAATACAGTTCAACGACACCAAGAAAAAATAAATGATACCATCACTTAGAAGTGCTCAAATTTAAACTACTTTAGAACATTCACTTACTAATTCCTGCAAAAATAACCACCACATCTTCCAGTGGTTCTCTTTACTCTGCAGTCATTCCAAAGCTGCAATTTTTGCCTTCCTAATGGGAAGGCATCCAGCAAAACCCCACCATGACAGCAAAGTCTCCTCCTGCTCGAGCTCCAGGAGTGACTCTGCCATCCCCAGCATCAGCTTGTTGTAACTCTGGAGTAAATCCTGCTCCAGAGTGGGAGGTTCCACACACCTTGATACAAACTGTGCGGGGAGGATGGAAATGGAAGCACAAAATAAGATTTTTCTGTGGTTTGGGTTTTTCTGAGCAAATGAAAGTATTTCTGTTTAGTCTTGTAAAACACATTTTGCTCAAATACAAACCCCAGTTACCTGGAACAGCTGAATGAGCATTTTTTAATTATGAAGGAAGCCCAGCATAGGCACAGGTTTGAAATGGAATCATCATTTACTACGGAAGTTAAAATACCCATTGTAGGGAAGGTATTAATTTTTAATGAAACAAAAATCTCATTTTCAAGAGTGAGATTTCATCTGTGAAAGGCTGAATGGATAGATTTTGTGCCTGGCTGGTAAATTTTCATTACAATCATCAAACCCAGCCTTCAGGGAAGGGAGGGGAAGGGAAGGGAAGGGAAGGGAAGGGAAGGGAAGGGGCACTTGCCTCATTTCCTCCTGGCAGCCTGTTCATGTGCACCAGCTGGCCCTGGTCATCCAGCACCAGCTCTGTGTAGGTCAGGATGTCTGAGGGCAGTGGTGCTGGTGGCAGGAAGGCGTGCTCATTCATGGAGTTCCACAGCTTGATCAGAGACTGGGGGTGCCAAGAGAAATCCTCATTAAGAACACCACCCACACATCACATTCATATTTTCTGAAAAATATCTTTGCCCAGGATTTTTCTCCTGGGAAGCTGAGAAGCCTCAGAGAAAAAGGAAAACAATAATTATCTCATTGCTTCTCCTTTTTGTTTCTCCTTGTGTTTTGCTCCCTTGGAATGTGGTTGGAGATTGTTTACCAACAGGTGATTGTTTCATTGGTTTTTGCTGTGAATTGTTTTGACTTCTTGGCCAACGGGGGCCAAGCTGTGTCAGACTCTGGAGAGAGAGTCATGAGTTTCATTATTATCTTTTTAGCCTTCTGTAAGTATCATTTCTGCATTCTTTAGTATAGTTATTTTAGTATTCTTTAATATAATATAGTATCATAAATAATAAATTAGCCTTCTGAGAACATGGAGTCAGATTCATCATTCCTTCCTGCCACGAGGGCACCCTGCAAATACAATACCCACAAATATTTATACTCAATCCACAGCAGTGTGGTATTCCCAGCAGTATTTGGGGTCATCCCCAACTCAGGACACCCTGAAATAACCCTCCTGCCAGCGTGACTGACAGTATTCCAGGGATATCACCTGCTCTGGGATCTGAATCATGCAACAGTTTCCCCCAAAGTGATATTTGAATGAGGTGGTTCAGGACAGAACCAGCAAATCAGAAACACCACCTAGGAAGGGCAGATGGCAAGGTGGGAAAACAAAGAAACAGCAACAATAGAGAGGAAATTGTTTATGTTTCCCCCTCTAACTCCAGCAGCAGTTTACCCTAATTTCATTCAAAGCAGACTCAATCCATAGCTGATACTCCCTGGGGATCACTCCAGGCCCCTGGCTCCCCTGACTATCAGCAGGCAAAGAGAAGAGCAACAAGAAGAGCCCAGAGAATACTCACCTGCCTGAACATCTCAGGAATGTCATAGACATAGGATGTCCCTAGAGTCTGTGCCTGGAACCTCTTGGACTGCAGCAGGTCTTTGGTCACGTAGGGAGTGTTGATCAGCATCCCGTGGAGTGGTCCCTGCTTGTCTCCATAGGCCTGGAACATGATCTGCAGGACAAACCACGGCTTCTGTACACTCAGCCCTTAGCAAAAACCCCCAGGCTACTCCAGCCTGCTTGTCCCTGCCCTCTGCAAGGCTGCTCATGCTGGCACAGCCAGGCTCCACCACCCATTGCTGCCCTTTGGGGACACCTCAGGAGCGTCACTGCACGATCCCAAAACTCACTGCCCCATCCCAAAGGAGCCCAGAGCACGCAGAGCCACATCCCCAGCACAAACTGGGGCCTGAGAGGAGCTCCCAGTCCCCAGCAGCTCCCCTGACCCCCTGTCTGTGCCCATGGATGCTGGGAGCAGCCAGGAGAGCTCTGTTATTTATGGAGCGGGATCCGCCAGCCGGGTCAAGACTTGCATATGTCATCGGGCTTGAAGTTTTGATATTGTAAGTTTAAAAGATTTTCCCAGAGTAGCAACATGAATTATCAACTGCCGTGCTTCACAGCACTATATATTCTGGGCAGGCAGGACTTGGAAGGAAAGCTTTCCAATGGAGAAAAAGGAGGAGATAAAAAGGGGATAAAAACGCCTTAAATGTCCCTGCTTAACAGGGACACACCTGGCAAGAAAGACGTGATTAGGATGTGTTTAACAGAATTTTGCTAATTGAAGAGGAATTAATTAAAGAATTACACAAAATTCAGTAAAGCCTATTTTTATTTTTAGATCAAACCAGCAGTTTATGCTCTCTTCAGGCTGCACAAACATTGATTTGGGAGGCAGCTTCTTTAATGGGAGAAGCATTTGTTCAGGGTAATGAGTGTTTGTGGCAATGCCTGTCTTGGGATCTGTCAGGATCTGCACTTGGAAATTCTCCTTAAATCTCTGGAAAGCTCCACAGCAGCTCTGAAGGGAACTGGAGAAGTCTGTGCTGAGCATCACCACTTATCACTACTGAGAAACAAGAGATCAGGGTCATTCTGTCACCATGAAGCCATCTTCCCATTCTTCAGAAGTCATGAAAGTACCCAGCACATCAGTAACCTCTGATTTTTTTTTGAAAGATTTCTCTAAACTTAAAAGAACTCTCTGAAAACACAGGAAAAAATCCACAGATCTGACTGGCCCTATAAACCTCCATCATGATGGGGAAGCTTCCTAAAAATATCAGTATATTTTTTTACTAAAATGTGGTTTAATTTTGTGGAAAACAAATCAAATTTAATACTGGAAAAGTTGCTAAAGCCTCACACACCACATGAGCCCATTCCCCAAGCTTTAAATAACAAAGCTCATCAGTTCAGAGTTCACTTGTGACCTTCACAAGTGACTGACCCAACTCAAGGGTTAAGCTGAGCTGCTGGAGATTATTAAAATGTTCTTTTCTTTCCTCATCTCCCCTCAAAGGCAGGAATGAGGTAAAACACACTGACACTATCTGCTCTGGGATCTCAGAGCTGGATGGACTCCACGGCCAGCGGCTCGCTGGAAAAATTAAATGGAAAATGGGGGAGAAAGGTGACTCAGCACTTTGTGTCCTACATTCACAGTGCCCAAGTGATTTATTCTGCTGCTTCTCCTGCCTGGCAGAGAGATGATTACAGAGGGAGATGTAAACATTTCTCTATTTAAATATTTTCCATGCATCCCATGCTCCATGGATTTTAGCATATGTAGGTATTTCAGTTAACCACACTGCTCCCACACCATGGAAAACAGAAATACCACAACAGCCACAACCATTACAAAAGAGCCCACTACGCTTCAGAAAAATTATATAAAAGCACCTTCCATAATTTTACATCTTCCTACCCAGATCATATCTTTAGAATTTAAAGGACACGTTCACAGATTTTCTTCCATCTACTCAGAAAAATGTATAATTAATAACATTTTTATTAGAACCTACAGGATGAGCATCAGCAGTGATTCCTCTCCTAGTACTTTTTTGAGCACTCTGAGGAGAACTGTTTGGGAAAGGAGCTGCCCAAATGACTGAGGGCATGTACAAAACAACCAGAAAACCTGACTGATTTAATTGCTCACATTTTCACATCTGCTGCTGCATGTTTATCTTTACATTCTCCTTCCTTTGGCTAAGCTGAAAGGCAGTTTTGTGTTAAATTAAAACGTGTTAAGGGGCTTGAAGCAGCCTGGTCTGGTGGAAGGTGCCCATGTGAGGACGTGCCACTTCATCACTGCATTGCCTTCATTTTCCTGCAGCTCTGTGCCCTTCAGCACGGAAAGTTTAAAACTCCCAGCACCCAGGATTCCAACATCCATACCCACAGCAGAGGGGTGGAATAGGATGAGCTCTGAGGTGCCTCCCACCCCAAACCATTCTGTGATTTCCTGGAAACACCACAACCTCCAGAGGAGCTCCGCAGGTGGAACACGTCCCCGTCCCGCCGGTCCCGCCCAGCCCCGCGTCCCCAGGGACGTACCTGTCCCGTCCTGGAGTCTGTCACCTCCTTGTAGAGGCTGATGTCCAGGTAGTAGCCCGACTCGTTGGTGAGGAAGAGGCGGATGGGGATGGCCTTGCCCGTGGGCGTCAGGCGGATGTTGATCTTCAGCTCGGCCTGCAGCACGCGCAGCTTCCAGAGGCGGCTGCCGTAGCGCATCACCATGGAGCGCACCGACTCCTCGATCTGCATGGGGGAAAAGCCTTCCTCAGCAGGGCTGGGAGCTGGCCCTGCCTGTGCCAGGGCTGCAGTGAGATGGCCCTAAGGTCCCCTCCAACCCAAACCACTGTGGGATTCTTCCTGGAGGTGGATCCCATAGCGCAGCCCCATGGAGCGCACTGACTCCTCGATCTGCACCGCCTCCTCTACCTGCACACAGAGGGCAAAGCCTTCCTCAGCAGGGCTGGGAGCTGGCCCTGCCTGTGCCAGGGCTGCAGTGAGATGGGCCCTAAAGTCCCTTCTAACCCAAACCATTCTGGGATTGTTCCTGGAGGTGGATCCCATAGCGCAGCCCCATGGAGCGCACTGACTCCTTGATCTGCATCAACTCCTCTATCTGCACACAGGGAAAAGCCTTCCTCAGCAGGCGCCAGGCTACCTGGGCTCTGGGAGGTGACCCTGCTGTGCCAGGGCTGCAGTGAAATGGGCCCTAAAGTCCCTTCTAACCCAAACCATTCTGGGATTGTTCCTGGAGGTGGATCACATAGCGCATCACCATGGAGCGCACTGACTCCTTGATCTGCACCGACTCCTCTACCTGCACACAGAGGGAAAAGCCTTCCTCAGCAGGGCTCTGGGCTACCTGGGCTCTGGGAGGTGATCCTGCCTGTGCCAGGGCTGCAGTGAGATGGCCCTAAGGTCCCCTCCAACCCAAACCACTGTGGGATTCTTCCTGGAGGTGGATCCCATAGCGCAGCACCATGGAGCGCTTGACTCCTCAATCTGCACCGACTCCTCTACCTGCACACAGAGGGAAAAGCCTTCCTCAGCAGGCACCAGGCTGCCTGGGCTCTGGGATGTGGCCCTGCCTGTGCCAAGGCTGCAGTGAGATGGCTCTACAGCCCCTTCCAACCCAAAGCATTGTGGGATTCTTCCTGGATCCATCAGTGGCAGTGAGATGGCTCTACAGCCCCTTCCAACCCAAACCATTCTGGGATTCTCCTGGATCCATCACTGCTCTGCATCCCCCCCATCCCACTGCTCCAAGGTGGTGAAGAAGCACCACACATCAGCACAGCGTGCCCAGTGCAGTTACAGGACCTTGGTGACCTGTCCCTCCTCATCCTAAGCCTTGAGACAGGCAGGAACTGCACCTGGGGACTGATGCAGAGGGACAGTGCTGGATTCTCATCCCTGTTCTCTCATGGCACACGGAACCACAGAATCGTTAAGATGGAAAAGACCTTGGTGATCATCAAGCCCAAGCAGCACACCCCAACCCAGCACAGGGACCCCTGCCTCCCCTGCACAGCACTGCTCACACCTGGGAACTACAGAATCCAGGGAAGCCAAATCCTTGGCAAGCAGTTTTGTAGCCCTTGTATGCACAATAATCACATTTCACTGCCTGCACGGAGCTTTAAATCAACAAAGCAATTACCACTTGGAGCTGGGCCTCCTGCTCTTCTATTAAACTTTATAAAATACCACTGTGGGCAAAGTGCATATTAAGAGAAGGCAATTTATAGGCTGGGTTAAACATTTTTCCCAAAAAAAGCCTCTTTTGCACAGCAGCTCAAGGAAAAGTCATGGTTTGTATCTGAGGGCAGCCCAACTTCCAGGGATGAATATCCCAGCCTCTTCTGAACTTCCTGGGAACCAATGGCTCTGGACACACCAGGAAAGGTTCATTCAAAAGGGATTTAAGCCACCAATTTTTAATCATGATTTAAAAGTCAGCAAGCAAGAGAGAGTTCTTTTGATACCCAATTCATCTTTGTAACTTTCGGCTGTTCTCCTCAGGAAAGGTCAGCTCTCGTCTTTGGGTACTCATGAACTGAATGCTGATTTCCAGCTAAATTCAGCCTGGGCTTGGGACTTGCTTTGTGGTGATTCTGCTAGCCACAAACATCCTTCATGCCTGAACACTTTCCTTTGTGCATCTACAAAGCTTAATGTTCATTTATTTAATGTGCTTGTACCAGAGACTGAAAACGAGGCACTTTTGTAGCTGAATTTACAGATTCTTTTTAAGCTCCTAATTTATCTCATGCTTTATTTGGATGGAATCTGAACTTTTGCAACAAACAGAAGATCTGCTTCCTTATTAAAACTGTTTACCTCAAACACACAATGAAAAAATAGGTTTAGTTTCAAACACAAAACATATTTCTAATAATTGTCCCTCAGTTTACACAGAGGAGCTGAGCTGCACAACAAAACGGTTTTAAAGTGCCAGAGGGCAGGGTTGGGTGGGATATTGGGAAGAAATTCCTGACTGTGAGGGTGGGGAGGCCCTGGCAAAGGCTGCCCTTCTCTGGAAGTGTCCAAGGCCAGGCTGGATGGGGCTTGGAGCAACCTTGGAGCAACACCTTGGAAGGTGTCAGGGCTGGAACGGGATGAGCTTCAAGGTCCCTTCCACCCCAAACCATTCCATCCTTCTGTGATTCCATGAACAAAAGGCCTTTTAGCTCTGACAATGAAGCCCTGGCGAGACAAGCAGCCCCGAGCTGGGCAGGAGCTCCCACCTTGGAGGGGTCCATGATGACGGTGGGCACGAAGTTGAGGAAGATGTGGTTGCAGTCCGTGCGCACGTTGGTGTTGTTGAAGGCCACCTCCAGCTCATCCATGGCCTCCAGCAGCAGACGCTCGCCCTCGTTCTGCAGGTACTCAAAGGAGGCTTCCTGCCAGAAATGCCAACAAACCCTTGAGCTGTGGCTCACAAATCACTGCCCCAGAACGCAAGGAAAACTGCAGGAGGGTGTGATGGACAGGACAGAGCCCACGTGCAGCCCTGGAGCAGATCCATCCCCAGCACAGAGCCAGTGCTCCCAGTGCTTGGATCCCACACCTGGCTGCCTTGTGCCCTGCTTCAGCTCAGAGTAAATCTGAAACCACACAGGGCAAGCCACTGCTGGGATCCGAGATTGGGATCAACATCTAAGAATTTCTGACACTCATCTTGGGCCCCTGAAAAATCTCCCTGGAGCACAGGAATACCAGGACTCCAAAGGGATGGTTCTGCAGAGAAGCACCAGCAAGGAGAGGGCACAACCCCCAGCCCTCCACGCAGGGAATGGTCAGTTTTGGATCCTGCAGCTCCCTAGGACGATCCTAGCTTTCCCTCACCACCCTGGACAGGGACAAACCCACCTTGGTCACCAGGTCCGAGTGCCTTATGATGGCCCTGACGAAGAACCTGTAGTCTGTGACCTCTGTGCCCACCTCCACCTTGGCAGCCCCCAGGTAGAGGTGCATTTTGTGGTTGGCACAGGGGATGGCCGTGAGGTCGAAGTTCCTCATGCGGTTCAGCTCCAGCTGGAAGGCCAGGGCGGGCTCCAGGTGCCGGTAAATCCGATCCTCCTCGAACTGCAGGGCCAGGACAGGGGGGGAAAGAGGGCATTGGAAAAGGGAAACACTCAGGGGAAGAACTCCACAATGCCCCTGATGAATTTCATATTTAATTCAAATGCTAAAAATTCAAACAAATCCAGCCCAGGCGCTTCTATCTCGCGCAGCGCTGGGAGCTGTGAAATTGTTGAACAATACAAATTGCAGGACAGCAAGTTCTCAAGTTCACCCCCCTCAAAAAACACTCTTTTCCACAGAAATCAATAAGTTTTGTCCTGATTCTGAGTAGTGAATCACTGCATGAAAGAAGGATAAAGCCAGCACTTGGAGAAATGTATTAAGAATATCCAACTCACCTTATCCCGGGCACGGAAGGTGAAGAACTTTGGGAATTCCCTCTGTTTGAAAACAAAAACAACAATGTTAGTGCTCCCAAAGCAAGCCCTGATGTCCCCAGAGGGCTCTAGGGCCACTGCTGGGGCAGCACCACAGCACAAGAGGTGACACAAGTTGTTCCCAGCTACTTTTTCAACATCACAAAGGTGGTGGAAAATCAAGTCACCTTCAAGACAGCAGAGGCAGCTTAAACCTGCCCTCACTAATGCAAAAGAGGCTGCTTGATTGGCTTTAGATAATTATTGTCAGTTATTAACAGATAACAAAGAAGTGTGCAGACAGTAGAGGGAGACTTTTTCTAGATCTGTTATGATTAAAATTCCAGTGGAAATGTCTGGAGTGATATAAACACTCTGTTATGGATGTAGATATACGCAGAACAATGATCTTATTCTACAGCTCTCTCCATACCATTACTGCCAGAAATACTCTCTTCCCAAGGAAAACTGGGAGCTGCAATCAAACAACTTTATCCTCCTGTATGGAGCAGCAAAAACATGACAAAAATCCCCCATCCACCACCGAGTTTCTCTGCTTTTCTGTTGCACAGATAAAACCCTGGCAGAGCCTTGAGAGTTTTTTGAAATATTGTACAAATCTTAGATGAAGAGAGGAGGCCAAGGGAGCATCCTGCCCCTCCAGTTCCACCCTCTCCTCTGGAATTCCACTTTCACTGGGCAGGGCTTTGGGCAGTGCTTTGCACCACGTGAGAACACTGCTGCCTGTGCTGAAGGTGACCTGAAGGGACACACACAACTCACCAGAACTGGCTCACTAAGCAAAAAACAGGGAATCTGACCTGGAGCCACTGAATTTCTGGCTCCCATTCCATTATCCATGAGAGATGAACAACCCCAGCTGGAGGGAGTGTGACAACCAGTGACACTGCACGAGCCACCACTGAGCAACACAGATTTTAAGGCTAAAAGGACTATTCTAGTCAGTCATCTTCCTTCCCTCCGAGGTGAAACAGCCCCCAAACCTCACCTGATGACTCTCAGTTGAGCAAAACAACTTGTGTTTGCCTGGAAACTCTTCCAAAATAAAGAAATGCTGCCTAAAACTTCAGGCTCACTCAGTATATCCATTATCTGTGAGCCTCATCTAAGAAAAAAACCTCTTCCATGTTTCCTCACTTCTCCCAGTCCCTCCTGCCTGTCCTCCTCCAGCTTCTCCCACCATCTCCAGGCTCATTCCACCACTAATGGAATTGCTTCCAGGGCACCTCACTGGTGTGGTGGGCAAATATCATAATTAGATGTGCACACACACAAAAATCCTCAGTGCCCTGCTACCAAAATCCAAAAGAGTGCTCCATTTCCTAGGCAGAAGAATTATACCCCTGCTGTGTTCTAATCAACCAACCATCATCAAGACAATCAAAATAATTTGCCTAAATTAGCCAATCAAGACACCCTGCAAACCGCAGAATGCGAAAAGCTGCACCAGAAATCATCAGAGTTGATTATTATACTAATAATCACGTTAAAAACCTAATGAGATGAGGAAATTGGAAGCTTGCTGGAGCAACTCTCTATTACCTCAACATGCTGGGAACTAATTATATAGACTGTAATTAAAACAAAAACAAACCCAAGCCCAGGCCCTGGCTAAGTTAATAGCTGGTCCAGTAATGAGGGGCTGGGACAGCAGGCAGTGCCAAAGGGTGACAGAGCAGCTCCCAGAGGAGCTCCACAAACTCTGCAGCCAGAGGACCCACACTGAGGGTCCAGGGAGAGCTCAGGGATGGTTCCTTCTGTCCTGTGCCTCCTTTCTGACCTCTGACACGTCCCACAGCAACTCTCATTCTTCAACACCCATTCTGTTCTCCAAAACTTCCTTTTTCAAACCTAAAGCCTGGATTTTCTTGCTAAATGTCCCAAAAACTCTTCACAAAATCCAGTTTCCTAAGCTGCTGACTGACACCTCTGTACCTGTACAGTGAGCAACAATTCCCACGTGGTGACAGCTTCAAACACTATTTCTGCTGATTTGTAAACCAGTTTTCCCTTCATAAACCTTCCTAGACCAGCTGTGTTGAGCACAGGGTGAATTTCTTGCACTTCAAAGGCTCCTGACAACTTCCAGAATTGAAAAGTAGATACCCAAGAGATAAAAATCTGGTTTATACCTTACACTGCCACCTAAACCAGACCCCACTGATGCCCAGGGCCTGGGGAAAGAAGTAATTCTCAGCAGTAAGAGCATCAAACATTTCCCACATGACTCTGCAAAATTTAACAAGTCCCTTCAGTGACTGAAGTTATTTTAAAATCAGTAAGTAGCCAAAAGAAATCACCACACTGCAGAGGAAATACAAAGGTTTCACTGATAATTGCACTTCAGAACAGAAAGCAAACACAAGGAAACACTGAAGCACAAGGAAATCTTTATCAGGGTGGCTTCCTGAGCTCAGCCAGGTGACATGGGACACTCAGAGCCCCTGTGGCCCCTCTGAATGCCACGGGCCCAGCCTGGGTTTGCAGTCAGATTTTCAAATAAATACTTCAACTCTTCACTTTGACAGAGTGTGGGCATTAAATGCCTGCCTGGGATCCAAATGAGAAGCCCAGAGCTCCCTGGGTGTCTCCTGGCCTCACAGCAGGAATGGCACCGTGTTCCAGGCCCTTTTTACTTACATGGAATCTCTGATCCACCTCATAGTTGACCTGTTTCCTGAAGTCCTTACAAACGAAACACACACACATAGGAAGAAAAAAAAAAAAGCAGAAGACAGCTAGCAATTAGGATTACAATCAAAAATTAATTAATTAAAGAATACAAGAGGTGTCAAGATTGCTTACAATTGTAAATTAATTTTCTTAAGCGAATTCATGATAACCATCTCAAGTTTTAGAGGACAAAAACAGTGAAGAGAGAACTAAACACAGTAAAATACAGCATTGAATTTGGGGGGAAAACATGTCAGATGCCAATGGTGTAATGAGCTAGAAACCAAGGAGGTCTGAGCATCAGGAGAGACATGGAAATACCTTTTGTGCTACAAGGAAAGTCAGCCTCCGAATGCCATGCTCAATCAGGACTGATTTCTGCAAAAACAAGGGTGGAAACAGGTGACTGGACTGCAGAACAAGAGCAAATTAAAACAGGCTGGAGCCCTCTGTGAAGTGAAAAAGCTCTGCAGATCCTTCTACCCCTGAGTCCCTGCTCCCCTTCAGCCTCCCTGGAGCGAGGATTTCCCACCTGCTGCTCCTTTAGCAGCATAAACACCCAAATCCCTTCCCCCAGAGCAGGTAAATAACTAAATCACACAACAGTGAGCTCAGGCTGAGCCTGGCTAAGCAGGAATGCAGGAGAGTCACCCCCAAATCCTGCAGGAAATATCCTTGGTCATTTGCCAGGATTGCTTTTTGAAGGGAGCAGGGTGCAGGTGGGGTAAGGTCATGAGAAATGATGGGAAATGATGGGAAATGACTTTTAAAGGAGCTTAACCCATGGAAGATGTGGCTCATGCTTGCCTTTGGCACAGTGAGCTCATGGAGAACCCAGTCCACATCCAGAATCTCAGCCTGGAGAAGGCTTTGGGGGGACTCATTGTGACCTCTTAGTCCTTTAAGGGCATTAAAATAGAAGGGAGAGGGATTTTTAGTGTGGGCAGAGAGGAACACGACAAGAATTAGAGGGACAAGGGTTAGCTGGGATGTCAGGCAGGGCCCTGAGGTCCCTTCCACCCCAAACCATCCTGAGATTCCAAGATTCCACACTGCAAAGGTGCTACAAGTCAGATGTCAGTGATTTTTTTCAAACAGACCACAGAATATCCATGCTGGTTGCCTCTCCCTCATACTCCCCTCTCAGAGTGCTGCCATCAGTATTCCCCACAGCACTGATCCTTTGAAGGGCTAAGATCTCGTAATTCTCCTCTTTTTCAAACTTTTCTCCTTCCTCCTCCCTCTTCCAATTTAAAAGCAAGGAACACAAGAAGGAACAACAGCTCAGCTCAAGCAGGAGCAAAGCAGCCCCTCTCTGCACAGACTGTGATGTTTTACTAAGGTTAAGCCCTTTGAAAATGAGCAGCAGTGACTGTATTCATGGCAAGAGGAAGAAAATAACTTTAATAATGCCATGATTTAAAAAGCAAAAATTGTTATTGCTTTTAAAATTCCACAAGTGGCAGACAATAACAGCAGAGCAACAGGATTCTGATTACATGGTAATAATGTGGGTCTCCCAGCAAGGCCACAGCTATTACAGAGCGATTAGCCATCAGCACCTGGAGAAACTCCATTTCCACTGACTGCCTCAATCTCCTCCACAAGTCATTTACAAGTATATGATCCTAATTTCTATTAAAAAAACCACACGCAACATGCTGGGACTGGAAGATTATTTGGACAATTTGGATCAACCTATTTGATAGTTTAATGTGGTTTTGGATTTTTTTTTTAATATATATTTTATTTCTTTCCTGTTATCCCCTCCCATAAAACGCCTGGAGCACGATCAAGCAGATGAAAAGCAGAACTAGTTTTAATTCTTAGATTTGATTGTTTTCCTTGTTTAAAGAGACAGAAGGCTGCTGAAGCCATGTGGATGCCAGTCCCATTTTGGAACCCCTGATTTCTGCAGGGCATGTCCCCACATCCCCCCCTGAGAAGCTGGGGGTGCTGTTCCACTGCTCCCAAAACCAGAGCAGTGCAGGAATCCCAGCTCCTGGTGGGATTCTCAGCCCCACAAACCAGTGGAGTTCTTCACACCACAGAAAAGCAGGTGCAGGCAGAGCCCAGCGTGGACACAAGGAGGCTGCTCCCAACCCAGGCTGTCCCACAGCTGACCCAGCACTGACATTTGGGACTCTAAAGTGCATCCCACACTAAGAAAGGAGCAACAGAACTTGCCAAATAATTAAATAATTCCTCCTCATGCCAGGAATATCGTATAAGGTGGATGCTCCAGCACACTAACAAGGGCAGTAAACTTTAATTGCATTAAGACTACGGTGATACACAAATACAGGACAATTTCAATGTCATTTTACATGGTTCTGTTGCTCACCCAACAACTTTGTCACCAGGGAAAGGGACAGAACACATTTTTCAGAGCGTGTGGAGACAGTTACTGAAGACTGATTTGATGTGTTTAAAACCTTCCAAGTCTTTTATCCCATCAAAAATTAAAGGGAAGAAATCCTGACCTGACAGATTAGAAGGAGAAACAATGACCTGGTGCCTTCAGGAAGGTGCAGCTACACCCAGTCAAAGACATGGGAAGGCTTCAGAGGGGATTAATTAAATTAAGGATGTAGTGTGTTTGCTTTGAAACCCAACCCAACCACCCTAAACCTAGGGGACACAGAGACAGCTGTCCCCAAGCTGTCCTGCAGATGCCCAGAGAGGCAGAGGGGTGCAGGGAGCTCACCTTGCTCTGGGTGAACTCCCTGAACATGGCAGCCAGGCCGTCGTCATCCACGTCGCTGTCGGTTTTGATGGCCACGTTGAGGATGTGGATGGGCTCCTCCCGGGCACTCTGCAAGCACAGGGAACATTCCCCACAGTTTTTTAGCTGTCAGTAATTAACAGCTGAGCACCTCAGAACAGGCTCCCTAAATCCAGCTTTAGGGATGCTCTGGGGGAAAGGACCTCGAGCAGCAGCAGGGAAAACTCTGGGGGAAATCCTTGACCAAATGACCTCACAAATCTGCAATTTCACAGAAGTCAATGTCCACAAACATCAAACAGGAGCCTTCTTTGGAGAATTCAAGTCTGAGGATGACACAGGGTCAGGGCCATCCTTTACCAGATGCAGCACAAGGACAGTAGAGGACTTTAGCATCAAGAAAAGTAATTAAATTAATCATAGTGTAGGGGCAAAACAATGTGAGTGTTCATATCTACAACAACATGAAGTAATGTGGAAACATCAATTCCATCTGAGCTCCAAGGAATTACAAATTCAGCCTCCAGGAGCCTGTGATTAACTGGGAAAAACTGCAACTGGACAGGAAATTACCTTGGTGAGGTGAGGGGGATGTAGAGAGAGGGATCTGAGGACATTGAGGTTGACAGTAATATTCTGGAAAAGGCTCCAGTGCTTCCACACATCAGGATCAATGGATCAGTGGAAAACAAAGCCCTGTTCTGGACACAGGCTATATTCCAGCAGAGCTTCCCACTCTTGTGGAGCAGCTGCCTGTGTCTCAAAGGGAAACTGGACTTGTATCCCTATGGATTAGGGACCACCTGCTTCCTCTGCACCTGTTCACCACATCTCTGCAGAAACTCAGCAGCTCCACTCAGCTTTTCCTCCCAAAAACAGTTCCAAGAGGTAGAAGAGAGGGAAGGGTCAGGATTTAAGGGGACTGGGAAGGGTGCAAGACAGGAAACACAGCAAGTCAGACACAGGACAAAGACAGCTGAAGATGCAGTTCAACATCCTGCTGCAGAGAGAGGGTCTGGAGACTTAATGGTGGGTTTAAACTCTGTTATGGTGCTGTGGATCCAGGAATTCTGCTGATGCTAAAAGCCATAAACTAAATTTACATGGGGAGCAAGAGCTGAGCCACAGCTTCAGAACAGAGCTGGAAGCGGCCGCCCACGCCGAGTCACCTGCTGTGGAACAAGCAAGCAAATCACAGCCATAAATACACAAAGCTCCCAGCTCCTGCTCCCAGCACCCAGCTAGGGAGGAGCATCCAGACTCAGAGAACCTTCCAGAAAAAAAAAAAAAAACAAAACAAAACCAACCCCCACCTTGTCTTCATCATAGAGGAAGCACTGGTGAGTGCTCTCTGGAATTCAAGCCATACGCCCCCATCCCTTTCCTTTGTCCCACTTTCTGTGATGCTCAGGAAAAAAAAAAAAACCAAAACAAAACCAACCCCTACCTTGTCTTCATCATAGAGAGAAGCGTGGCCGGCCTCGGGGAACGTCGGGCTCTGCGGGGGAGAGTCGCAGAAGCATCCCATGACTTCATCAAAGATCCTGGAACACAGCAGGGAAGGAGCAGTCAGCAGCACACCACTGCCAGCACACAGAGCACCCAGCACTGACCCTCCAGTCCTGGCAGGACAGGGCTCCTTCCCTTGCTGGGCTCAAAGATCAGGAGGTAATTCCTCAAACCAGGGTCTGCACTGTCCACCATTGGTCTGAGACCTCCTTGGTGCAGGCTAAGGGCTCTGCTGAGGGTTTGCCTGTCCCAAAAGCTTGGAAGCACAAAGAACTGTCCCCCCACACATCCACAGAGCATTAGGAGACATCAGCACGTTCCCAACCAGCAGAACCCGGGATGCTGACCCCTCTGCCTTCAAACTGCTCCTCCAGCACCCTGAGACTGCACAGGGACACACACAGGGATCCAAGCAGGGAAACACCCTCAGGACCAGCCTAAACCTGACTCTAGACCTGGCAAAGCCTTCCCCCAGCTCTGTCGGGGCCCAGGTGGGGAGGTGGCCACAGAAGCAGGGCCCAGGCTGGCACACACCTGACGAAGTCCTCGAAGGTGCGGAAGGAAACCATCCCGCCCATGCGCTGGCACGGCGGCGTGAAGGAGTTGTCCAGCAGCACGTCACTGACACTGGCCACGTGAGCCATCCCATAGTGGTTGAGGTTGGAGGAGAAGGACATCCTAAACAGCAAAGGCAGCAAGAGCACAGTCAGCACAGCTCTGGGAACAGGTTTGGATTGCTCAGCCTGTCCACAGCCCCGGCCGTGCCTCTGGTGCCACCCCACCTGGGGGTTGTGCCAGGGACAGGAACACCCAGAGTTAGCAAATAATGCTATAACCCCTTAAAACAGGTATTTCTTGAGATGGCAGGAGAATTCTGGCTATGAAAAGCTGAACTTATTTTTCCTCCTGTCTTTATGTTTTGCTTTACAAGTGGAACATGATTCAAGCAGCAACAATTCTAAGATTTGACACTTGAAGGATTCAGTACATTTTTACAAATGCTGTATTAACTTATTGATTCCATGATTTTTCTGATCCTACTATAATTTTCACTCCTCAAATGCAGCATGGTACAGTGACTTCTCCAAAATTCTTTACTGAGTCTCACACTCTCATTCCTGCCCTTTCTGTTCAGGAAACAGCTGGATGTGGCACTCAGTGCTCTGGGCTGGGTGACAAGGTGGGGATCAGTCACAGGCTGGACTCCATGGTCTTCAAGGTCTTTTCCAACCTTATTCTTTGATTTCTATGCTTTTTTAAAGACACAATGCCATGGTCAAGACTGGCAGAGGAAGCTTCTCCCACAGTGAGGAAAAAGCAGACAATTAGATTGGACTTTTCTCTGGTGACACAGCTGGGGTCTGCCTTCTCTGCAATAATTGTCACCAATTTCTGAGCTGTACTACAGACTCATCTTAACTCAGACTTCCTTCAAGAGCTGCCTGCAAGGTGGTGACACTTCTGAAGAGACCCAAGCTGGCCCAGGGACCACAATCACTCTCCTTGGGCTTGGGGACACATTAATTTTACTGCCAAAATTGGAGGAGATGGGGGAAAAAAGTCAGGGAATGGATTCCCCAGCAGAGCTGCAGCCTCAGAGCTGTGAAGTGCAAGGGCTGCTCAGCTGTGTGGGAGAGGCAGGACCTGGCTGAGCCCTCCTGCCACAGCCACCTCCCAGCTGTGCTGGGATCTCCTCCCTTCCCCACACCAAACCCACTGTGATCCAGCCCTGAGTACAGTGCTAACGAGTCCAGAGTATCATCAGGGTGATTAATAGCTCTCCATGCCTAAAGTCACTCTCTGTTTCTGCAATTTATCTCTGATTAAGAGCCGTGAGACTTCCAAGCCCATTTTTACTATTTTTCCCTAAATAGGCTTGTAAGCAGTAATAAATAATAGGTATTCACGTTTTGAAAGAGGGGAATTTTTCAGGACATGCTTTGGTGTACATTCTTACAACTAATACAAAAACTATCACAGAACAGGAACTGAACAGAAAGACAGCAGACATTTTTCATGTATTATTTAAAACAAGAAATACTTTTCAACTGAGACACAGGAGGAAAAATTAGTGTCCAAACCACAACAAAACATGCTGTCAGCTGTTTGAGATGTAGATTCATCTATGGTGTGAGGGAGGTGAAACAGCCCTGACAAATTCTAAGCTCTGCACAAAAACCAGGGTAGCACCAGGCTGGGCTGGGGTCATTGCCAGAGGGTCAATCCTCTGGGACTCAAACCTGGGAATCCAGTGCCAAAAAAAGACCCTAGGACAGCACTCTGCTGTGTAACACACTGCAGATGAGCTGAGTCACCCAGCAAATTTAATTCCAGAGATTGCTGCATGCAAATATATATATTTTTTTTTTAAGAAAAGCTGAAAACATGTTTTAGACAAAGGGAGAGGAAAAGGGGAGGTAAAAGAAGAGTTATGGTTGAGTTTTCCAAGTAAAGAGAAGGGCACTACAACAAAACGTGTTAAAACATTCAGGATTAGGCTCCTTCTTTCTAGTGTGGTTTTGAAATTTGAGAAGGTGATGAGTACTGTACCTGTTTAACGTGGGGATGTTCCCTCTGAAATCAAACAAGCACAATTAGTCACAGACTGGTTAGTGACAGCCATCACAAAGAACCATCATCAAACTGCTGCACACAACCAGCAACACCTGCACAAGTGACTGTCCCAAATCTGCCAGGGAGAGCTGCCTGCCACCACCCTGAGCCAGCAGGGGCACAGCCAGGCCATGCAGGGAGCATGCAAATAATGCAACAGGAAAACACCAGGCAGGCACCCCACCGTCCTGGTCACCTTCCATCACCCCCTTCAAGCCCTCTGCAAGTGCAGAGCAAGAGCCTGCACTCTCTGACAGAGCAGCAAGAGATGCAAAAAGGAAAAATAAATGACCATCTCACACAGGAAAGTTGCAACAGGTTGAGGAAAAGAAGCCAAATGCTCAGTGCCAAACGTGCAGGCTGAGCAGCAGCCCACGCACAGGCTCCCACAATGCAGGGACAGGGCAAACACAGCCCGTGGAACACCTGGCACTTTCAGCACTCAGGACTGAAAGGAACAGCCTGAGGGCCAAAAAGAACAATCTGTGGGCTAGAAACAACAACCTGAGGGCCAAAAAGAACAATCTGTGGGCTAGAAACAACAACCTGAGGGCTAAAAAGAACAATCTGTGGGCTAGAAACAACAACCTGAGGGCTAAAAAGAACAATCTATGGGCTAAAAAGAACAATCTATGGGCTAAAAAGAACAACCTCAAGGCTAAAAAGAACCAACCCGAGGGCTAAAAAGAACAATCTATGGGCTAGAAAGAACAACCTGAAGGCTAAAAAGAACAATCTGTGGACTAAAAAGAAAAACCTCAAGGCTAAAAAGAACAATCTGTGTACTAAAAAGAACAGCCTGAAGGCTAAAAAGAACAATCTATGGGCTAAAAAGAACAATCTGTGGACTAAAAAGAACAACCTCAAGGCTAAAAAGAACAATCTATGGGCTAGAAAGAACAACCTGAAGGCTAAAAAGAACAACCTGAGGGCTAAAAAGAACAACCTCAAGGCTAAAAAGAACAATCTATGGGCTAAAAAGAACAGCCTGAAGGCTAAAAAGAACAACCTCAAGGCTAAAAAGAACAAGCTGAGGGCTAATTTGAGGAAACCTTTCCCAGTTCTTTTCTGACAGCAGCCCAGCTCTCCCTGTGTGTGTGCAGCCCAGGGCTCAGGGATGCACTCCAGGCACAGTGAGGGGCACATTTTCACACCAGCAGCACAGCCCAGCCCACAGCAGGAACAGCCAGGAAGTGTGCCCCATGCAAGATGGAAAAATGGCTGGGATCTGACATGCAAAGCAGCCCAGATTAAATTTTAAAAAGTCCTTGCACACAGGAGGCTTGTGCACAGGGATTAGCAGGAATTAAAAGATGGAAAGGAGAGCTTTGAGGAACACGTGAGTGGACATTCACCCCCTTCCCTTCAGGAGCTCAAACCATAAAGTTCTGTGACCCCCTAGCCCAGGGGCAAGACCCCAAGCTGAGCACAAAGTCCCAGTGCTTGATGAGCAGTGCACCCCATGTCACTGCTCAGCCTGCCCTGCTCTGTCCCAGACTGGTTTGGTCACAGCAGAGTCACCTTCACTGCAAGGTGATGTGTTGGGGGCATTACTGAGGCACAAAAAATTCCCATAGTCTCCTTAAATCATATGGGAAAAAAATACCTAAAAACCTATCTGTTGTGAGTACCACAAGTATTTCATTTTTGGGGGGATGGCTCTGTGCTGCAGAGCCCGTGGTCAGGACAGAACGGGCCTCCAGCCCTCAGGGGGTTGGGACTATTTTTTGAGCTTGGCAAAGAGTGGGAAAGCTGCATGTGATCTACTTCAGTTGGAAAAAATAGTCTGGAGAGGACTGGCAGTTCCTACCCCCAGCAGGAACCCTCCTGTAGCCGTCCCTGGAAGGCTTTCAGGAAAGAGAGGGACAAAAAAAACCCAGCAGAACAAATGTTCAGTTCAGCCTCAAGAAGGGCACCCTGGTGCTGTGCTCTGGGAGCTTCTCCTGCCACTCCACACGGAGCTGGAGAGGCTCAGGAGTGGCAAGGAGGGAAACAAGACAGGGAGGAGTGGACTGAAACTGAGAGAGAGCAGGTTCAAAGGGATGCCAGGGAGAAATTCCTCCCTGGAGGGAGGTGAGGCCCTGGCACAGGTGCCCAGAGAAGCTGTGGCTGCCCCTGGATCCCTGGAGTTGTCCAGGTTGGATGGGCTTGGAGCAGCCTGGGACAGTGGAAGGTGTCCCTGCCATGGCAGGGGTGGAATAAAAGATCTTCAAGGTCCTTCCCAGCCCAAACCATGCCCTGGTTCTGTGCCAGGGCCATGTCAGAGCCCCTGCAGCACCAGGGCCAGGCTCACAGACCAGCCCCAGCCCTTCTCTGATCCCTCCTCAGCTGCCAGGATGGCCTGGAGATGTTCCTGCTCTGGGACTGATCTCCAGCCCCTGCACCCCTGGGTGCTGAACTCAGCTCCCCGTGCCCCCTCCTCCTTTTCTCTCCCTTTTTCTGTGAGGAACAGGACTCTCCCAGGCCATGGCCATGCAGAGCTCAGCTGTGGGCGAGGGCCAGAGCAGGGCAGAGCTCTGGAAATGAGGCAGCAAAGCAGAATGAGCACAGGCTGCCTCAGTACCCCACTTGTAGTTATTAACAGCACTGCCACAGGAGAAAGAGCAATTCCACTGGCTCTGACCAGTGCCATTCCTCTTATGTTTCCTCATTTCTGCAGAAGAATCTAACCAGAAGGCAGTGAAACATGCCTCAAACCATACATTTTGATTGGGTTTTTCCTCTCCCTCTTTCTTCCCTTATTCTTCTGCTCCCTGTGTGATTCAGCCGAGCTGAATCTGCTGCAGAAGTCCAATTTGCATAAAATTATCCTCGTTCCATTCAGTTTGCTGCCCCTTCCCCAGCCCCTTCTTTGCTCTGCTGGAAGATTTTGCCCTTTCTGAGGCAGGCAAGCCAAGGGAACAGCAGCACATTACTGCTCCTGCTGCCTAATTAACATCAAACCTCAGCACGGGGCTGCAGGGATTTACAGGTGTCCTGGAATCATCCTCCCCTCCTCCCTCCCCTACAAACCACTCTCACAACCAGGAGGGGACCTCAGGCTGCCTGACACCCCCTGAGTGATCCCTTTGGGGCTCCAGGTAGGGTCAGAGCCCACAGCAGCACGGCTGGGTCACTCCTGGCATCCAAAGATTGATGCCAGAGGCTGTTCCAGCAACCAGTCCACAGAAAATGCTGTCAGTTTGTCAGAAATTCACATTTTATGAGTAAGATCATTGTAAAATGACAGCAGGAAAAAACCTCTGCACACTGCTGTAAATGTGATTGTGGGGTTCTTTAAAAAGCCCTGTTTGGGACCAGGGATATTTAACCTGGCTTTCAGCCTAACAAATGGCTAAGGAAGAGCATGACAAAAAGGAACAACCAAAATCCCCCATAGATGGGAAAACATCAGGAGACAGCAAAGGACAGACCATGCACCACTCTCAGGCCTTGAAATCAGCAACAGCAGAGTCCAAGGAGGGGCAGGGACACACATCCACAAGCACAGAGGGAGGAGATTCCAGGGAGATTCCAGGCCAAACCAAGCACAGGATAGCTGAGACACTTGGACTGATGGAAATACCCTTGGATGGGGCTCTGAGCAACCTGGTCTGGTGGAAGTTCCCTGTCCACTGCAGGGTGGACATGAGATGAGCTTTAAGGTCCTTCCACCCCAGGACATTCTGTGGTGTGATGATGCTGATGAAATTCAGAGCAACTCCTGTCTAGACTTGACTCCCAGCCTTGGAAGCAGCATGGAAAACAGGCTGCAGCCCCAGGAAGGAATTCCATTTCTGCCTCTGCATCCCTGTTTTGGAGTGTGCATTCCTGGCTCCAGGGGCAGCCAGGCTGTGCTGCTGGCACCTCCTTTGTGGAGCCCCAGAGTCACACTGGCCTCACAGCCAAGCAGGCTCATTACCCACATTTCATCTGCAGTGCTAAACCTTCCCTACTTCCTCCTTCCAGTGCTGCATCCTGACCCAAATCCCTCGGGACACCCCAGGCCAAGTGTGGTGCTCTGGGTGCTCCGTGGGGCTCAGTGCCCAGAGGGGCTGGGGAGGCATGGCTGAGGCAGCAGGGACCAAAACCAGGCTGGGCTGTATTTCAGTTTCCTCTGGGGCTCACAAAGCAGAAGGCAGAGCCCTGGGCTATCCCAAAATCCACACCCCAAAATCAGGATATATCCAGCAGCTCTAAGTCTCCTTGTCAGCAGCTGCCCCAGCATCTGACACAGGGGACACATCCAGCTCTGAGAAAAGCAGGGATCTGTTTGGTGGGAGCAATTTATCTCTTGAGCTCTTCCCTCCTGACCCTCCAGCACATCTGTTCCAGGGGAAGGGGGATGAAGGAAGCAGCTGAGCTTCAGAGAAGGAAGGGGAGCTGCAGAGAAGGGGATGCTCTGGGAGGAGCAGGGCAGCAGCAGGCTCCAAGAGCTGGCTACAGCAGACAATGTCCCAGTTTAATTTAAACCTTACAGCTTCAGCCACAAGAAAGGCTGCTGGGAAGCAGGAGAGGAGAGGGGATTAGAAAGGAACACTTCTGTTGAAAAAGCACTATAATTCCCTCTCCTCGACACACAATGTTTCTTTGAGCAGCAGATTTGAAGCTAAGATTAGGCAAGGCCTGTTCCATGAACACCTCAGAAAGGCCTTTCAGGCTCTGTCACCTGGGCTGCCGTGCTCACAAAGGCAGCTGAACCTCTGAGCAGCCCCTTCTGCCCCCTCTGCCCACGCCAGCAGGGCTGGCACAGCACACTCAGCCCCAGCAGGGCTCCTTCCCTCCTGCCACCTTGTCCCCTGTCCCCAGGAGCCTGCAGGGCTCATCCCCAGGCAAGGAGGGCACCCTGCAGCCCCTCTGCAGCCTGTGCCCATGGAGATGCCCTGGATCCACCTCCAGGTTGGATTTCTGCATGGAGAGGGCTCCCACAGCCCCTCTGCTGCCAAAGGAGCCCCTCTGCTGCCAGATGGTGACACTGCACTCCTGCCCTGGGCACAGGGATGCTGATGGTGACACTGCACCCCTCATCTGCCCTGCCCTGGGATGCTGATGGTGACACTGCACCCCTCATCTGCCCTGCCCTGGGCACAGGGATGCTGATGGACCCATCAAGCCCTCTGTGGCTCCCATTAAATGTTATTTTTCTCCCTATGACTTTCCCTTGCTGTTCAGTGGGGATTCTTGCATGAGGGCATTTGCTGTTAATTTAAACAAATAATCCCCCAAACAGTTTCTGCCCACAAAACCCACCAGGAGCAGGTTGCACTTCTGTGACTTTGTCAGCAGATTTAACAGCTTTTGTGTCCTCTCTGCTTCCCTGTGGGCAGCTGATGGCAATCCTTCCATGGCCAAAAGCACAAAGTCTGAGCTGTGATCAGGCAGCTCAGAGGGAGTGACTGGGATTGCTTCTGCCACAATTAAGTAAAGGCATAGCAGGGTTAAATACCAATAATGAAGAATTTAAATACAAATTTCAAAACCTAATTAGAATTTAAACCATTATCAGTTTGCTGTTTTCTCAGCATGAATGTTTGCCTCAGTAAAATTTGGGCTCTCAAAGGTTCACAGACATCTGACACAAAAGGACCAGGGTTTAAAAATATCTGAGGCAGTGGTGAAAAATGTGTGGCATCATATAACAGCAGCTTCCCAAGGGAATGCTCTCCTAAGGGCTCCTGGCACCTGCTCCTGGGTCCCCAGCCCTGCAGAGCCTCCAGGGACATTCTGGGATATTTTGGCTTTGGGCTTTGCCCTTGGAATGCACTTTTAGCTTTTCAGCCTCAGAATTTGTGCTACAAAAGGTACAGAAAAAGCACATGACACATAGACCATGGTCAAGAACAACAAAGAAGACTTAAGCAGGACAATGCCAGAGTTTTGAGATTTCCACATCCTGGGTTTAACACCAGGATGGCTTCAGAGCTCCTTAAACCCTGTGCCACCATCAGTCCCTGGGCATCTCCAGCCACCCCAGAGGGAGAGGCACCCCAGGAGCCAAATTCATCTCTGGCAGCTGGAGACACCTCCAGGGAGCTGAAGCTGCCCCTGAGCCTGCTTCCCCCTGCACAGGAACACAGCAGCAGCCTGAGGAGCAGAGCTGAGCTCAGGACACTGTCCCAGCCACCTCTGGGTAAGGGCAGAGGAGATTTCAGGCCAAAGAGCTGCTCCTGCAGCAGGGAACATCTCTCCTCTCCCAGATGACCCTGTGTGATTAAGCCTGTGCCCAGAGCAGAGCACTGGCAGGCCAAAACTCCCTGAGCAGCAAAAGCAACCGAGGCCAGCAGAGAAGAAATGGAGGAAGAAGGAAGGGGGGAGAGAGCATGATAAAGGGGCACTAAAAATAGCATGCAATTATGTACAAATATTCTAGAAATGAGGGACCAGATGAGCCCAGACACATGTCCCATTTGCAGCAGGAGTGGTTTGGGGCTGGCTGGGGACAGCCATTCATTTCCAGCAAAGCAGATCCTGAAAACCACCTCATAAAAGGTCCTGATGGATTCCCAACCAAGCGAGACCGGACCCCACCAAAACCGAGAGCAGGGCAGAGATGCTGGGGAACAAAGGAGGCAGCAAGGGCCCGGCACGGACCAACAGTGGCACCCGGTGGCTGCGGGGACTCACTGCGACCTCAGAGCCAGCAGGGACCAGCCCGGAGACAGCTCCACACCCTCCTGGGGAAAGCACGGGACGGGCTGACCCCACAGACCCCAGAAACAACCTGCTCCAGTGCCAGCTCCCCTCGGCAGGAGATGAGCTGTAAGGTCTTTCCACTCTGATTCAAGTTCTGATAATCAGGTTTTCTTTTTTTGAAGTGAGCTCGAGATGCCACCCTCCTCTCCAGGAGGAGGCAGCAAGAGTTGATGCTTTTGGTGGTAGTCACAAGGAATGCAGAACTGAAAATCAAACTGTGCCAACCCCAGCATTTTGTATAAAACTCTCATCTTGGTCTGCTCCATCAAAAAATCCTGTGCTACAGAAGATGTCACCCTATGCAGCCAAGGCAGGAAGGAGCAGAGGCACACAAGAGTCAGAAAGGGCTGGCAGGAGGGCACAGAGACTGTTTGACTGCTCTGTATTAAAATTCTGATTAATTGATTATTCTGTCTGGAACTGCATCTTTTGGAAGGCTCGGGATTCAGCCAGAACTGACATTCTAGAGATCATTTCCAACCCAAGCTGAAGCTAAAAACCAGAAAATACATGAAAACTACCACACTCAAATGAAGCCAGCAGCCCTGGTGCAAGTTCCCTTTGCCAGGGCAGGATGAGCCCCTCCCAAAGCTGCAGTGCAGAGGCAATCTGACCTGTTGGGGTGGGAGGTGGGCAGCATGAACTGGAACTCCACCACGCAGGTGTTGTCCTTCAGCTGGCGGTGCTGGACGCTGTTGAGCTCGTAGGCAATGTAGGCTCTCCTCACGTACACCTGGGGACACAGAGCCCATCAGCTGCCCTGCCTCAGGGCAGCCAGCACCCACAGACCTCTGAAGTGCTAAAGACAAACAGATCCTTGCAAATGAGCAGCTGGATGAACTCTAATTCAACCAGAATTTATTCTTTGAGGAAGGTCAGAACCATCAGGGTTATGCTCTGACAGCAGCTTCACTTTCTGCCTTCAACCACCTCAGTCTTCACATAAACATAACTTGAGTTTGAAATTTCACTCAATTAACAGTGTTAATGCTGTTAAATACCAGATTCTAAGCATGCCCAATCCCACACAACCTACAGCTCTCTTGGATCTTGCAGGGTTGCTCAAAACAGTTGCAGACAATGCTCAAAACAAACCAAATCCACAGAAAAATTAAAAATACTAATTGTTTTTCAATAAGAATAAACTCACCTCCAAAGCTGCCATTCTTACCACCTGGTTACTGTGGTAGAAGAAGTTGGGAAGCACATCAAAGATGGATGTCTCAGACAAAATGAGTTTCTAGGAGAGATCACATTAAGCAAAGGTTTAAAAGAGTGTCTTGCAACCAGGATCAGGCAGAAAAGGAAAAACCCCAAATGAAGCCTGGCTAGCTCTGATTTCTAAGCTTCTCCTGTTGCTCATCAAGGACTATGACTTTTTGATATTAAACCACAGAAACCTAAAGCTGGAAAGGATCACTGAGTCCAACTGCCTGCTCCTCACAGGACTAAAACTAAAACCATACAGGAGGAGCTCATCCAGGTGCCCCTGGGGCTGTGCCCATTCCCTGGGGAGCCTGGGCAGTGCCCCACCACCCTCTGCTCTGAGAAGAACCTTTTCCTAATGCCCAATCTGACCTTCCCCTGGCACAGCTCCACTCCATCTCCTCGTGCTGGTGCCCAGAGGAGGAACCAGCCCCTCTGCTCTGCTCTCCCCTGGGAGGAAGGTGCAGAACTGGCACGAGGCCATCCCCACATTGGCACAGGGACAAAAACAAAAATCAGAGGCAAAGCTGCACACCAGACCAACACAGCTGAAAGCCACAAGGATGTGAAGGTCAGTGAGAAGGAAGAAGGAGCCAAGGAGAGGGGCTGGTGGGTACCTGCAGGTTCTCAATGCAGAACTGGTGGCCGTACATGTCGATGGCTGACAGGAAGATGGACTCCACCTGGTTGTGGCGCAGCTCGTAGGAGGGCAGGTGGGAAGCAATGAGGACCTGGGGAAACACAGGCAGTGTCAAAGAAAGGAGCCAGGCAGGGCCATCAGCAGGGGGCTGTCACCCCCAGGCAGCAGCAGCCTGCTCCATCCCTGGAGAGGCAGCCAGACCCTCCCGTGCTCTCCCCTCCCCAGCCTCATTTGTGTGTTTGCTCCGTTTGTGTTATTGGCAATTCCCCACGGAGCAAGGGAACAGCTTCAATCAAGTTCCATCAGTGCATGTGATTTAGCAGTGCAGAGCTGCCAGTCCTGGGGATTGCCTGCCCAGCTGGTAATTGGGAAGCAGAGCTGGCAGGGAGCAGCTGTGGGGAGGTCCATGCTGGAGCCACGCTCTGCTCCTGGGCAGGGGAGGGAACAGCCACCAGTGCCAGGTATTAAATGCCCAACGTGAAGGATGCAGAGGTAGGAAATGGAAGCAGCTTGCAGGGAGAATGAAGTGGAAGAGCAGCACAAGGACTGCAGCACCATCCCCAGTTGCTGTGGGGAGGTTCAATAGCGGAACGGTTCAAGGACACAAACACAATCCTGGAGGAAACAGAAGGTCACTGAGCAGCTTCAAACACCGTGTTCATCTTCAACAGCCAAGCTTTGAAATAAAAGGAGAGACCCCTGAAGTGGGAGCTTCCCTGCTTCAGGCTGGAGATGGGGAGTGTGCAGTGAGAGCAGTGATCACACTCTGGGGTCAGCGTTATCAGGAAACCTCTCACCCCTTCCTGGCAACAGAGGGAGGGTTCAATGAACTGCTGAAGGGGAAGCTCACAACAATATCTGGGTGCCTACGTGACATTCAAATCAGCTCTGTAGCAGACTCTTAGAATTTGCAGTATCCAGAGTTTTTCCAATTATTTCCAGGTTAGAACAAAATTGGCAAAGCGCAACTCAAAGATGGAAGGAGCCCTGCAAAAGGGCAGCATAATTCTTTGTGATAATTCCTTAGCAGCTGCAAAGAACAGCTGGTTCTCGTGCAAATGGCTCTCCCTGTTCTCTGCACACATGGATCCACAACTGTAAGGCAGCTGAGGAACAAGGAGAGCCCATCCATGTTGTTCCTGCACAATCCAGGCAGCCTGTGCTGGTCAGGTTTGCAGATGACAAAACCACCAAAAAACACAGTGGCCACACATCTCCACTCCCTCCACCACACAAACCATGGGCTACTCACAGTTCACTCCTGTGTGAGCCAAACAAAACTTTTTGGAGGAGCAGGGACAAAGGAACGCACGTTAAATTTAAATATTACAGTGACTGGGAATGCACCGAAGTCACCCACAGTTAATCACTGTTAATTAGCTTCACTGTCAAAGTGCTGCTCACAGGAACCTCCTCTCCCCATGTGCACAGTGACCAAAACAAACATGAGGAGCTGTGGGTTTCCCAGGGGCCGAGCTGCAGGCAGGAGCAGCCTGGCAGGGACCCTCACCTGCCGCGCTCGCAGGGCCACCTTGGCGTTGGTCGTCTTGCTGAGCTGGGTCAGCTCTGTCAGGATATTGATCAGCTCATCTGTCAGGGTGGGGTCACGGCCACACAGCTGGTCCTGGCAACAGAGACAACAAGAAATGCTTGGGACAGAGGGAAAACATCATCTGTGCTCCCCCAAAGGAGATTGAACTTGGAATGCAAACACACACCCAGGGCTGGACCACACCGTCACCAGCAGTCCTGACCTGAATTATCCTGCAATTCTGTGCTGACAAGGACACAAATACTCACCAATCAACAATTTTACACACATAAATAAAAGGTGAAAGAAGGGACAGACACCATCTTCCATTCTCCTATTTGTAGCACATGTTTTGGCACCCAAACACATGAGAAATGCTGACTTTCCAGAGAGACTCAGAAAACCTCCTCCCATTACCCATTTCAGGTTTGTACCAGTGCAAAATTCAAAGAGCTTAAATTGCAGCCAGACACCTTGTGGAACATGTAAAGGTCAGCACACCCTCCCCATGCAGGGTGACCAGAGTGACACTGCCAGAGAACCTCCTGACACCCACCTACAAAAACACCTCAAACCTCAGAAGTCCCCACAACTCCACAAGCACAAACCAGCCAAGCTTTGTGCAGCTTCAGCCTACACCAGAAACAGGATCTGTCATTGCTCTGACAAGGCTAAGCAAAGCTAACTAAAGCCATGAATAATGTTCTGAATTTCCTGCCATGGTACTGGACTGACTCCATAATATTTCTCCTAACCAGAGAATCCTGGATCTGAGGAAATGCTCACCTTACTGCCTGAATTGGCTGGATAAAACAACAAAGTTGAAGAGCATAAACTTACTCCAGTGTTAATGCTGTTCCAAAACTCTTCTGAATTCATCCATTCAAAAAAATGCCAACAGTAAAGACTTTCTTCCAAAAATAGTTTCAATTCCCATGAATAATCCCACAGTCTTCAGCACTTCTTGTGAGATTCTTCCCTCCCACCCCAAAGCTGCAAACCCTCTAGGAGCCTCTAATGTGACTCTTCCACACAGCACTTAACAGCTTGTCTTGATAAATTAATCATAGGAGGGAAATGTGAGATGAAACAGGGATTTGCCACGAGAAAGAGATGGTGCCTAAAAGTTTAAAGAGATCTTAAACACCCACAGACCAGAACAGGCCATCTGAAGACCCAAGAAATAGAAAAGGATAAGGGGAAACCTCTGTGCAGCAGGTGAGATTGACAAACCTGCCAGGGAAAATAAATTAAAAACCAAAGCCAAATAATACAGAAGTCCCATAGAGTGAATAACTGCACAACAGCTCATACTCCATGAGATTCCAAGGCTCAGCAGCTTCTCCCTCACACTGCTCTTGATCCCCTTCTCTCCAGCCCCACTCAGGCACAAGGCACCTCTAGGAATGATGACACAGCTCTCCCAGGGAGACACACCATACCCAAACCACTGAGAAAACATCTGAGAAAACATCTGAGCTCCTAACTCTGATCATGCTGTCCCCTCCTGGCCAGTCCTGGGCCACCAAACATGAGTGTGATTGCTCCCAGAGAAAGTTCAGTGCATTTATCCACCCCAGGACACTGTGGGGACAGTGAGTAACTCAGGAACTGCTGGGTTTGAGACACAAACTCCTGGGTGTTGCTGTTCTGCTGCTCCAGGGAACAGAAATCCCACAGGACAGGGGACCCTGCCATGCCACCAGCCACTCCATGCTGCTCAGGCCAGGATGTGCATAAGTTAAGCACAGAAAATGAACACACACCAACAAATCACACCATATTTCAACAGATGTATGAAGGATGAAGCAGCTCCCACCCTGCCTTCAGTGCCTGCTGGCTAAAAAAGGTGAGTGATGGCAGCACAACACCATTACTAAATGCATCCTCGGAGCCCCTGGTTAATAATGGATTCCTGGATCCATCAATAACAGCCTCACAGGCAGAGAGGCTGCCCTGACCCCACCCCACACAAACAGCTTGGACCTCACAAAACACCACAGCTGTCACCAGGGTCACACCAAACACACCACAGCACGTGAAGAGCCACCAGCTGGGACAGGAGTGATGGTCCTTTGGCTCATGGAGAGCCTGGAAGCTCAGGGACACCCAGCTGTGCCCAGGGTGACCATGGTGTCCCTGGAAGCTCAGGGACACCCAGCTGTGCCCAGGGTGACCATGGGGCCCCTCCTGAGCTCCTGCTCCCAGTGCAGAGCAGACATCCCTGTGCCCCCTGTGAGGTGGCACCATGGCCTTTGGATAACCAGGAGTGGCTCTTCCACCAAGGTCTCCCTGGTGTTTCAGGCTCTGGCATCCCGGGATGTTGGCCTTTACTTGAGCAGAACTAACAGGCAGTGATGGTGGGAAGAATGACCCAAGAGCAAGGGACAAGGGGGGCTCTCTGAGGCTCTCTGAGGCCTCCCCACCTGCCCCTCACACAGCCAACACCAAGAGCCAGCACGAGGTGACAAGCCAGAGCTAAAGTTCCAGTCCTGTTTTAGCAAGGAATGATCAGGATGACAACAACAACCCAAAGGCAGGGCTGGCTCTGCCTGCACTGATTGGCAAAGGCAGCAGCAAAGCCTCAGCCCAGCTCCCTGACAAGGGCTAACGCCTCGCCGGCACCCCCGTGTAATTACACACTTGAGTGACTGGACTCTGAAGAAAATTGAAGGCCTGAGCTGTGAACAGCTGCCATTTTCTCTCTCCATCACGCCAGCGTGATTACTTGAGAAATGAACAGCCCCAGCTCAAAGCTACTCCAGAATTCTCAGAGGAAATATGGCTCCGTGTTCAAATAATGAGATTCTTAAGGCAAGCGTTACTTACAATCACACCACACACCAAAAAGGGAAAGGGGGAAAAAGGGGGAAAAGAAAGAACACCAGGATCCTTACATCTTACAAATGAGAATTTAAGAAACCCAGCTTCGGTCTAGGAAAATTATGACACTTCTTTTGCTTTGGAGAGTTATTTCGTGGATGGCTACTTTGGATGTGTTTTTGGCAGTAACAGACCACATTATGGTTGTGAAATAAAATATGAGAGAGGAAGAGAGGAGAGGAAGAGAGAGAGAGAGAGAAAGAGAGAGAGAGAGAAAGAGAGAGAGAGAGAAAGAGAGAGAGAGAGAAAGAGAGAGAGAGAGAAAGAGAGAGAGAGAGAAAGAGAGAGAGAGAGAAAGAGAGAGAGAGAGAAAGAGAAAGAGAGAAAAAAAGAGAAAGAGATCGAAAGGGAAAGAGAGAAAGAGAGAGTGAAAAAGAAAAAGAAAGAAAGACAGAAAGAAGCAGCAGGCACTCACAATGAGCATTGTCACCAGCAGGTTCTTCTTGGTGACCTGGGCGTGGGAGAAGATGTAGTTCAGCACGGCGTTCATGTCACTCTTGTTCTCCTCACGAAGGGTGAAGACACACTTGTCATAGTGACCTGCAGGCAGAAATGCACATTTTCTTTTCCAGTCTTCACACCTCTGTGGCAAGGATTGCAAGTTACTAGATGTGTCTTTATTTTTTCTACGAGTATTTTTTGAGGATCTCCTTGGCTTGAAGGGAGCTGACAACGGAGATGGAGAGAGACTATTTACAAGGGATGGAGTGACAGGACAAGGGGAATGGCTTCACACTGACAGGCAGCAGGGTTAGGTTGGGTATTTGAAAAAAATTCCTGCCTGTGAGGGTGGGCAGGCCCTGGCACAGGGTGCCCAGAGCAGCTGGGGCTGCCCCTGGATCCCTGGAAGTGTCCAAGGCCAGGCTGGAAAGGGTTGGGAGCACCCTGGGATTGTGGAAGTTGTCCCTGCTGATGGCAGGGGTGGAATGAGATGTGCTTTAAAGTCCCTTCCAACCCAGACCATTCTGTGTTTCTCTATGGTCCACACAATCAATTTGGGAAGGAATCATTCTCACCATCACCTACTGCAAACTTTAATTCTAACATCCCACTCTTAATAAACAGCTCCAACACCAAATGCCTCCTTTGTGAGCAATTCTGAGAGAGGAATAGGGAGCTCAGACTTTCATTCAAATGACAACCAAAATGAAATAACAGCAAAAAGCCTTGCACCATCCTCTGCTGCCAGCAAATTGAAGTGGAAATGAATCTGCAGTACCATTAGGCCAGGGCAGGTAATGGAGCAGGACAAAAGAAGAGTGGAATCTGAACTACCTGTAAGAGCCAGAGCCTTGGAATCAGCCAGGGCTCCATTGCCATCTTGTGCCTGGATCCAGCAATGCAAGGCATTGATTTCACCTCTCAGCTTCAGCTGAGCTTTGGGGACAGTATCTCCTCTACAAAACCCAGGATCCCACTGCAGACCCTTAAACACAAGCCTGTGCACCTCACCTCAGCACAAAGTGAGAGCAAACCTTCTCCAAAGGGCCCACGTGGACTTTCCAGGACCAAACAGGACTCTTTAAGAAATCAAATCCTTGATGTGCCCAGGAACTCACCGTGCTGGAACTGAGTCTCCACCTTCAGGTACTGCCGGAGCAGATCCATCACCACGGCCTTCATGTGGCCCCGGATGCCACTGCGGTACCTGCAGAGGCACCAGAGCAGCCCTGAGCGAGGCTGAAGGCACACACAGCCCCTGCCATGCCTGCTGGGGGGGCTCCTGCTCTGCAGGACAGCCCTGGGAAGGCTCACCTCTGCACGAGCTGCACGATGCTCTGGGTGTTCATGAAGAAAACCTCGCGCTCCGACTTGCGGTTCAGGGTGGCCGCGTGGCTGTCCAGGATGTTGGCAATCTGAGAGGGAAAAGAACATGGAACATAGCACAGGGGAAAGCCCTGGATGGGCTGGACAACCAGCAGAGACACACCAGACTCTAGAAAAGCAAGATCAAGACCTGACAGTGATACAAAAATCAATGCACTGTATCCTACAGTGGAGAAATCAGCTTCCAGCCTCTCCTCACCCCACCAGGCTCCCCTGGCTGCAATCATTCTATTTTGAGGTTTTACTGGCACTACAAACTGCACTGTAGCACAGGTACCATGCAAAAAGCAAATAAATGCCCACAGGGCCACTGCTAAGATTAAAGTGCTCCCAGCAGTGTGCCTGGTTAAAGCCATACTGAGCAGGGAGCACAGACCCTTCAGCACAGGTAAAGAGACAAGCCTTGCAGTGACACAGGTAACATCCCTGTTCAAACACACCTTTCAGGTTCAGTTAACCTCCATCTCATTTAAGGAGCTTTCTCTCTCTCTCTGCCCCAACACAAACCAATTTTTATCCCTCCATGAAGGGTGGTTGGTCACCTGTTGGCTGGGAAACTGGCAGAGGACGGAGGTGATGTTGCTGGCATACTGGGCCATCTCCTTCTTGATGGACTTCTCTACATTGGGTGGTATCCTCCCAGAAACACTGGTCATGATGTCCTGAAGCTCCAGCAGGGGCAAAGATGGATCCCTCAGGGTCTTCATCAATCGCTCAACCCAGCCCTTCACCTAGAGAGAGACAAGGCAGTGAAGGCAAGAAAGAAGAAGAGAAAAAACAACAAGAGGAAAAAGGAGAGGGGCGATGTCCAACATCCCATCTCATGGGTGCTGCCCTGTGGCAGAAAAACTGGCCAACCCTTCCCTGAGCTGCAAGAAGGCTGTGTTTTGGCTCTGGAAGAGAGGCCCCCAGTACCTTGCTGCTGAAGAAGGGCTCTGGCAGGCAGTAGCCATTCATCACGTTGACCAGGTTGTCCAGCACGTAGTGGAAGATGCGGTGGAGCTTCTCGCCCCGCAGCGCCGTGCTCTGGATCTGGGGCAGGGTACCTGTGTGCAGCTCAGCCTGCAACAAGGAACAGCCTCACTGAGCCTCCTGTGGGCCACCAGCCTTGGCAACAGCCAGCCACCCTCAGCAGCAGCCAAGGGTTAACTGCAAGGTTCCCAGAGTGGGAAATGCACTGCGTTGAGAGGCACATCCCCACAACTGCACTGAGGTAAGCAGAGAGCAGGAATGGTAGATAAGTTTGGCTTGAATCAGAGAGGGAGGGAAAAATCTCAGTCCCAGTCCTCATCTGAGACAAATAAATGGTGAAGTGACAATTCCAGTACAATGCACAAACGGGAAACTGGTTCACTGGAACATCCTGTACCACTCTCAGTGTTACTCCCTCATTAAAACCCCACAAAATCTGTGCCTTCTGCAACTCCTCACCTGCTGAACCCTGCTGGGATCATCCAGCTGCAGCTTGGCAATCACACAGCCTGGATCCAGGACTGCCCCTGGGCGTTTGACATAGTGGATGCAGCCTGATTCTCCTGCTGTTATCGTCATCACCATTTTCATCACCTGTAGCAAGGAAAGCAGGTTACACACTCAGCTCCCTGTGCCCCAAAATGGCTCTAATTTTGGGAGCCAGCAGGCAGTGTCCCAACCCAGACAGACCTGCATGAGCACCTCTGGCATTCAGGTGTTCTCAAAACTTATAAGCACAGATGTTGGAACAAAACCCAGACACCGAAGTGAACGGGAGAACAAAATAACTGCCCACAAAATAGTGCAGCAGGAACTTCAGGAATGTCACTGCTCACATTGCCTGGACCAACAGGGGACTCAGGAAGGTCCCACATTCAGCACAATGAACAAAGCAGACAATTTTCTGCTGCATTCCAAAGGCTCCTCTCAAAGGCTACAGCCACATCTTCAGCTCAAGCAGAGGGAACCAGGATCACTTTCTAGAGCTCTCAGACAGCTCTTCCCAGACAGAAACGCTTCCTTAGATCAAGAGCTGCTGCCTTTGGAGCAGAAGGGTTGGTATGGGGGAGCCAGCTTGGTTTTACCCTTGCTCTGCTCTACACCAGTGGGAGCCACAGGGATTGTGTGGGTGGTGCCTTCTTAGCTATGACCTGTTGCAGTGCAAAAGCACTTACATAAAATAGCTGGATCTCTGTCTTGATATTTTTCTCCTACACATTGTCCCCAACTGGTTTAATTGCCCCTCTGTCATCACACACCTTCCCCTCCCTCAAATCTGTTTTGAGCCACACACTCCTACACAACCCCCTGTGCTTTCCTCATCGTGATGCAGAAATTGCTCATCATCCTCCTCCTCCTCCTCAGTAAGAGTTAAGTAACTTCCTAGGGAGAAGGGAGGAGTGACACCTCTTAACTTCTGGGATCAACCTGATAGATGATCAGCTAACCAGGATGAAGTTTGTTACTTCATCCTGGCATATAACTCTGAGTCTGTGTCAGTAGTACAAGGAGAAGGCCTTCTTCACCACAGCTGGGAATGGATCCCACTTTCCTTTGGAATCTCAGGAAGGTGATAATCTCAGGATTTTTGAGAAATTCTGCTCATCACTTGGTGTACAGTCATTAACACTCAAATTTCTGCTGTTAAATTTCTGCCCCACACCATCACTCTCACTGATGACTCCCGCTGTACTTCAGGTTAAAATTTGTAAATTAAACACTGTGAATGATCCCTCATGCTCAACTCCCAGTCCCAAAACATCCAACATCCCTCCCCCTGAGCTTTGTCCTGGGCAGCCAAACCAGTCCTCTGAGAGTTTTACCTCAATTTCTGCAAAGCACTGGCCTGCAAACACGTGTCCCCCATCCTCCACCACATACTGGATCAGCTTCCCAGCGGAAGGAGAGCGCAGGATGGAGGGGTCATTCTCCTTCTCAAACACACAGGTCTTGTTCCCAATGGTGATGCGGTACCTGGGGAACAACAGGACAGATCAGCACGGCAGAACTCCTTGGGGAAGGCATGGGAAAGGGAAAATCCAGCTTGCCTTTCCCTATTCTACTTAGAAACAAAACTATGGGAAAACAGCTCACCCAACGGAGAGGGGAGATTCCAACCCAGGAAGTTACCCAAATTCTCTGTCCTCCTGAGCAGATCCATTACTTTTCCCAGAGATAACACAGCAGAGGGGCAGAGTTCACATTCCAGACCTGGGGATGCCCTTTACAGCCCTTACTGCTTTGATCCATCAGGGAATTTTGAGGGGATGCAGTGAAAAAGCACCATTTGTCTTTATTTCTAAAGCAGCCATGGAATTTCAAGAATTTTAAAGGTTTTCAGGTTCTGGGTTTTTTTGTTTTTATAATCCCAAAAGTCTCTTTTAAGGACCAAGCAGAGGAATATGGACTCCACATGGTGCACAGCCAGATCCTCCTCCTAACAGTAGCCAAGATCTGTTCTGTCTCAAAACTCACCCACAGCACCCCTAGTAAACTTCTTCTAGGAGAGAATTCCACTCCCAGCTGACCTTTTGGGAAGCATGAAGTTACAAATACACCTCGTTCTGGCTGTGTAAATGCTAAACATGCAGCTGCACAGGTTGCTACCTGTCCACTTCTTCTTTCATGTAGGTGGTGTAGCTGCTGCCATCGTAGGAGAGGAGCAGCCCCCCGTCGCTCAGGCGGTGCACGTCGACCTCCACACAGGAGCTGTTCATGATCACCACGTAGCAGTTGGGAGACTGCCTGGTCACCTGCCAAGCCACAAGAATGGGAATTACCCAGTGAATTGAGCACAGCACTGAGTGTCCTGGCTGCCACAACACGGAGTTTTCCAAGGGATGCAATAGTGGGAATTAATGGAGAGGAACAGAGGTGTTTGATGTCATGTCAAAAAATTGGGGTCGCAAAGGCAAGCAAGAAAGCTGGCCAGAGGGATGGAGCACCTCTCCTGTGAGGAAAGGCTGAGAGAATTGGGATTGTTCAGCCTGGAGAAGAGAAATTCTGGGGAGGTTTAAATGTGGCCTGAAGGGAGCCCACAAGAAAAACGGAGAGAGGCTTTTTACAAGGGCCAACCCAAACCAGTCTGGGATTCTGTGACAGCAATCAAGAGATGCCAGAACTAGTGCTGCCCATGAATGTTGATTTAATCCTCTCACACTTCTGCACTGATGGCTGAGGTTTGATTGTGCAATCACAGACCATTTGCTCACCCTCATCTACTTACAAGGCACAGTTGTGCACTTACACTGCATAATGGAGGAGATAATTTGGGGGGGAAAATGAGAGATTGTCCCACAGGGAAAGCAACAAGTGCTCTCCATGAGAAAGGGATCCTATCCCAGTCTCTGCCCCAGAGCTGCTATTTGAAGCTGGGTAAATCCTTTAAAGAACACTTCAGCTGCTGCTCAATGCCTCTATTCCTCATCAAAGATAAACCCTGGGATGTGCAGAATTCTCCCTGCTGCAAAAACCAGTCTATGGTCTTGCCTTCAAAAACTTCACCATCACAAATTTGCCCCAGGAAGCTAATGAAGATTGCACAGGCAACCTTAAGTCTAATATTTCCTAACTTTCATAGGTTTGGGTTTGCAACATGGGGCTTTTGCATGCAGCAAAAAAGCAACACCACAGGGAAAAATTGCTGCAAATTCTGTCACATTGGTGTGTCAAAACCCCAGCAGAGTAGATCGACCTATTCAGAAAAATCAGCTGGAAATTTTGGTCAACTTGTAGTAGTCTTTGTCTATAACAAAGCAATTTGAGCCTGCTCAGAGCAAAAGGCTGAAATGTTTACAGGGACATTGCAATGGAGCGATGCGAGGGGTGTTACCACAAAGGAGGCCCTGCTGATTTCCTCACCCACTAAAGCAGAGAAAATCTACCCTGCTCAGACAGAACTCCCTGCACAGATCTGTGCAAAGAGGAGGCCAGAGCAGCACACGTGGCCATGTCCAGCCCAGGGGCAGGGGGTGGGTCCCACTCTGTACCTTCAGCACGTATTTCCGTCCCTCGTAGATGAGCTCCACGTCCACCGTGTTGAGCAGAGTGTGAGCAGGGAGGACTTGGCCCCTGCAAAGGGAAGGACAAAACAAAACTCTTCTTCCACAGGCCACCAAATGACTACCAGGGGTCCAAAGAGCTTCAGAGATGCATGCAAGACTTTAGGAAACACCAGCAGAGAGATGGGAGTAGGTTTTTATAGAGTCTCTTCTTAGGAGAGACATGAATCAGTTTGACCAAATCAAACAAAGTCCTTCCAGCCACACAGGTCAGCTTTGCTCTCCTTTCCATTCACTCCTGGGTGATTGAAGACTCCCTAATGCTGCCCTAGCAGCACACAGAGCAAGAACTCCATGATTCTGAGCCATTTCCTGGAGCTCCTGCTAGAAACCAAAGCAATCTGTGCAGCCAGCAGGGGATGTTTGGAGGAGATGCAGATACCTGCCAGTTTTCTCAGTAGATAAAGAGCTCCCTGGGGCCAAGGAACAGTCAGCAGATAACAGCCCCTGAGCATTCCTGGACTGCACTGAACAGAACTTGTACACCAGGAGTAATTACTAGAGAGCAGCTTGCCCTTTTACCTTTCCAGGGAGTGCAGGAAGTTGGAGACGCTGTTTCGGAAGCTCACGTCAGCCACGTGCAGGGCCCCACACACCACCCCCAGCATGGTGTCAGGCCTCTCAGCCTAAAAAAGGGACAGACACAGTCACACCTCCTCCAGCCTCAGCCCAATCTGAACACCCAGCTAGAAGAATCAGCAGTCTCAGCCCTATTTTTGGTTCATGGCCAACACTCTTTAAAATCAAGTCGGTGTGGCAGCCATGTGAACTCTACACAGAAGAAATTATTTCTGTAACCCCTTAAAACTACATTTTCTTCTGCCTGGATCAAATCTCAAGCTTCCAACAACATTTCCACTGTCATCTGTCCCAGATTCCAAACATAACAACGGTCTCACTGCTTTTCTGGACAACTTTAAGACCAACTCTCCCCAAGAGGGACGACCTAGGATTTCGATATATGTAAGAAGCAATGCCACTGAAAATGTTTATTCATTAAGTGGGCACTGACCACTCCTACACCCTTCAGCAGCAGCAGGCACCACCCCTGCCCCCTGCATGTGTGTCCCTGCAAGGGGAAGCAGCTGCACCTGCACTTTCTCGGCGATGAGCCGGTCCAGCCAGCCCGTGTCGATGCGGTTCTGCTGGAAGCTCTCTGTCTCCAGCAGCTTGATCAAGTATTCCACAGTGGTCCTGAAGTCCCCTCGGATGGAGAGCTCCTTCAGAGCCACCACCATGTTTCTGAAAGGGGAAAGAAGCCCTGTTATCTATCCCATCCTAATGGCAGCATAGCAGCTGCAGGAAGAAAAGCACCTGAAGGTCAGGGCAGAAGAGCACTGGATGGAGCAGGATCTAAAGGAATGGTTGGGAATGGGAGAATATTGATTTCCCTGCTGCTGGTGTGAAGAGCAGCTCAGTGGGATCAGGAGCTCCCCCTGCTATCATCACTCAGGGCCCTACCATGTGTCAGAGTGTACAGCAGACAGACAGACAGATGTGGTGTCCACCCCACCCAGAGTGGAACTGGGAAAGGCTCTGGATGAAAAACGTGGATGACAGGTCAGACAGGTCTGCCTTAGGACCAGGTGCTTTAAAACCCCACACCACAGAGGACACTCCATGGTTCACAAACCATCCTGAAGCATTGGTCAGTCAGGTTAGCAATGATTTTCCTGTTAGAAGCCTTCACCTGGATGCTTTAAAGAAAAACTTTCACCCTGTGGTAGCTGAGTCACAGCCCAGCAGCAGGTATACAAGGCAGGGATGAAACAGAAAGGAAGAAAAAAGAAAGAAAATTAAGCAAAAAGTGTAGAAATGTAGGTTCAACATAGTGGAATTGCAAAGCAAGACAGGATGGGAAGCCTGACCACAAAATGGAAAACAAGATAAAGACATGGAAATTGCTCTTGAAACTCCTAGAAGTAAGGAGCCTTGTTTTCTCTGGATCAAAGAGGACAAAGCCAAGCAATTCCCAATCCCTCCCACACCCCTGACTTACGAGATGGCTTCCTCACGGTTCTCCCCCCAGGAGAAGCAGTGCCCAAACTGAGAATCAGCAAACTCATGGAGCCCTCCTGCAGCAGCCACACTGAAATAGCCCCAGACGTTCTTATTGCTGCGGAAATTCAGCTCCTGAACGGTGCCAGAGCTGGGCTTAAACCCCTGCAAAGACAGACAGACACTGCTCTAGGGCCTAAAGAAAAGGTGAATAATCCAGAATTAGGGTTCTGAGGGCTCTGAGAACAGCTCTTTGTGCTGCAACATGGTACAACAAGTTCAGGCTGTGTCTAACCGGGGTCTAAGTGAGGTAAGCGAAGAATCTCTCAAATTTGCTGCCAAAACTTCCAGCAGCAGCAGGGACTGGCCCTGGAAAGCCCAGAGTGAGCAGCAGGCACAGAAATGGAAGGCTCACCTCATCAGGATTCTCACTGGTGATGCGGGCAGCGATGACGTGGCCACGGGGGCTGGGGACGTGGGCTGAGTTCTCAAAATCAATGGTTGTGTCCCCCCAGGGAGAAACTCCATACATCACCCTGATGTCCTTGATCCTGTGCAGGGGGATCCCCATGGCAATCTAAGGAGGAAAAAAAAGAAATTAATTAAAAAAAAAAACCACCACTAAGATTCTCTCCTCATAGAGCCAAACACTGACACTTCCCAGGACAACTCAGCTCAGTGTAATATCCACCTTAAGCCCTCCAGGCAGTATTTTCCATTGACTGATTAAAAGGCTCCAGGGAAAGCTGGCAGTGCCAGGTCAGCTGAGGATGGGCATGCATTAGGCCTGTTAAAAATATACTGAGGACCCAGTGAGGCAGAAGGGCCCTAATTAGTTATAGGAAACTGTGGAATTTTGCAATTATAAACTGTGGGGAGAGTAACCTGCAGAACCAGCTGCTGGCTGCACCCTTATGGAGCAAAATCCCATTTTCCCTGTTCATTAGTTGGGGTTTTTTAACAGATACAGTTCAAAAAGGAAGCACAAAATCATACAGAGCCTCACTGAGGTGCAAGGGGACTGTGGCATCCACGCACTCCTGGAGAGTTGGGGTTCAGGAGTTTGGGGGGACACACAAGGGACTGACAAGCCACAGCACACCAAAAGGATCTCTGAGGGAACCCCTGGTGTCTTTGGGGAGCTTCAAACAACCGCTGGACTTGCTGAAGGATGAGGAATTGCATTTCTGAGCTCACCTGGAGCTGCGCTGCTGGCAGGTTGACATCTGCCACCATCTCAGTGCAGGGATGCTCCACCTGCAGGCGTGGGTTCAGCTCCAGGAAGTAGAAGCTGCCATCCTGGCTGTACAGGTACTCCACAGTGCCTGCACTCACGTACCCCACCATCTTGGCCAGCTTCACTGCACACTGGGACACAGAAAACAAGAATATTGCACTGCCAGTCACCCGTGCTCGCTCTGCTCACCCACCACAGCCACTTCAGACTTCTGCTGGCATTCTGAAACACCCCAAAACTTGTAACAGGCCCAAGACCTGCCCAGAGAAAAGCCAGTGGCACGGGAGTTTTGATTTCTGACTTATTGACAATTCACAGAAGGCAAACTGAGTTTGATGCAAATATTTGCACTGCTCAACATTAGGCAATTCCTGCAATTCCTGAAACTTGCTTTTAATATGGTAACACACATTCAAAACACACTTCCCTCCCCTTTTTTTGGGGGCATTTATCTTTGAAAGGAGCTGCTGGTGAGATTTAGTGTGGAAATGCGAGTGGCTGCCCACACCAAGCAGGTGGAGACACACAACCCTCGATTGCTCCTTTGAAACACTCAACAATGCCCAACTCCAGCTGATGTAAAACAAAAACACAAAGCCCTGGCTGATTCTGGAGGCTGGCCAGGGCAGGGGAAGCTGCAGAGCCACTCTCACCTGCTCCATGTGCTCAAACACTGTTGAGGTTGCAATGGAGGCTGGAGCCTCCTCGATGATCTTCTGGTGGCGGCGCTGCACGGAGCAGTCGCGGCCGAAGAGGGAGATGGCATTGCCATACTGGTCTGCCAGGATCTGCACCTCCAGGTGCCTGGACTGCTTGGCCAGCCTCATCACAAAGATGGGAGAGCCTGGCACTTCGGTTTGAACCTGCAGCAGGGAGAGAGTGAGGCAGAGCATCTTGTGTGAGAGGCACCTTCAGCTCTGAGGTCTCACAGAGACCCAGCCTGAACATTTAGAGAAAAGCAGCACAGGAGAGAGGGAGCAGTCACCTGTCTGAACAGATTGGGGAAGTCATCTGCATTGTTCACTTTCCTGATTCCTTTTCCTCCTCCTCCTTCAGAAGCCTTGATCATGACAGGGTAGCCAACCTCCTCAGCAGCCTGGCAAGAGGGGCAGAACAGCAGGGTAAGTACAAAAAGGCAGCAGAAGCCAGTGAAAAGATCATTATTTCCCGGCTGATTCACATCCATATCTGACTATTTAGCAACCAATGGCATAGAAACCAAATATCCCATTGGCAAGAGTGCCTGTAGCTGGAAAAATCAGCAGGGATTTTGTGATTACAGAGAACTCTGACCTCTGCAAGTGACCACAAAATCTTTTGTCAGTGCTTCAATGCCATTAAATTTACGAATTCACAGATAAGCTTTCGTATAATAAAGAAAATTATTGAAAATCCTGGGCAGCATGAAAAAATCACACAAAGGAAAACACCAAATCCTGTATTGTGCCAGGAATACTTCTTATTCTAAAACTCCTCCTCAAGCAGAAACTCCAAAGATGAAGTGTGTGCTTGTGGGTTTTTACCAAAAACAAAAACTAGATGACAGCTTTTAACGCAACACAACCTTGCTCCCATATTTTACCTCTCCCTGCTGACCCTCACCCAGCTGTCCAGGCTGGGGCCAAAGTTTGTGAATGATCAAAGTCTCCAGGAGGCAGCTCTGGGGCTGCAGCCTGCTCCCAGTGCGTGCTGCCACGAGGAGGAAGCTGCAGGGCAGCTGTGTGAGCCCCCCAGAGCCCCCAGACCCACCCGCAGGCCGTCGTCGGCGTCCTTGACGTAGCCCTTCTCGTAGAGCTCCTGGGGAACGCTCAGGATGCGCTTCTGCAGGTCGTTCTCCTGCCAGTCCACACGAAGGCCTGGAGCACAAACTGACTTAAAACCAGGCAACAAACTGACAAAGGCAGACTTACACTATAGTACCAGCTGAAGTCAGATGAAGCCCCCCTAAATGAACTCGTTTGTCTCCTCTGTCTGTGCAATAACTCACAGGATTCACAAACTCCCAGGGATCGAGTCCAAACCACTGGGGCAGAGGAACCCCCTGAGCTCATCTAGCCACAGTTAAAATGTGCACAATCTACACAAATCACCACCTTTAAACACAATAAATGTCCTCAGCACCCTCTGAGCTCCTCGTGCTGCCAGGCTGTGAGAAGCCACTGTAGGACACAAGGCACAGCCACACTGCCTGACCAAGGGCTGGGAGCCCTCACAAAAGGAGTGTGCACAATGCAAACAAACATTCCTGATCTCTGGGGAGCAAGCATTTTTATCCAATCCATTATATCCTCCTCCATTTATCTGTGAGAAGCAGGCTGTTATTTACAGTGGTTTGGAAGTGCAGAGGAACTTCCATGGCAGCAGAGTATGGGCTCCAAAACTACACAGAATCATAGGGTGGTTTGGGTTGGAAGGGACTTTAAAGATCTTGTTCCAAACCCTTGCCATGAGCAGAGACACCTTCCATCAGACCAGGTGTCTCCAAGCCCTGGGTGTAGCAGGTGAGCCTGTGAGCATCAGCTGCACTCCAGGAAACAACCTCTTCCATGTTTCCTCACTTCTCCTCCCCATCCCTCCTCTGCATGCTGCCAGCTTCTCCCACCATTCCAGGCTCATTCCACCCCTCATGGAATTGCTTCCAAGGCACCTCACTGGTGTGGTGGGCAAACAGCACAAATGGGAAACCCTGAGCAGATGGAACATCTGCTGGAACACACTTGTGAGCACAGAGCTTCTTAAAAATTGGACATGCTGAAGGAAAAGAAGATCAGGATGATCTTGATAAACACAGGACAATTTCCTCCTTACCACTGCCACTCCAAGGAAGAGTTGGAATGCCAGCAGTCTGAGCCACGATGGAAGAAGCAATTTTATCTCCTAAGGCCCACATGGCTTGGCTGGGAGGACCTGCAAGAGCAAAGACAATGCATGAGAGAGACACAGGGGTATCAGGCATTAGGGCAAGGTCCAGAAGTCTGATTTAGGAAAAACTCCACTCTTCCCATAAAACTGAACCCTCTTTAAAATAAGAACAGGGACAATCTGGTTTATCAGGAATCTCTCCTGATTTTTTATCTCATCATTAAAGGCTGTTTTGGAAACCTTTCCCCTTCTCCCATACAAGAACTGCTGTAAAGAGCAGATCATCCATCTTGCACTGCAGACCATTCCTCATGGCTCTCTCTTGTTCTCAGGGTTCTCTATCTCCCCAAACCTCCCACCTCCAAACAAGGACTAGACATCAGAAGAGCAGTCGATCTCCTCACCCATGAAAGCAATCCCGTTTTTGTGGAGAAGTTCTGGCAGTTTGGGGTTCTCTGATGCATGGCCCCAGCCAGCCCACACAGCCTGCAGGAGAAAAGAAACAATTTGCTCTTTGTTTGAATAAAACAAGAAAGTGAGCAGAAGCAGACACATGCAAACACTCCAAGTCTTTCTTTTCCTCACGGAAAACAGCCTCAGAACAGCCAGGAGCATCTGAGCTACAGGGTGTGCTGCATTTGAAGGATGGCTTGCACCTTGCAGGCCCTCTCCTGCAGATGTCCCTACTGGGACAGCCACTGCACTGTCACATGGGCTGCCTTTGGGTGCTTTGGTTTGGAATTCCAGTTTCTTTGTCCTGCCTTGCTCCCCAGGCACAGCTCCTTCCTGAAGGAGAGAAGACTGCTCGGTGTCACTTCTCACCTGCACTGGGATCCTCTTGGCAATGTCCAGGATGAGCTCCACGTTTGCATAGTTGTTGTTGTTGGGTCCTCCTGGGACTGGCACGTAGTGATCTGCCATTTTAATGTACTCTGCAAACACAGAGGTTCCATTCAGGCTGCAAATCCAACAGCAGGACTTGCTCTAAAACCCTGCTTTTCCCCAGGCTGAGCCCTCCCAGCTCCCTCAGCTGCTCCTGACAGGGCTGGCTCTGGGAAGCACTGACCTACTGACAGATCAGGAGGACATTCCCCTCCCTGCATGCCCAGGGCTGTGCAAGGAGAAGGCTGTGACCCTCCCCAGCTCACCTGCATTGGCTTTCAGGTCCTCAGGGGTGACCATGACCACGAACCTGATGGCCCTCTCGTTCCTGAACATCTCGTAGGACCAGCGCCGGATGGACCTCATGCACTTCACTGCTGCAATGCCATTATTTGCTATCAGGACCTGGGTGCATTAGAAGCTGGGATGAAATAGAGTCTAAAGAGCACAAAACAATTAACAATCATGAAAGGTTTTTTTTCCCTCCCACAGATTCTTTGCCCAGTTTTGGGCTGTGTAGTTTTTTAGCCAGCATCCAGCTCATGCCCATCTGTCAGTTCAGAGAGCAGCTCTTGTTTCCACATAAAATTTTAATGTGTTATGCCTTGGTTGGACTAAAGAGCAGAAGGACCCAAATCAAATTATTAAGCATTTTTAAATACATTTCTTAATGTTTTTCCAGTCTACTTTTGTTTTCTCTGTCTATAAAGCCTTCTGTATCAGTAGAAGTGCTCTGGCTCACTCACATCTTTCTTCTTATTACTTTAAGCTAAAATAATCAGATGTTTGTTTATCACATAGAAAAAGGAAACACAATGATTCCAGGCAGAAGCTCAGAAATATCAGTAATTTGATACCTGCAACATACAGCCTTAGAGAGAGACAAGTGAGAGCTGCAGAGAGGAGCTGTAATATGCTAAAACAGGTCAGGGAGTTACCTTCTCAATAACTTTATTGCCTCCAAAGCGAGTTACAAACTCTGCTGGAGAAGCCACGGTGAAATCTCGCTGCACATCCACCTTCTTCCTGTCCCGGCCCTGCTTGACAAGGTGCAAACCAGACATGCTGGGCCTGAGGAGAGGGAGAGACAAAACAACCTGTCAGGGCAGCTGGGCACCAGCAAAAGAAAGTGTGAGAATAATGGGAAAGTTCTCTTTGACCACATCCCCCAGTCAGACACGCAGAATCTCTCCTTGCCTCCAGACCCTCATGGCCTGGTGCTCAGTTTTACAGGGATGACTCTTTTAAAGTACTTTTCAGCTATTTCCAAAAGTTTCAGGTTATCTGCAAAAATCCCAGCTATGCCAAAATATAAATAGGTAAAATTACATTTGCTGTGTGTTGCTGCCCACCACAGAACTACAGTGCTCCACCAGACTGCTTTCAATCCATCCAGAGGAGCTGGAAACAACAGTGATTTCTGGCTTTGGCAAAACAAGCTGCAAAGATCAGGTTCTGTAAGGAAATCCTCTTGGAAAGCACAGCAAATTTATCTCCAGGTGCAAATGAGAGACTCAGACTGGCTATGGAAATCATTTTCCAAGAGTTCTCCACTACCCAGTCTTTAATATCTTCCTCAAAAGCTCTGGGAGCCAGAGGACAAATTAATCACATTACTCCTACTACAAACACAGAAAGCCAATTTTGTGCCTGCCAAGAGCAGCCCCGTGCCCTGCCACAGCTCCTCTGTGTGGGAATGGCAGAGCCACTTCCCCTCCTTCTGCCTCAGCTTCCACAGCAACAACACAGGGACAGATCACCCTTTGCCTTTGATTTGCCAGAGTTTACAAAGCTGAGTTTGTGAGAGGAAATTCCAGGGGAAAGCACAGAGCTGCTCCTCTCACCGAGTGTCTGCCATGGTGAAGCAGGACTGGGAATTAATCAGGGAATTAATGAGACACTTTTTATGCCACAGGCACTGGAGGTTCACCTCTCTGCTCAGCCCACAGCTCACTTGTTTTTGCTGCACTTACTCTGCTTTCCCTAAGAGTTTCCCTCCCCAGGAGCACAGGGAAGCCCTTCCCCTGCCAGTGGCAGCGCCACTCTGTAGGAAGGAGGATTGGGAAGCTCAGCTCAGAGCTTTGGGAAGCCCCAGCAGCAGCAGGGGTCAGTGCTGGCCACTGGCAGAGCTGTGCCCAGCAACCTCTGCATGGAACCTCTGCCCTAATCAGCTGCTAAGGGCTGCTCCATTGAGCAATTCCACTGGGAATGGCACGGGGTGCAGAGAGAGCTGCTGGGGGAGGGCACAAAGGGAAAAGCAGCACCAGCAGAAGCCAAGGCACAGGTTTCCTTTTGCCATCAAAGGCACCAAGGCCAGGGAGCCCCAGAGCTGCTGCTGGGCAGGGCTGGAGCATCCCTGCTGGAACGAGCTGCTGTTCATCCTGCCTGACAGGGAGCACAGGGATTCCCCCACATTCCCTCAGAAACATCTCATGGCCATGAAGACTTCTCCACGTGGAACACGGACCCTCCTGAGCACTTCAGGAGGAGCACAGGGACACCACAGACCAACGCTGTCCCTCCCAGTGACACCCTGGGACACAGAATGGCTCTGCCAGGTCAGAACAACTCCATCCAGCGGGGTAGCTTATCTCAGAGAAAGCTGAGAGCCAGAGAAAGGCAAGGAACAAGCTCTGTGTGCACAGGTTCAGCCCCTGGTACTTTCCCTTCTTCCACTCAGCTGCACTTCCAGACATTGTCACCAAACTTAGAGCTGTCCCCAAAAGTTCTCACACTCCTGTGAACTCACTGGGAATACAAGCACAGGAGCCAACAGGGAAGAAAGAGAGCAAAGGTGTAGTTAAGGTTGAATTTCTACTAAATTTGTGCATTTAGGGGGTCAGAGTCTTCCTGGCAAGGAAGGAGCACAGTCCAAAGAGTCAGAGAGGTTTATGCACTACAGGTTTATTGAGAGCAGTCTCAACAAAAACAAGATAAAAACCCCAAGCTGAGAATTTGTGAACATGTTTAAATATGAACTGTCCCACTAAGAAATTACTACACACAAAGATACTGCTACAGGCAATATGTCAATAGAGCCTGAGGTTCATCATCCAGGATGCAACAAACATTTGGACATAAACAACTACAGTTTGATTTGTGAGCATGCCAAGAACACCAAGTTTATTGATCAATAATCACAGGCTGCACACTGTAATCAAAACAGAAGAGCTGGGGTTTTTTTTCAGGATAAGATGAGGTAGAAGCTGGACAGGAAGGAAGAAAGCACAGAGCTCTAAACAAAACAGAAAAAAATGCTGAGTTTGTAACTGTCATCCATATTTATCACCTGCTCACAACTGCCATGTTTTGTGATGAAGGAATTTTCAAAATCCTTCTGTCCTTCAGAGCCCACAGGGGGTAGAAGTTGTGCAGAACCTCCAAGCCCTGATCCCCCAGCTGAGCTGCACAGGCATCTCCGTCACAGGCTGCATGCACCGAGAGCCCAGCGGCTCTGCCGGGGACCAGGGGACAAAACGAACACCAAGAGCTCAGAGAGCATCTCCAGCACAGAGCCCAGGCAGGGGCAGGCAGGCACATCTGGGATCCTTACCTCTGCAGCATGTGGTACCTCATCTCCTGACTCTGCTCTGCAGCATCCTCCATGCTGAGTGAGGGCAGCAATCACTGATTCCAGGAAAGCAATCGCTGATTTCAGCAATCGCTGATTTCAGGCTCGCTCTCAGCGGCTCTCAGTCCTGCCAGCCCCGCAGCTCAAGGAGACGCTGCAAAGAGCCTCACACGGCTTCTCCTCCGAGCAGGGCACATCCCGAGTGCTCCAAATCCCATCACCTTTGTCCCCGGCTCCCCCCGCGGCCGTGCCACCCTGGCGGTGACGCAGCAGAGGGGACCGGCCTCCCTCCCCGCCTGAGGGGACCGGCCTCCCTGACAGAAGGGGCCGGCCTCCCTGCCTGAGGGAACCGGCCTCCCTGCCCGCCTGAGGGGACCGGCCTCCCTCCCTGCCTGAGGGGACCAGCCTCCCTCCCTGCCTGAGGGGACCGGCCTCCCTCCCTGCCTGAGGGGACCGGCCTCCCTCCCTGCCTGAGGGGACCGGCCTTCCTGCCCGCCTGAGGGGACCGGCCTCCCTGCCCGCCTGAGGGGACCGGCCTCCCTGACAGAAGGGGCCGGCCTCCCTGCCTGCCTGAGGGGACCGGCCTCCCTGCCTGCCTGAGGGGACCGGCCTCCCTGTCGTCACCGGAGCAGCTGATCAAAGGGACAGCACAGCCGCGGTTACGTAAGGAGTAATGCAATGAGAAATGCAATGAGTAACGCAATGAGTAACGAGCCCCAACGCGGCTGCTCCGAGCCCTGGGAGAGCTCCCACACCGGGGGCATGGCACACCGGGAACGGCAGCACAGCCCCACACGGCTCCGGCAGCAGCCACGGGGATGCAGCAGCCGGGGGAGGGATGCAGAACCCACGGAGAGGGGGATGCAGCACCCACAGGGAGAGGGGGATGCAGAACCCACAAGGAGAGTGGGGAATGCAGCACCCAAAGGGAGGGAGATGCACCCAGAAGGATGCAGCACCCACGGAGGGGAGGTTGCAGCACCCACGGGTTGGGGGATGCAGCAGCCATGGAGGGGGGGATGCAGCAGCCACGGAGGAAGGGATGCTGCCCAGGTGAGCATATCCTCAGCTGCTGCAGGCTCTGTGACCCCAGGGGTTCAGCGCACTTGTAGGATTGTCAGGAGGGGTGGGGAGGTGACAGGGACAGCATCTCCAGGGCTGCAGAGAGGAATGCCAGAGGCAGCTCGTGCAGGCACACAGTGTGACACAGCTGGCAGATCAAACTGGACACCAGCCTGGGAGCTGGGAGACCCTGGACACGTCGCTTCAGTTTTCTGTGCCCATTTCCCACCTAGGGGATGGAGGTGAGATCACTCCATGTGCTGGTAGAATAAATATCCTCACAAACAAAGTGCTACAGCATGGCAGGCTCCAGTAACACCACTGGAGGAAGAAGGTTTGCTCCAGAATCATGGAACACCCTGAGATGGAAGGGACCCACAAGGACCCACAAAGCCCAGCTCCTGGCCCTGCACACACAGACACATCAATTGCAAATTTGGGGTATAGGCGGGATAAGGAAGGGCAGTGACTGCAGCAGTGCCCTGATGGTAAAACCTGAATTGCAACTAGGCACAGCAGCTGGAAATTTTAAAATTTGGGGATATCTGGGTCTGTCCTGATGGAGGGCCATAGCCAGGCAGCACAGCTTTGGTTTGGGGCACAGAATCCCTAAATGCAGCCAGTCAGGAGGGGATCAGTCAAAAAAGGAACAAGTACCCAGGGGAGAATGCCACATTAACCAGGTGACAGCAGGTAACCTCCCTGCAGGGCCAGGGGGCTGAGGCCAGCACAGGTGACACGGTGACAGGGTGAGGGGCAGCAGCAGTGCCACGTGCTGCCAGCCCCAGGTACACCCAGGCACCAGCAGGGAACAGGGACAGTGACACCCTGTGGGGTGAGGGCAGCCTCACTCTGCACACAAACCTCACCAGAGCCAAGAGACAACAGAGTTTGACCAACAGGGACACCCCAACACGCTGTGTCTACCCCAGAACGCAATGCCTTTCACTTGCCAGCCTTTATTCCTCTTGGAAAAGCATCTCACACTGCCCAATCATCAGGTACCCCCCAAATTCCCCAATTAATTAATTCCCAAAAACCCCACCCGCAGCCCCCAATCCAAACAGGCTCTGCCTATTGTGGCTGCAAGGAAACAAACCCAGCTTAATGTGGCACTGTCAGAACATTCCCTGTGCCTTCCACCAGCTGAATCCACTGCTGGCAGAGAAATGGCCACGATTTGCTGCTGGAGGAGCACACCCCGAGGAGCAGCTTCAGCATTGGTTAAAAATATTCTGCCAGCTGAATTCGCTGCTGGGAAATCAATGGTCACGGTTTGCTGCAGCATCCCTACAAAGAGAAGCTGCACACGGACGTGTCAGGGCTGCAGGGCTGCCCACCCAGCACACAGCCACCCCACAGAGCTCATTTCCTGCAGGCAGGGCTCCCCAAACCCTTCCACCCCACGGAACCCAGCCCTGCTCAGCCCTGGCACACA